TTCCTCACCTCAACAAACTTGAAGCCAACCACCCGAGAGTTTTTTCCCATACCGAGTTCATATGAATGGACGTAAAGGTGTAAAGGTGATGAATGGAAACAACATGAAAAGACATTGTTAATCCTTACAAGAAGATAATTCTTGATATTTGATCCTATAAATATATTGGAACATTGTTCTTCTTACAAAATCAAAGGAATGGCAGCTTCTGCATCGCTTTCAATGCCACATTCGTTCACTCCTTTCAAAATTCGAACATTTCCATTTTCGCCCCACTGGTCACCCCATGAATTTCTGGCAAGCCAATACTGTTGTCCAGTCGTTGCATCAATACCCCATCCATACAAAATTAAGGTATGGTTAATGTAATAGAATTTTGGTAAATCTTTTGAGGCGTTGGACCATTGAGCGGCAATTTGTTCTTTTGGAATGTGTTGATAAATACCACTCTTGTAATAAAAGAAATCTTCGTGTACCATAAATCCAGCAACGAGTGGTCCATTTCTCCAAATATCGACCATCATGTTTAATTCGTCAGAACCTCCATAGTATCCTCCTACATTGTAATAGTTCCAAGTTCTTAATGCTCGACGTTGTTTCGACAGAGGACATTGAGTAATATTACATGTTTGTGCACTTCTCATGGTAATGTTATAGGGAGAGCATTCTTCGAGAGCCAAACCATAATCTTGAGCGTATTTGGATGCTAAATAGACACAACCTCCACGACAACTTTTGGAATTCCAAATTGTAAACATTTACAATGTTCAAATGTTGAAATTATTTAAGTATTGAAAAAGACAAAACATACCCTTGAGAATATGGAGAACAATCCACAATCGCTTGAGGACTATAAATCCACTGCTGCGTCAAATTTGTTTGAATTCGAACTCTCATTCCTAAATGTTCACTCGTTCCAAAGGCATAACAACTTCCACAACGCTTTTGATCACGAACAGGTGTCAAATACGATCTTCCATGGAAATTATCCCAAGAAAACTCTTGAGGAAGGGTTTTTCTCAATTCTTCTTCATTCACCATTTCGTATTGATCCGTTTTTCCATTGTAAATTCGAATCTTTTCGAAAGGTTGTGAATTTCTTTTTTTGGAAGTGAGCATTTCTTGTTGAATGAAAGAACGAGAAAGTTGTGAAGAACGTCTCACTCTGTTTCCGTTTAACAGTTGTAAATCAGACCAGGATTTACCTTGAAATCTATGACTGAAGGCAGCTTGCCATTTGTTGAGCTTGTTGATTGCTTGCACGTATTGTTTCATATCTTGATATTGAGAAGAGGCTTGCTCTGGAATTGTTCTCACATATTGTCCTTCCAGAATTGAATCACTTGAAGTTGAAGACTTTTTCATCGCATCTCTCAATTTCTGTTGTTTCATGAACTGTCTGGCTCTTGTTGGAGCCCTTGTCCTTTCAGCTGTAAAACATCCCCATCGTTGAGCGCCAATCGAATCATCATGATACGTTCCCACAAACACACGATCACAATTCGAAGTCACTTCACCCTTCTCATCTTGTGTATAATTAAAGAATGCAAAATATTTGTATCCATCCAAACGAATTTCCACTCCCTGATTGAAAATGAGTGTCCATCTTCCTTTCTTCTTTAATTTTCCATTTTTTGATTTTAATAGAGCAACATCTGGCACTCGTAAATCCACAATAAAAGTCTCTAATTTCACATGGGAAGGAAGAGAAGGTTGATCGATGGAACATTTGGAATCAATGACCTTGTTGTTGTAAAGAGTTTCAGTTTTTTGAAACGTCCATTCTCCGTACACTTCAGGAAATTCACAACTCACTGGAATGTCTGCGTGTACAATGAAGGATTGGATGATGAAACAAGTCCACAACAGCAAGAAAGACAGCAAGGGTCCTGTCAGATGTTTCATGATATTTTTTTGTGAATTTTTTAAAAAAAGAAATCCATTACGGAGTAATCATCGGACCTGAAATCCAAATGAAATCCATTGATTCATGTTGAACGGAGGGACTCAACAACTCTTTTTACAGTTTATAAATTTTACATCCAAATGCCACCTTTTGGAGCTCTTCCTCCTCCTGGTAAAAACTGTCCTCCTTTATAGAACTTTTTACCAGAACGAGAAGAGCTACTACTACTCCTTCTTGAAGAGCTATTATAACAATCATCTTCATCAGATTCATAGTCTCGACAATAATTGTTTTGAATTCGAGTTGTAGAAGTTGTTGAAGCGGATGGAGTGGAAATGAGAATTGAAGAAGAAGACAAAGCTGTTGATTGATTCTTGGAATTCAATTCGTTTCTCAGTTTTTGTAATTCTTGAGAATGTTCAAGTCGTTCCTTTTCTAATTGATCTTTCAATAACAATTGTTGTTGTTGCAACTGATTCATGGATTCTAAAAGTAATTGTTTTTCATGTTGAAATGCTTCATATTGACTTGCTTTTTCTTGTTCGAGCTTTGTAGTTAATTCTCTGAGTTCATGAATGTGTCGTTCCATGTCCTTCATTTTCAATTGTTGATCCATGAATTCCCGTAATTCAATGACATGTTTGGAAAATATTTGAAGAAATTTCAGACGAGAGGGTCCAATACAAGAATGTATCAGTTGGTGTTGAACTTGCTTGGAATGTTCCATAAATATTTCCATTGATTCGCATGTAGTAATTTCACGACGTAGTTGGGAGAGACATTGTTCAAAAATTTTGTTACAAAGTTCATGAGAAGATTCTTTGTTTCGTATCAAGAGAGTTTCTAATTTTGAGTTTTTCAAATAAGGAGAATCATAGTTCATGGAGTTTTTGGGTGGACTAGAATCATCTTTTTTAGACTCGTCTTGAGATGGTTGTGAACTACTAGAAACATATCCTAATTTGGTAAACATTCTCAAAAGTACCTCTTGTTGTTTACAGGATGGAATTTGCTCTCTCATCAAACGATTAATCTCAGTAAATACTTTGACATGTTTGTTCAACAATTCGAATTCTTCCATTGGAAATTTCTTCTCACACAGTTCATTCATCCTTTGATCATAATGTTTTTCTGAATTCACCAAAAATACTTCCACTTGCTGCTTCATAACATGATCAAAAGCGTTGGAAAGATCAATGTTATCACCATTTTCATTCAGCTCGTCCAATAATTTTGAACAATAATAATAAAATAGGATTGGAGAGAGAAATAATTCCGTGTTCTGAACAGGCGAAAGAATTTTCTTGGGAGCGACATTAGATCGGATTTTGTTGACTACGAATTCCATTTTGTCACCTACGTGGGAGTTGACTTCGGAGGTGTTGTTGTGTTTCATACTCTCTAAATCATCACTAAGGAAGATTTGAATTCCTTGTTACTAAAAATGGAAATAACTTACAAAGGTGGAGGAACAGTTAAGAGTTCCATCTTGTTTTTGAAAAATTTCTTAATGGAAGACTTGATCTTGTTCATTTCTTTTTCTCTATTTTTCTTACTTTTTGTGTTTTCAGCCAACACATTGTTCAGGTAATCTTCTTCTGATACATTCGATGGCAAGGTCATGTCACTAATCAGCCACATCAAGTGAGGTGTATATCTCACAATTTCATCCTCATAATCCTCCTTCAGATCGTCTTGATGTGTTCCCGTTCTATTCTTTTTTGAAAATCTTTGTTTCAACAACCATGGTTCTTTTCTTTTTTCTGTTAATAGTATTTCCGAGAAATTTGCAGTAAATGAAATTTGTCTCAAATCGTGGTCACTCGAAATTTGATTTGAAAAGTTAACAATCAAACTACTCGCCAACAAGGTCATTAAACAAAACAATTTCTTATCATATTTTAAAGTAAAATCATCCTCTTGATCATTGTCATCTTCTTCTTCTCGATCAACAGCATCTAAATAACCTTCCGTATCTAAAACCAGTAAAATTTGTCTTTCATCTTGACAAGATCTTTCACCCCATGCCCAAACTCCTTTCGAACGGGAAAGAATGGACATTCCAAATTCGAATCTTTCTTGTTTTTCTGTACTTTTATGAAGCAAGAGTTGATTCATGAGATCACTTTTTCCCAAACGAAAGGCGTCTACGAGAGAAATAACATAAAGCTGAGTGGATCCGTTTGAATATAATGAGAGAATAGATTTTGCTTGTTCGTTCATTTCCCATTTTCGTGATTTGAAGTTGTAATGAAAGAGAAGGAAAGGAGATGATGAAATGGGGAGTCCTTTTTGAGAGAAGAGAGAGTGGTAGTTGTTGGTTGTGCTGGTTGCTGCGGGTGATGGAGAGGATAGCATTGTTGCTGCGAAGATATTTTTTGACTGGTTGGAATGATGTGACATCTGACACTTCCCAAGTCTTAAAATATTGTACAGAGATTCACTGAAAAGAAACGACGGAAGAAGTGATTATCGCTGCTGTAAAGAAACAACCAAGATGAGTCACTTGTCTGATTACCAGCATAAAAACGAATGGACAACAGTGTGGAACGTCAAGATGCAAATTTTGTTTTGGATACTATGAGAACAAGTCCAACTTTTATTGATTGCTTTCTCTTTTTCCAATGCTATTCGAATATTATGGATTTTACATTCTGCTGCAACAAACGGTTAGAACATGACTACATTGGTTTGAGTTGCTTTTGCCGCAATAACAGTACGTTTATTACAAGTGGAAAGAATATACCAGTAGACAAAGACTTTATTGAGCTAGTTCAATGTTTATATTGAATGGCTCTATGAAATGTCTATTTGTTCATCGCTAGCACTTGTCGTGTTGTTTTTGTAAACTTTTTTGTATTCCTCTGCAAGTTGCAGAAGTTCTTCTTGCATTTTGAGTGGAGATGGCTTTTGGGAAAGAATGCTCCACGTGGACTTCCAACCTTTCACATCAATATGATTCATGACCTGAAAACGAGTTTCGTTGTCTGACAGTCTTTCAAAGACCATTATTTGAAAAAGAACATGTGCTCTTATCACTCCTTTTTGAGTAGGTTGAGGCTGCAACAGATTATGATATAATGAGTTGTCTGTTGAAATTGAGGTTAATGTGAGATGTTTTGCGCTCTTACAATTAGACACAGTAGAACAGGCTCGCTTTGAGATGGGTGACAGCGTTCCTAAACTATTGTTTGTGTGAGCAATAGCAGATTGAGATACAGTAGTTCCTACACTCTTACTTCTTTGCCGTGTAGTAATGATATTTGATTCCTCATAGTTCTTGGTCAAATGACTATCGCTGTTACTGCTAGAATCTTTAGGAATTAAATATAAATTAGAAGAAATATTTTTGCTCAATTCTATTAACTGATTTTCGTGTTGCTCAATGACATTTAAAACTTCTTCATGACGTGTTGATAATTGAAAGAGTATTGGAGGCGGGGGTATCAGTCTATCAATTGATCTCTCCATGATGATCAATCGGTCTGGCTCCTCCATGAAAAATCGAGCTGTTAAATATTCTCTCTTTGATACTGTTGAAAATATTCAGAATTAATTGGGAAAAATGGTCTTAGAAATTTCACTTACCTATCAGAGTGCTGGGCGACAACGTTCTCATATACACAACATCAAAGCTCTCATTTGGAATCTTGGCCATTTGCTTTTGAATCAAACTAGGAGCGTTAGGCATGACATTCGAGTTCTTGTCCGAGCTGTAAAAGTCTTCCAATTTCAAGGCTTCTTCCATTTGTTTGGTACGTTTGCGAAGCTCCACAGCCCGACACGCTTCAAAAACGTCTCTATAATTTGTATTGGTGAGTATGCCCACAAATCGATTACTCATCACATGTGTGGACGAGTCATGAGGTGTTACTTTGAATTTTAAATTTTTAGACAAATCTTGAGTGCTGGTGCTTTCAAAAAGTTGAGAAGCCAGCCGAGAGAGAGAAGAGAAATCCCCAGTTTCAATGGAATGCAATGAGATTGACTTTGAGTAAAGTTGAGCCGATTGCTTTTCGCTTTCTAATTGCCATCCATACACTTTTGAAGTTTCGTGTTTGCAAAAGAGTATAAAAGCATCTGGAATGTAATTTTCTCGATGTTTTCGCCTCAGTAGCTTTAAAGATTCTGCTTGTTCTTGCTCTAGAGAACTTAATTGTTTCAATGTGTGCCTTTCATCATCAATACTCTTTTGCACTTTTGAAAAATCGTCGTTGTTGATGTTCTCTTGTGACACTTCATCGATGGTATTTTTAGGTAGATTCAATTCTGATTCATGATGAGGATCATCAGTAGAGTATATCAAGTCTTTGGGACCTCGAATGGTCGCTGAGTGATGATGATGTTTGTCATCATGGGAAAGTTCTAAAGGAGAATTGCTCGAAGAATTGTTGATATCAGTTGATGTTGGATGGGTTGCCTCCATACTGGTGTTAAATGATGTGTTTAAATTTCTGTTGATGAATGGGGAAATGTTCAGGTGGTCGGTACTACCAATATTTGTTTCATCATGTTGTTGATTATTGTCAGTACTATTGTGCTTTTCGAAGACTAGTGGTTGCCTGGAGTTATACTCTTCTTCTTCCTTTGTGAGAAAATTGTTTTGATTAATATTTTCATTTGATTGATGATTTGCCTTTGGAGTTATTATTTCGTTTGACGATCCGTTCCGATCTTGATGCCGATGATCCGTTATTCCTTCACGTAAATATTTGATTTCATCGTCTGTGGTTGATGTTGTTACAGATGTGATTTGATTTGGAATATTCAAATACGATCCGGATGCAACGTTGTTATTTTCGTCGTCTGTTGTTGGTGAGGGTTTAGATTTGGTCATTTTTTGCTTAAACGATGTTATTTTGATCACTTGGTATTGGAAGCCCTTCTCTCAATCAAACGGTGTGTGGATAAAGATCTTGCAGAACTACCGTTACTAGATGGTGTTTTTGGTGAAACTTTGCTCGTCTCTTTTGGAATTGGATGAAGCCCTTGCCCGTTTCTTGATGCGGTATTTGGTGTTGAAGGAGAAAGCTGAAGAGGGAGCAAGTTCTGTGAGGATTTAGATGACGTTAATCTCTTTGTTTTTGGTGTTTTAGGCTGTGAGGACCCATAAATTGAGGCAGCAGCAAGGGCACTATTTTTCAATACCACAGTTGTTGCTGCAGGTGGCTCTTGAACCGATTTGAGCATCTTAGAGTCCGATAAGGTCGATGTTGATTTACTTTTAACCAATGATTTGGAACTGGTGAGAAGGCCCTTTGATGCTTTTGTTCCTCTTGAGTGAGTCCCGTTGGTACTATCTGGTATGACGCATTCCTCAATTTCATCGTCATCAAACTCTCCTGAGCAATACCTGTATCGGGCAAAGGCTTTGTCCTCATCTTTTTGTGGAGAGAACGCCATTTCTTGTTGTTGATGATGGAGTGGTTTTGAGAATAAATGATCCTCATTGCCATTCGTTTCGGGAGTTGAGGGAAGCATAACCACTTCGTCCTCATCCTCAATTGATTTCTTAATACGAATCCAATCACTTTCAAACATTTTTTTAATTAGTAAGTTTGGCACAACACGTTACGAATTACCACATGACAAAGGCTTAACACATCCACATTTTGCAATTCCCAAGCAATGTAACATACTTTCCAAAATGTCTTTGTTAAGAAACGATCATCTCCGTTTTCCATGAGTTTGTTGAAATTCCTTGCAGACAAACCAATCAAGGTTCAGGTCCTTCCACTTCGGAGATGCTCCAATCAAAAATAGTGGACACTTTGCGTTATCCCTCTCTCATACGATGTGCCATTTTAAAAAAATTGTGGAGCTCTTCATGAAGAGTGTTGTTTAAATCCTTGTTGAAGGCTCGAAGTGTTCATTGACCTTTTTCTGAAGAAACAAGATCTTGCATCAAGAATCGGATACAAACCATTCCTTGGCCATTCTATCCAACTAAAAACATAATTCATGAAAAATCCAACAATCCCATTTTCTTTTCATCGGGATGCATCCCGAGCTCGGAATGAAGACATGATTCGATTCATGCTAATGATGATTTCATTGACATTTCTTGTGTTTTCTTCATTCTTGAATTGCATGCAAGCATTCGGAATGATGAACAACATGTTATCATCCGACACTAATCCCTCGTTCTATTGTAAAGTTCATACCAGTAACATTCGTCTCACCTTCACTTCTCCATATGTGGCCAAATTATGTGATGGTGATGCGTATTGCTTTTCTGGCACGACCAAAACTCTCACTGCAACTTTTTCGTTGAATCCCTTCTATGATGATTTATCTTATAACAAATACATTCGTTCGGTTGGAACGATGGGAGCTCAAATTAGTGGAGCCTTCAATCCATGTTATGCTTATGGTGCGAATTTGAATTTCACATCATTGACTTCGTTGCATGTTAATGGTCAACCCATCTTGTTACAACGTAAAAATTTGGGACAAGACATTGTTTCGACAACATGTGCTGATAAGGGATCCTGTTCAAAAACGTTTAGTGCTGCAGCAAGTATGTTAGAGGCTGGTTTTTCAACAGATTTAAATATTACTCAGCAAGGAAATGAAGTTACATTTGAATTTGAAGGAACTTCTTCTCCAACCACTTATTTGTGTGTGAAACAATTGGAATTAAGATTGTGTTCAATTCCAAAGACGACCACTGTAGTGTCGTACACTGCACAAATCACATCAACGACACCAAGTGTTTTAAATTTTGTCACCAATGATACTGTGTGGGCTTTACAAAATGAACCCTTTCCAAATTCCAAAGAGTTACTGAAGAGTTATTCAGATCAATTTGTGAGAAGAGTGAAAATTACAAACCCAGCCCTTGCATTCAGCCCAGAATTTAGTTTAATCATTAATCCAAGCATGTATCAATTCATGCCAAGCATGACGATCGATGTTGTGAGTGTGAATAAGACGTTTACCGATCCTGTCACTAATCAAGTGTTGACCATCAATATTTCAGAGTCGGTGACCCTGAAACGAAGTTCATCTCGCTATGAATTGACCTTTAACACTTCACTTTGGAAAGACGACGAAATTTCATTGGACATTAGAATCAGTCTTGTGAGTCCATATTCAAATTCTGGTTTTGGATACTTTTCGTATGATGTTTCTCCTTTGGACACTTCCAAAAACGCATACTATAACACTCGACCATATGGAGCTGTACAGGATCAATTCAGTTATACCTCTCGACAAATATTTAACATCAATTATAATACTCCACAAAAGATTACTGCATTGGGAAAATTATCGGATGTTGTTGCCGTCAATTATTCACCAGATCCCAATACTCCAAGCATGGATGGTCAAATGCCACTTTGTTACATGCAAATCAATACCATCTTTCCAGATAATGTTTTTGAGTTTTCTGGAACCATCTATTTTTATTCAACAAAGACGAACAAACAATACAGCGCCAACTTTGGGCCAAGCTACACGATTGATCCTAACAAGAAACAAGCTCAATACTTTATTTCATCAGAAATGCTCGACTGTACTCAGGGATCTTCTACAATGATTTATGTGTGGTTAGAAATTTTAACAATTGACAAGTATTATGAATCTGGAGTCATTACTACCCAAGTTTCTGCCTCTCGAAAATGTAAGTTATTGGATTTTTTGCGATTGAATTTGTTTCAAAAATTGGATATGTTGTAATATTCGCATCATTCTGACCGTATTGATAGCTATTCAACTTATTGACGATGCAAACAAAGTCTATACAGACCTCAGTTTCTCTTCAAAATATGACGGCACTGTCTATTATGTCAAATCCTTTTCTTCCCTCAAATTCCCATATGATTTAACGGTGTCTACTACTTACTCTTCTCTCAACGCTCCATTTTTGTCCTTCCTTTCCTACAACGTTCCACTTTCATGGGCCGACCAGAAACCAATGATTTTACAATCCACAAAGGCACCTTCTTCCTCCACAGATTTTGCTGCCTACGATGTTGATGTGGCAGTTGGAATGTTTTTCACATTTATTGAGAAGGGTGTCTGTAGTATTTATCCATGTCGTGCCTCCTTTAAGTTTTCCGTCTCTCAAGATTTAGTCAACCCTCCTACGCTTTCCACAACTCCATCCAATACTTTGACCATTACAAAAAGTGGATATCGATCGAATGGATTTTTGACTGCTGTTGAAATTCCACAAATTAATTCTGTCGTCACGAGAAATGCACAAGCAACACAATCCAACGTTCTCTATAATCTCAAAGTAATTGCAGCCGTAAAAGTGGATAGCCAACCTCGTTTATTTACCATTACACGACCCTTAGCACTTCAAGTGAGCAAACAATACGACACACTCAAAACGCACCCTTTAATTCTACCTATTCTCAACAAGTAGCATCCCAAAATTATATTACCTATTATACATGCACAAACACGTATGACACTCATTATTTAATCGTGAACGCTGTGATACAAAACGCCAACGATTATGGCAAATGGTACATTTCCTTTTTTTCTCATCCTGAAGTTTCATACAAGGTCACCTACACTATCCATCTTATGAATAACATCTTTTCGGTGGCCACGACAACGAATGGAGCCAATTTGCCAATTCTTTACTCTCCAATCAGTAGTATTGTTTATGGATTACGATTGAACACTCAAGCCACGTCTGGGCAGGCTAATTTAATGATTTCACTCGATGCAAATTCTTTGTATTTATCAAGAGACAACCAATATGAAATCTTGTTTAAGCATGGATCCATTCCAACAGATACGGATTATGATGTGAAATCTCCTGTGTTACGAAATGACGCCAAGTATCCCTATCAGAAATTTGTAACAAGATTTATTTATGGACAAAATGTTATACTGAGCTATGTGATGGATAACACTTATTATACAAATGCAGACATGAGAAAGAGCTTTCCTTCATCCATGTATTCGAGTAAGGTCGTTTCTGATGGTAGTAACTTTTCCAATGGGATTGTGTATTTCCTTATTAAGGCGACACCAATTTCTGAAAACATGTGCATTTCTGAATCAAATCTCGATATTCCAAATAGCTACATTGTTGGTGAATACCAATACAGCTCTTCATTGATGATCACAGAAGGATCATACAAAAAGATCAATAGTCAAGTCATGGCTCTTGACCTCTCCAAAAAAGACTTGCCTCCAAACTCTGAAGTTGTTGCAGATTTCAATCAAGAAACTGCCACTACTATTTTTTCCTCCAATCCATCCATTCTCTATTACAATGCGAAAACCAAAGCCGTACAGTCGAGCTCTGACAATGACAACAATTCAGGAACTTCCTCTACTCAAATGGCTTTCCATAATTTGACCTATTTACCTTTTGGACCTCCATTCAAAACCGTATACTATTCATTCAAGTACACCATTCGAATGAAAATTGAAAACGACAATAATGCAAAGAATTCTCAGTTTTTCATCTTATTCCCAGTGTCACTCAATGGATTTTTGTCTCCTGCGAATAATTACGATGCCATGGTTGGTGTGAATTCGAAATATGATCCAAATAAGTATTTCATTGATTTAATTTCACCCACGATCATTGTAGGTTCCATATTTGGAGCATTTTTAGCATTGATTGCCATTGGATACTTGATTGCTGCATGTGCATTCGTAATGACCTCTCAAAAACGAGAATTCAATTTGGGAACGTTGAAACCAAAAATTTGGCTTGCGTGTCTCTTCCCTGCTTCAATTCCTGTTTCAATTTGTTACGTGTACTTTTTCCTTTATGAAGGAAGAAAGAATATTTTAGCTCCTCCAGAAATTAAGAGACGTCGTCGAGTCAGGTTTTTAATTACCTTCTCAATAATTTCGTTTGTCATTGGAGTTTTGGCATGTGCATACTTTTTTGGACGACTATTTTTCATTCATGCACAATCGGTGGCAAGCGCCAATAGTCGAGAGTACGTGTTGGGAAAAAAGACACCAAAGTCTGAAAGTTTTTCACCTCCAATTTACACTCCAAAACTCATGCCATGTTGTTCAGCGACACGTCCCTCCACAGACGGAAAAGACGCCCAATCTTTTACTTATTTTGGTACTTCTCAAGCATTTTTCAGTCAAAAATATGGAGGTCGTCTGGATTGTGCACCTCCTCAATGGTTTATGGATTCTGAGCTTGGCACTAAATTCGTTCTACAATCCATTGATGGTCTTCCCTATGTACCTCCTGAACATGATCCAGCTATTGCAGCAGCAAATTCAAAGAATGGAAGGAGTAGCACATTCGAAATGGCAACGACATACTGTATGGCCAATTCAGTGATCCTCATGCCAGTCGATGATGATTTTAATGCATATGGAATTCCTGGAGTATTGTTTGGAATTGGACCAATTTTGTATGCCTTCTTTTTAATGTCGATTGTTGTCTTTGAAAGTTTCATGAAGAAATCAAGTAGTAATGGAACGACAATTCAAAATTATGTGATTGGTCAACCTCCAACAAATGGTTATGGAGAAAATGAAACCAATGAGGACAAGACTACATTACTGATCGATGATGAAGCACGAAATAGTATTTATGCAGTACATCCATCGGCTCCTCTCACATATGATAATACCATGACCGCAGAGCCATATTATGGAAATGTGCAAAACAATTCAGAAGCAGAAGAATATCGTGAACCACCAGCACAACAGTCGACAAGTCAGTTCATGACGAAAGAATGATCAATGTGAATCATTGGAAAACTCTTGTTGAGGATTTGGTGGAACATTCAACAATGTTTCTATTAAGGAACTATTTATTTACATTAAGCCGTTGCATTGAACAAAGTTTCACCTTCTACGATAACTGGATGTAATGGCAACTGCAACAATGATCGGTATGATAATAAATATAAAAGTAATCACATTAAGAACTGTCGTAATTACAAATCCATACTGTCCATACGTTCCATATCGACGTGCAGTGGCGTCATTGGATTTTTTATACTTTAACACTGGAATCCAAAAGAAACATGAAAAGCAAAAGCCAATACCAAAGAACCACATCAACATGGAAACCAACAAAGCCGTGTTGAACGCATTCTGAGCTTGTGAACCTTCAGGAGTTGAGAAGGAAGAGGAAACATTCACACCTGTCGGGAGAGATGTTGTTGTGGTTGCCATCACTGTAGGCTGTTGAGTGGTAATATTACTCGTCGTTGGAACGGTTGCTGATTGAACGACATAAGGCTGTCCTGGCATGGTTGGTTGATAATACACGGCGGTCGTTCCTGGAGGAAGGTTAGAGGTTGTCATGTAAACTTGTTGTACGGGTTGTCCTTGTGGTTGAATGTACATGGTTTGAGGTGGTTGTTGGGGGTAATTACTCATTCCTACAACTACTGAACCAGGTTGAGTTTGGGTTTGATGAGGATAGTAGAAGGGTGTAGCTTGTGGATCATTCAACGCAATGGAAGATTCACCAGTATCTTTTGAGATCGTCGTGTTATTCATGGGTTGCTGTGAGTAATTCATGTTCATTGAGGAGTGTTTTCTTTCTGTAATGAACAGTTATGAGAGTTAGTAAATTTTTTTTCGATTTTAAAACGTTACTGGACAACAAAACCATTGTCTCTTATTTCATCTGGCAATCTCCATTGTGAACTTTTCGAAAATGCCCTAATCAATTGCCAAGAACTTGAAGTGGTCAATTTTTAAAAATCGCCATTTGAGGCCTGAACTAGTTGAGAGTCAAAATTGGATGTTACTTTTGAAGTCAAGGTGAGAGTTGACATGTTTTACTGAGAGATTGTTACCTCATTTTCTTGGAATCAAACATGGAATTTGTTTGAAAATGATGAAGTGTTGAAGAAAAGAGAGATCCATTCGGAGTTTATTCTCGGAGATTTTTACAACAAAAAAAATGCCACAACACTCCGTGCATTTTCTCATCGTGTTGCTACTAGTGCTGCTATCCTCATCATCGCCTAGTTTTTTCCTTCTTTCCTCTTCATACGCCACAACCGTTCCCAAATTTTTCAAATGTCCTCTCTACACACTCCAGACCAATCACACCATTTACAAGAGTTTTAATTATTTACATCCGAATTATATTCTGGATCCTACATTGGAAGCAGAATGTGCAGTCATTCCATTGGCATTGGATCCTTCACAACCCTATACTCCGTTCAATCGTATTGAATTATTTGTGAAACGAGTGAAAATTACAAGTGAAAAAAATTCATCTCGAACCTCCAATGATGTGAAACATTTTGAAAAATTAGAGAAGGAATTGAATTCACTTTGGATTTTACCAGGAATCTCTCCGACTTATTCTGTGAATTACAACCATTATCAATCCAACGTTTCTTATCATTCGTATTTTTTGGACTCGTTGTCACCGGCGACTGCAAGTTCAGTGTTTTTTGAACCGTTGTTGGATCGCTTGTCCACATTGATGAAAATTCAACAGCTCCCTTTTCAATATATTTACACGCTGGATCATCGTGGAGTGGGAGCGAGTCAGAGATTGAGTTGCGTCGCGTCACAAGCAGAAACAAATGGATCCATCTCTGGAAAATTTATTGACATTTACAGTGAATTGAAAAATTGTGCTGTATCGAATTCTGATTCAAATTATTTATTTTCATCTGTAAATGCAGCTATTGATGTCGTCTCACTCATGAAAATGTTACATTCGAGCAATGAAGGAATTTTCCTTTATGGAAACTCTTATGGAACTGTGTGGTTGAGTCGATTCATGAGATATCTCGAATTGAATCAAGCCAACGTGATGGATTTAAATATTCGAGGTGTTGTGATGGATGGTGTCATGGCCACTGTGGATTCTTCTTCTGCTACTACATTATTGAAACGTTTCACATTTGACCAAACCATGCTCTATCAAAATGAGGCCCTTGCAAATTATTTGAAATATTGTGACATGCCATCGAGTAACCAAACAAACGTGAAGAAAAATACCTGTCAAGAAAAATTACAACAATTTTATGAGCAAACTGGTCTTACAACTGCCATTTCTCTCCTCCAAAATACCATTCAGTTAATTTATGAAAATGGAACTATGTGTGAACCAATGCTTGATATTATTGACAATGCAGAATATTTCCGACAATTACTGACTCGATTGTTATCGAATGAATATGAACGAGTCCTTATTCCAGCAATTTTATATCGATTGAATCGATGTGATATGGATCTGGATGTCCCAACTCTTCAACGAATTTTCTCATTCATGATCGAAAGAAGAGAAGACAACAAGAATGCATATATGGACTATCCACTTTCACAATCTCCATTATTAGGTTACAATATTATTTATTCTGAAATGTGGACGAAAAATATAACCTTGCACCAAATGGAAATACTTTATAATCAATCGATTGGAGCCACTCGAGATGCTCTCTCCTACAAGACGGCTCTTGATCTTTCACAATGGAAAACCTATGACCTAGATCCTCAATATGACAATGTTGCATTTTCCTCAAACGTGCCAATATTAATGTTGAATGGCGAATTGGATCCATTGACGCCTGTGGAAGGAGCTCGAAATCAATTTTCACACATTCACGGAAACTCGGTCAAGTTCATTGAAATTCCGTTTGGAGCTCATTTCTCACTGTTCAACACACCCATTCAAAATTCAACTCTGGATTGTGGATTACAAATTCTCATCAACTTTCTTTCGCACGCCAATGTTTCTCAACTGAATTTACAATGCCTTCAAGAATTGAGTTTTAACTTTACAGGATCACCTATCGTGAATTTACAATTGGCTGGAGTTTTAAATATTTATGAAGACATGTATGAAGCTCCAGAGCCTCCTCTAGTCTTTAGCATGTTTTTAATGATTGGAATTGTTTTGGCAACCTTTGTCGTTGCATTATGTGCAATTATATTGTTAACCTATGCATTGATTGATCTAAAGATTAGAATGAAAAATCAATTGGCCTATGTTCGCATCAATCAATAAAACAACCAACTCAATTTTCAATCTATCGCACTTGCCCCGACACAAGCCAAATGAAAAAGTTTCAGTGTAAGCACCTTTAGCTCAGCTTGGAAGAGCATTGGCCTACGAAGCCAGGGGTCGCGGGTTCGATCCCCGTGAGGTGTAAACTTTTTAACTGTTTTTCAATAAAATAAAATTTATTAAATTTATTTTCTTCATTAGCTCAATTACACAATCATTAAACAACCCTGTAGCAATTCAAGCAAGAGTGACACTCAACGTTGTTGTCACTCTTAAGAGATCAAGAAATACATAAAAAAAAATGCTTTCACATCAAGATGGTCCCTTTCATCCCGATGTTCTCTCCACCATCTTTTCCTATTTAAAACACGAAACAGTATACGTTCAGATGAGTCTTGTTTGCCAGGAATGGTATCAAGTGATTGAAACCGGTAATTTTATTGGAGAGGAATTTAATTTATATTATGATAAGATCTTTGAGTGTTCCTGTACAAATTTAGATGAAATATTGATGAAAATGAAAAGAAATTCATCATCCAAGGACGATGATTTGGTGAAATTTGCCTTGGACATCAATCAATTTTATTCAACACCATATTTTGACCCCTATTATCCTGAATACGATGGTGGAGAATATCGTTTAATCTGGCGTTTAGCATCATTGGTGTCCAATAGATTTATCAAGTACCTCACGTTTTTACAACACAAGCATGGAGCCATCCAAAGCGTGAAAACAATTAACATGTATGAGATATTATTGTTGAGCAATGTGTTGCAAATTGGTCGCTTGACACACTCTCTTTTTCCTTCTGTGACCATTGTTAGGTGTGCAGTGATGTGTCAATATGACAAGTTGGAAGGTTTCTTATCAGATATTGCTAAAGGGTTTGACAAGTTACAACACGTGTATTTGATTTCTGTTCATGGAGGAAGCGACGACGAGGGTGACAACGACTCAATTCTCCCTACGAATCGCTCTGTGAACCAATCCATTATTACAAATGTTGCAACAAAATACCCACACATTCAGTTTCAACATTTGGAGTTTTCGAAAATAGTATCACATGATCGTGTTGTTGAGTGGCAAGCAACAACAAATTCCTTTCAAAATTCGAACGAATATCAACCCATTGAAATATTTACGTCAGACATTGAATTATTATCGTTTCTCAAAGATGAACCTTGGATCATGTCTTTTCATGCAGCCAATGAGAATATTTTGACTATGGCTATTCGTTTCAAATTTAGAGAGAGTATAAAATTCATACTTTCACAGAACTTGGCCTTACTTACAAGGTCCACATATCCCCTGCTGAACTACCGTGTTTATGAGATGCAGAGTCCACTTGCAGCGGTTTTAACATATACAAGTCCTGAAGACGGAATTATGGATGACATTATTGTTGCATTGCAATCACTGTCGAAAAAGAGCGCAGAATATATTCATGACACGGTCATCAAACTTCTTCCAGCTCATAACAAACGCTCACCTCGTGTAGAACCCTACTCCACCTTGTTCAGCAATTTCATTCCAAATCACACACCCCAAGTGATGAAATACGTTTATGAAACATATGGATTTGACCATTCATTATTTAATTTACTGAAATATCAAACAGGTTATTCATTTACGCATTATATATTACAATACTTTCCTTCATGGTGGCCGTACATGAAGACTTTTGAACCCGAACAAGTGTTTCAAAATTTTGAAGAGCATTCATATTCACTCCTCAAATCCAACCCATTACATGCATTGTGCAATGCTCATTGTAGCATCACGACCTTCCAAGAGATCATGAAAAGTTATTACGACAATCATCTAGAAGTTTTGGAACAGCATTTACAAGGTACTACAATCACAAAACAGACTCCCTTACACACTTTATTGTTCTTGAATTTGCTGGGATTTAGTATTAAAGAGACAACAGAAAAGTTTTGGACGTTGTGGGAGAAGTGTAGTACAAATTTGAGGAAACTACTCTTGATGCAAAATGCAAATGGAGAAACACCATTAGAAGTCTTCATTTCATGTACTCGTTCATGGCATATTCAAGAAAGCGAAGACTTTATTCAGCAACTTGTTTCACAAATGGTATTAGAGAATGAATGGGATGCACTTCAAGTTTTCAGAAAGTTATGCCTTCAAAGAAAATCCTTCTCTCTACTGTATGTGATTACTAGAGCGTTAGAAGGAAGGCAGTTGTTTCCTTTGAAGCCAGACGAAGAGGATGGATATGACTTTTTATTTTGGGTTGCACATCCCTTATCCTCTACCTCCATTAAGCATCAATTTTACTACGTGTTGAAGAGTGGTTTTGTGAATTTTAAGTGTCAATGTCCCAAGACCAATCGAACTCTATTGCATGTGGTGATGCAATCACGTAATAGAGAAATTTTGGTTCCCTTTTTAATACATTTTGGGGTGCAAGTGAATGGAGTAGATTTCAGTGGAAACACATGTCTACATTTAATCGTTGGTCAACAACGTTCGTATTATTATAATCCAGAATATTCCATTACACAGTTGTTGAGAAATTTTGGAGCTGATGTGAATCTTTGTAATTATCGTGGAATATTGCTATGCACACATCTACAACCAAGAGGTACGAAATGGTCGAGCTCGAAAGTTCGACCAGCGTTCATTTGTGATCATTGTTTGCGACACTTTACATCACAGAAAGCATTGCAGAGTCATGAACAAGCAAAGCATGCAGTACCAAAGGACTGAAAAACAATATTTTTGTGGCAACCATCAATGAAAGTCGGGAATTCTTCTCTGTGCTCGAACGAAAAATTTCGTGACCATCTATTTTTGACGACTAGCCGTTACACCAAGCATTTTAAAAATTCAAAAAAAAATGAAGAAAACCCATCATGCTCAACAGTCTCTCCAATTCAAGCCAAAGAAGATGGTATTGCAGCTTCTTCCAAGGACTGAACAACTCTACAAGGAGATTAATGCAAGAGGATTCAATCCGGGAATACAGTAAGTTTTTCATTGCAATAGGGTATCTATTCACTTGAACATCATCCTGATTCAACCTTGAACGAGCCTTCTAGGATCAAATTCAAAGAAACAAAATCAGCGTCGTATGTGGTGCAGTATCTGATGACCCGATGGAGTACCATTCTTGCTGCACTTCAAGTCCAACAAGTGAGAATCTATCCTCGTAAGATCAACTTTGGATGTGCCACTCATTCGGGCTGGGGAATTGAGAGCACTCAACATGCCATGAACAAGGTGAAGCGAGAAGTTGTGGATTTTCATTTACATGGTTCTAATACTACATCAGGTAATGATCGTACACATCAAGAGGAAGGTGCCGATGAGCCTTTCATCATGGAATATGATTTCATATATTATCCTCAACCATCCTTGGTCAATACTGACTTGAAACAAGGTGGTAACAACAATACCATCTCAACAACTACTCAAGTATCGGTTCCTAATCACTCTTGGAGTAAAGGTGCAAGTGGTTTCCTGTCTCCACCTTGCTCCTCTTCACAAAAACCTACCATTCACTCTGTCTTACCTCAAAAGACTACAACAACAACAACTAGTAGTAGTGGTACTTCCACAATGGGATTTATTACATCTTTTGCAGATGTGAGTCATGTATTGGATTCCATGAGAAGTGCTCAACAACAACAGCAATCATCGTTGAGTGCTACTTCCATCAACACCACGACACAATTCCCATCAGTTTTGCCCACCATCAGCAACCAAACACCAATTGCATCACCTTCTAAGAATACCTCGTCACGAAAAAGAAAAACTAAGGAAGAAACAAGTGCTTCCGTGACAGCCAATACTATTGGAACCACAACTCACACCAACTCTTCTCCAAAGAAGAAACGAACCACTAAGAAAAAGAAAACAGAGACTATGAGTACAGTAGAGATTCAGAATAACACTGTCATTCCTAAAGGTACTTCTCAAAACAAGCTTTTCATTACACCTTCCCAAGTTGAGGCAAGTTTAAGTAATTTCCTCAATACTGCCGATATCAATTCTCAATTTTCACAAATTAACAAACTCAACAACATTGAGATTTCCAATTTGAGTGAGCTATTCAACTTGCATTTTGGATCTTCATGTAAAGAACAATCCACTACAAATTTTGGATCATTGTTTGGTAGTGATGGTGAAGGATTCAATATGAATCACCAAAATGCAAATACCTTCAAGTCAACCAACAATCTTGCCTCAACAACATCCTTTGTAAATACCTCCATGACTCCATCCAAATCGTCTTCCAATATTCTTCATATTATTAGTCATAATGACAACTCTTCCCTTTTTGTTAGCTTGAGAGAAAAGTCGACCGGTCCTATTGATGATTCATTGCCCTCACTATTTGCATGATGTCACAAACCTTGGTTCAATAAACTGTTTACAGCTCTTTGATGACAAGAAAGAAATTGTTGTGAATTCAAGTCTGTTCTTTCACTTGATTTCCCTTCATTGGGAATACAAGAATATTAAGAACGGAAGTTGAAGGTTGTTGTGATCAAAAAAAATGCCAATCCAACATTTCCGATTGATTTTGCTAGATTTTTCATCGTCGGAAAAAGAATTTCATTCAATGCTGAGAAACAAATTTCAAGTACAACAATTGGGTCAAAAGAAATGGATTGAAAATAGAGAGCAATGGTTATACAACCCGAATCTCAACTTTGATTTGGGACCATGTTTTATTCCAATTGAATTTATGAATGATAAATCCTTTGTGTTGGATTTTATCAAAAAGTACAAAACTGGTCTCGAGTCTTGCTCTCATTTACTTTTAGAGGATCGATCGTTTGTGCTGGAAGCAATCAAACATGACAAACATCCATCAATTCCAGTCAAGTTTTTTCGAGATTTGGAGTTTATTCGAGAAGCAGTGAAATATACTTCCCTTATTGATGTTTCTTATTATTATCAAGAGCTGACTCAGGAAAGGGAGTTCATGTTGCATCTTTTGAGCCTCAATGCTCGATTCTTCAAACATGGACCTTCTGAATTGAAAAATGATCGAGAAATTGTGCTACAAGTTGTTAAACAATGTGCTTCAATGATAGAATTTGCATCGGACAAAATTAAGAACGATCAGGAAATAGTTTTAGAAGCTGTAAAGCAAGATTGGTCGGTTATAAAACTTGTATCCAAAGAAATGCGCAATAACAAACAAGTGATGTTACAAGTAGTCAGAGGCTATGGTGGAATGTTGATTCATGCATCTGATATGCTGAAAAATGATAGAGAGCTAGTGTTAGAAGCCATTGGAAACTATTCTCTTGCATTTAAATTTGCATCCTATGACCTGCAATTTGACAGAACCTTTGTTGTAGATGCCGTTTCACGAAATGGAGATGTATATTCACATGTATCAGAAGATTTTATTCATGACACTGAGATTATTTTCAAAGCATTGAGCACTGGTAGTGATATATTGTCAAGAATTCCTAACAGTATTAAGAATGACATTGAATTTTTATTAGAGGCATGTCATTGTACAGGATTGGCTCTGAAATATTTACCTGATCAATTTAAGAGTGACCGAAAGTTTGTGTTTCCCATTATTCAACGATATGGAAATGCGTTAGAGTATGTTTCACATGAACTGCAACGAGATAGAGAGTTGGTTTTTATGGCTGTCAAACAAAATGGTTCACTCGTGCAGTTTACTTCGACAGAGCTTCAGGCTGATAAAGAAATTGCTTTTGCAGCAGTTCAAAACAACCCATATGTCATAGAATATATTCCTCCAGAAGTGGATTTTTACAAAGACCTCGCATTGCTGGCAATTGAGAGAGATGTTGATTCATATAAATACATTTCTAAGAAATGGCAAAGAGATAGGAACATTTTGAATCAACTAGTCACTTTGCCTGCTTTCAGATTAATTCTAGTTGAAGACATTTTAGACGAAATAGAGAGCATGAGCGAATTTTTATTGGACGCCATAGCAGCGAATAACATTTATATTCTTTTTGATGCTCCATCTGCGTTACTGAGAGATCGAGAATTTATATTACAAGCTGTGAAAAGAAATGCTCTAGTTTTACAGTATGTAGAAGACGATTTGCGAAACGATTCAGAAATTATTTTAGAAGCACTATTAAGGCATGGTTATGTCGAACAGTACAATGAATGGCAATTCAAGATGCGAATGCAACATTGTTATTTGGATTGCTATCTCGCTCAATAGTTGGATGGATGTTAACTCCAAGTTTATCGACATGGAAATTTCTACTTGGAGCAGTGGATATTATTCTACTATGGAACCAATTTTCGTTTTTGGTGGAAGCAAAATTGAGATTGGATTCTCTCTCACACACAAAAAAATGAAACGAAATGTTTTCAAGCCCTTTCTGTCATCCGCATTGACAGCAGTTTCAGCACGCAATTGTGAATCCATCATGGTTGTTCGTTTCAAGTTCATGAAGGCAAGCTTGACACGAGGAGGTGGTGGTGGTTTGAAAAATCTCCTTTCGAATCATCATCATGGACCTATACGAGCCTTTCATTCCTCTCCTTTCATCCTCAAGCAAGAAATTGATATCAATCATGACAAACTTGATGAACAAGCACAAACATCATCCTCCGATCAAATTCAAACTGCACTACAAGCTGGTAATCTATTAGAAGAACAGTTTCAACAAATGATCAACCTAATAGAAACATCAAAACTCTCCAAAAACCATACCAAGATGGAAATCTCAAATGAGCTTGTTCAATTCGTTCGTTCGGTTAATAGTAGTGCCCATACCATTCATGCTGCTCTCGGACAAGATCCGAAATTATTCTTTGGCTCTTCTGTTGGAATGAGGGCCCATTTGCTTCATCGAGAACTTCACTTGATTTTTCTAAAAGCACTCTTTCAAGAATGGTTTGATTTGCAAGCATTGAAATCATTCTTTGTTGGTCTTGAACCTTCTACTGGACTTCTTTACAAGTATCCAAAATCCACTCCTCAGAAACAACAACACTCATATGAAACATCAGAAAGTACGACCATTCCATTCAAGGACGATACACACTTTTTGTGCACTGTTTGGGATGCTCAATTGACACTTGCTGCTGCACCTTCTGAATTTGGCAACAAGAGAGTATTCACTCGAGAGGTCCTCATTGCGAATTTCTATTGGTTATTCACTCGATTGAAAGACATACCACTAGATAAACAGAATCTATTCGATTATGCGAAACTTGTGATGGACGGTTACAAAGCAACAAAGGAATTTTATGTGAAAGGAGTGAACAAGGATGTGGATTACTCAAAAACAATTACCCATGACGCTGAGGAAAATGCATTTTCATTCACGAGAAGAACTTTCAGTGAAGATGAATTCGATTGGTTTGAAGATTTGGAAACAAATTTGCCTTTGCATTTGGGAGCTTGTTTTAAGACCATTGAAATCATCGCTCGCATCAAGAAGTATGGAGACCATACTCAAATGTTGGCAGATTTAGATGAGTGTTTGAAAATCAATCCAAATAATCCCTATATTTTATACTTGAAAGGTTCTCTCTGTAGACATTTGTTGAAAACCCCAACAACACATTTAACTGTTAATTATTATTATCAAGTAGGAATTGAAAGTTGCAATGCTGCATTGAACATTTTGAAAAATCAAGTGAATATTCATTTCACATCTGCGTCTCCACATCTTGATCGTTTATCAAAAACTCGATTTGACACTGAGGACGACAGTCTCGACTCCAACGACGATGAGGAATATAACGAAGCACCCATTCCAGATCTCAAATTCACACCAATTCTCTTTTTGAGGTCAACCATTCACAATGAGGTGGCTTCTGACCCGAAACTAATACCTGCGCTCAAATTACAATATGCAACGCATGCCTTGAACGATTTGAAACAAACGGAGAGATTTTCTAGAATGCCAAATGAATACAGTTTTCTGATCAACAAAGGACAAACCTACTACTTTTTACGACAATTTGACAAGGCATTGATGGCCTTTGCTGCCATTGAAAAATTTGAAACTATTCTCACTCCATCGTCCATGATTCATGCAATTTGCTCCTCTGTGAACTGCATGATTGAATTAGGCCACGCTCAACTGTGTCTTGAAAAATTGGAGGAATATATTGTGAAATACAATCACCATCCTGCATTGGTTGCACACAAATTGGATTGCTATCGAGTATCATGTCGATCCAAAGATGACTTGAAAAAGATTTTACCAATGTTTCAAGAATTTGCAGATTCGTTGAAAAATATTTCTCAAAAAGATCCTCACAGTTTCATAAAATACTATCCAGAGACATTAAGATTCATTGAAACACTGCAAAAGGCCATTGATGATCCATTAACTCCAGAGAGATGGTAATTATAATTATAATTTGTCGAATGCGTATTAATATATATAGACCTTAGTGATGGTGAGACAAAGGATAACAACAAAAATAATAGAGGGTAATTATGATTTATTATAATTCTTACAATGTTGGACATGACTTGAACAACAGTTCGATCCGACAAAGTTGTTGTGTCACATTTTTTAAACTCGATGGAAAACATCTTCTTGCTTAGCATTTCACCAACACCACATACATGCATTGAACTAGCTCTATATCAAGTATCCCATACTATTTCAATGCTTGGCTGTTGTTCTTCATATATATGCTCCTCCAGCGGCAGAAATCAATCATTACACTCTTTGTTCTTTGTGAAATTGTAGATTGTGGGTTTAATCATGACTCACCACGACTGGAGGATTGCAAAGATTTAGTGAATATCCAAAATATCTCTCATGCATGAGAAAACTTTTATGACAGTAAATAGATTTGTTATTAAATAATAATATTTACATCAGATGTGTGCAACCTGTTAAGGGAAAAGTGACTCTCAACATATGTGGTCATACAATCTCTCTGAATAGATACAATCCATAGTGGTAGTCTCTGTCACAATTACGATGGTATTTGTTTTGTATTTGTGGTTCATTGTCTTGTAAGCTTGTTTCAAAACATTTGCCACTTGTGTGTTTGGAACAAAGATATGCAAAATATGTTTTTCCCAATGATCTTGTTTTTGAACGTTTTGGTTAGCCCAAATAATTCCACCCAACTTTTTCTTCAACAAATGGATGCCATCCTCAATAGTGAATTCAGCAAACATGCCATTATCTTGCTCTGTAGGTCTCTTGTATTTGAAGGCACGTGTGACAGAGATTCCAACCTTCTTACCGTTAATAACCATCAAAAAATCTGTCTTTTTGCTTCCATCATGTATGTATGCAATTTCCATCTCGGTCTTGATCAACGCGGCATCAAACAAACGAGTAATAATCTCACAAGACATAACCTCAGAGAAAACAGAGCATCCGCCAGCATTCTCTTCTTCACAAACTCTCTTTGAGCCCACTCCAATTTGTTTGGTAATCATTTCAAACATTTGCTTATTGAACTGAACATCCGTATTGTATTGAGCTGCCTTTTTCTGATCTGTTGGATACACTCTGTGTGCAATAAATGCAGGTTTAAATACATTGTCCAAGGCTTGATAGAATTTGTGATAAAAGTTCATATAATTCGTTTCCATAATAAAGTCCTCTCTAACTTTGATAATGTCATTAGGTCTTGTTTTCTTATGGTTTTTCGTCTTGCACTTTTGAATCACTTCATGCTGTGGAGAATGATTGATAGGCTCATTCTGAAACTGATGTTCAGTCCTGCAAAAGACACGTCGACCATGAGGACAATAAAAGTCTCGTACTCTTTGTGGTGGTATCGGACGTGGAGCTTGACAGACGTTTGGAAAGATGTTGTTTAAAGCAACAACTGGAATGCCACTTGTTGTTTCTTCCGTGAAGAAGATGGCACTGCTCATGATGGTCTTGTCTTGTAATAATATCCACCTCTCTTTGGCACGGATGTTGATTTACATGAATGCCAGCTTGTTGTTGATAGCAATGAGCATCATCATCGTGGAAGCCTTGAAAGACTCTGATTTGATCATGTCCGGGAATGGCTTGATGAGGCTGGCGCTGATGGAAAAAGTCTATTTCAAAGGCTTGTTCATGATAATCATCCTGAGGATGGTGAGGAATGATCATTTGGTTGTTGTTGTTGTATTGAATGAATGGATGTTGTTGTTGTTGGAACATTCTAATGGTTTAGAGGATCAATATATGATTGAATGAGTTGTTGTTGTTGTTGTTGAATAAAATCAAACGATAACAGTTGGGCGATGAATCACTCGGGAAAGTGAGCTTGAATGGTTGTGGTTTTGTTGAGAGCGTGCGAGGAGCAGCAACGAATAATGAAAATTTTTTCGAAATTTTGATTTTGCAGTTTTATTTTTGGTGACTGAATGGGCGAGAACAAGGAACTGCGTTGAAAAACAAAAAACAAAAGTGACCAATGTTGACACTTGAATCCATTCTGCTCTGTTGGAAAAATTGGAAGAAACGAAATCACGAATTTTCTATAATCACAATCTCCAATTTACACATACAACGTGTTTGGTAATTCTGAATCATTTCTCAATTGATAAACTTCTTCTCTATGATTTCGATGCCACTTTTTATGATTCTTTGCATTCGGATATTCAAAATATTCCTTCCTTGATTTCTCTTCCCAGTAGTGATCCCTATCTCGTGCCCATTTCTCTTCGAGAATGAATAATTTCTTTTCTGCAGTTTTTACTCCTATGGATGAGTGGTGACACATTTCGGAATTGGTTTTTTCAAATTGCTTTCTTCGTTTCACTCTTGAGGTGGATGATTTTGTGGTTGTTGTTGGTGAAGTTGTTGCTTCGGAAGGGAGTGGCATGGGAGTGATGGATTTGACTTTTCCAATTCGAAGACCCCATCTTCTGATTTTACATCTTGAACGATGTCCACACATGTTTTTATTGGTATTACTGTTATTGAGTTGTTGTTTTTTTGTTGAGTAAAAGTTCTCAATTTCTTGTGGTCAAGTTTTAATGCAAGTTCCAAGTTATTTTTAAAAAATAATTTGAACTTGGAAAACAAGTTGGAGATTGATGGGATTTCGTTAAAATCTAAGGAAATGAAAATGGCTTAAATGCAACAATATCTATCGTCAGTGAATGAAACAGTTGTCACATGTCCAAGAGAAAAAAAATTATAAACAACAACATGACGGAAATTGTTATCAAAACCTTTGATGGCCGGTCCTTTTCATTGAATATCGAGAGCAATGATACGGTTGAAAATTTGAAATTGAAAATCCAAGACAACATTCATTTGCCTCCCGATGAACAATTTCTCGTTCACTCCGGCAAGGTCATGAGAGAGATGGGAAAAACCATGTCAGAGCTTGACATTCGTTCGGAAGCAGTGATTCATGTTTTACGAAAATCAGGACATATTTAATTCATGATTTAATTATTAATAATTATTCTATTAAAACAAGTTCATTAAATTGTAACAACAAAATTACTAAACCCCTGCACACATGCAACTCTTTATCAAAACTTTGGTTGGAAAAGCTCTCACTATTGAAGTGGAGCCGAATGATACTGTTGAAACTATAAAATTGAAATTACACGATCAGGAAGGTATTCCTCCCGATCAACAGACTTTGATCTTTGCCAGAACAGTATTGGAAGAAATGGGCAATACCATTTCGGAATGTAAGATTCAAAAGGAATCAACGATACATTTGGTGATAGGATATAGGAATGGGTGATTTGAACATGACCTTTTATCATTTCATAACCGATAAGCCATGATCATGATTTTTCAAGTAAAATAGTTTGAAGAAATTCCTTAAAAAAGAAAATGGGAAATTGTGGAGAAATACAAGGTTTGGAGGATTCAGTTGTTTTGAACAATTACCTTCTCGATGTAAATGCATTCCAAGTCCTTTCAATTCAAAACTTCATTCCGACTAGTCCAATAAATTGTCGTACCTTGCTGTCACCAATCAACACAAAAAAATGAAAAATCACACCACAAATGAAACGACCAGTAAACATGCCAATCTCCCTCAACATTCCAACAACGAGACATCAACAGTTGGTGCCACTTCACTTCCATCATCCTCATTGACTCTTTCCGACCATAACAATCCAAACACAAACGTAACCAAAACAACAACAACAACAACAGAACACGTAATTTCCAATCCACAACACACCATTTCATCATCCAATATTACTCATGGCACTTCCAATAGTTCAAATGTTGTTCCTCCCAAACGAGAGCTCTCACATCGATTATTACCTCTTCCAACACCACCCTCTCAAAAACAACAACAACAACCTCATTCTTCTCATCCATCGCATCAAGTAGTGACATCCTCATCGACTTCGTTTCACTTCTCATCCGATGATGAAAATACCAATCCAACAATTACCAAATCCGATTCCGAAGATAAATACAAAAAGACGGATCACGAGATGAGAAAGGTCCAATCAGCTCGAAATTCATCAGCTGGTACTTTGTTGAATTCCTTGATTCATCCAACTCATGCAACAACTCTTGGAGAACAAAATAATTCTAAAAAAGAAAATCAGTTACAAAACAAAGCCTCCTCGTCTGCTTCTACGTCCAGTAAATTTGAACAACATCAAAATCCGATTGGGAGTGCTGTTGCAACAGGAGTTCATAAGAGTATCAAGAATCTTGGGGAGGCTTTGCACGCCTATCATTTTGAAATTGTAAAAGTAGAGAATATTGGAAAAAAGTTGTTACATCTTCGTAATCATCATCACAATAAGAATAATAGTAATACAGATCATCATCATACAATGACCAATAATAGTAACACTTTGACGACAACTGTTTCAACAACAAATCATACGGTGGTTGGAACGAGTGAAAATGTAAATAATATCTCGACCGAGAATAATGTTTCAACAACAACTACAACAACAGCAACGAACTCCCCGAGAGGTACTAATACAGAGACTATTTCCATCAAAATTGAACCTCATAACGAACAGCAGTCATGTACTGTACCAGTAGTATCATCACCTTCCCAACAACAGGTATCATCGTCCTCTACCAATAATAACAATTCTTCCACGACTGCTGCTCTGACCTCAACCAACTCCACCACCAAAGAATCACCACCACAACCAGCATTATCCCCTCATTCACCTCCAACGCTCACCTCTCCCTCTCCTCGCACCATGAGAAAACATTCTTCCATGAGAGATGATATTGTTTCTGCGTTTGTCAAAGGTCCTCATTCCGAAGATTTTGATTTAGCTCAATTCTCTTCCATTGTCAACAATGATTCAATCTCACAACAGGCACTTACAACCTCATCAGCAAGCACTCCACGATCATTGCCTTCATCCTCTAATTCATTTCTACCCTCTCATCAACATCATGAAATCAAATATTCTCTGCTCATGACAAAGAGTGAAAGCCTTTGTATGGATTGTAAAAATATTAATTGTAAATGTGTATTGATTAGCGTGCCAACTTCATGTATACCAGGCCAAGAACAAGATGAACAAAATACGATGGTCGCATTTGAAATGGTAGGAACCGTGTTGTTGACAACGAGTCGAATTTTGTTTTTAATTGACGAGGACTCTGCCGTAGAGGCATCATCTCCAGAATCACAAAATTTACAAAAGATTATTGAGATATTATTGTCCAATGTTGAATATATTGAAAAGAATACTGAAAAAGAGCGATCCATGTGTATTGTTGAAAAATCACCAATGAATCCACGAGAAGGAGATATGGACCCTCCACCAATTAAATTCATCAAGAAGTATGAATTTTTTGGGTTCGAAAGTCACACAACATTCCAGCGAGCATTTAAAACATTTAATGACATGCTAAACGTGATACGAACAATGGAGTCTGAAACAACACTGGAAGGAACAACAAGTGTTGAAACTAATAATTTATCTAATGATGGAGGAAATAGAAAAGCAACCCCATCATCCAATACTTTCAACGACGCTTCTGAAAAGAAGCTAAGCGTGACCACATCTAAACGAGAACGGTACACTAGAAAACGAGTTTCAGTGGCTAATACTTTCCATGATCTTCCTTCAAATTATTCCATAGGTAGCAATGTTCGAAAATTTTTGAGCCCTCTCGAAGAGGCCCTTACCAATAATTTTTCAATGGTTGATCGAAAACTTTTAACACCACCCTCAAAAAAGACTGTTGCCTTGGCCGAAACTAAACACAGACGCTCACTTTCATTGAGCTCTCCAGTTGTGTATGAAGCTGGTGCTTCCAAAGCGGGTACAACTTCATCGAATAAGCCTGGTGGCTCCTCAATTTCAGAGTCAGGAGATGACGATAAGAGGACAGTCATCTCAGAGGGTGCAGTCAGCATAGGAGGAGGCGCAGAATCATCAGCAGATGAAGCTGAATCAAAACGAAGATCTAAAAAACGAGAAAAGAGACAATCATTAGCAATTCCTACACTTGTTGTGGACCCTCCTTCACAAGAATTCGACGATCAATTCGATGGTATGGTTGACGAGGTTGCTCACTTTGCCGACGACGTTCCTTCAATTGAACCCAATGATATTTTCGCAGTGGCAGACCAAAAATCCTCACAAGTCAAAATGAAGGAAGTGGTAAGCAAAAAATTTATGGGAATTTCAGCAGAAGAGCTCTTCCAAGCATGTTTTTCGAATGCATCCACTTTTCTTGTTAAAGTACACGAAAAATTAGGAGACACTGGAGTTGAGCTCTATGATTGGGTCGATTTCCAATATGGTGCACCAACTGTGAGAGGAATAACGTACAAAATTGGAGGATCGTCACCCAATCATTTCAGTTCATTTACACAGACGGCAATTCGAGTTTTGGAAACTCAGAGAGTTGTCCTAGCAAAGAACACCTCGAAAGACAAACCCATGTCATACTTTATACTATTTACATCGGCAGCAACACAAGACATGGCTAACAATCAAATGTTCCAATTTGATGTCAAATACATTGTGAAGGATACAAAACCGCTCAATTTACTTATGAACAAGGAATGTGAAATTGAGATTTGTGCAGGTACACAATGTAAGGGAGGAAGTATATTTTGGAGAAGCAAATCCACAGAGTCTAGCGTCATGAAAGCCATCAAAAATCGTCTCATGGTCGAGTTGGATTTAATGAATGAGACAGTTGAAGCAATTGTAAATGCAAAGAAAAATGCTCTATCCGAGCAACGTTTGAAATCTTGGGAAGCTTCCGTCATGTCCACCATTTCATCCCTTGATGGAGGCTTTCCCAAGGAAATGCCTTCCTTAAACAATTTGTTGCCACCTCCATTGTGTGTAGAATCTTCTCCACCTCCTTCACCTCGTGACGGTGATGGAGACATGTCAGAAAGCTTGGCAACCAACGAAGATGAAGATGAACTAACTTGCGGCTCAACCACTTCGGCTGTTCCCAACACACCTCATAGTGAATTCAGTGGCGGAGAAAATGAAAGCTCTTCACAGAGAAGAGTGAAAGTGGTTGGATTTTCCTCAACGTCGCATCTTACTGTGCTACCTCCACCACGTATTAGTGTGGCGAGCCCATCAACACCAACACTATTTCCTCCTGGCAGCAATAATGAAGGATCCAATTTGGTACGTGTTCGAAAAACGAGCTTGTTGGATACCTCTCCAACATTTGCCAATAATTTTGTCGTACCGACCACAAGTGAAGCTCAACACACTGTAGAAGGTGAGGCGAAACAATCCAATGAGATTACTTGTATTGACTCTTCTGTTACAAATGGTACTTCATCGAATATGGAAATGCATTCATCTCTGACCATCACAGATATGAGACCAGATCAAATCAAACAACTAGATCCAATTTTATTATTATTATGGGAATTATTGATCTCCATGTGCAAGTCTATTTTCAACGTCCTTTCTACAGTTTTTGAATATGCAGTGAATTACTTCTTGGAACCAGTCTTGACATTTTCATGGAATTTTAAAGATATTGTTTCTGGTGTGATTATTGTATTTCTGATACTTGTATTCATGTATGGAAATCATTCTATAACAAACCGAGTTAATAATTTAGCCATGGAAACAGGACAGATTCATAAGGAATTGAAGAACAAATTTATTCTTGCTAGGAACATGGTTCACAGAATTCAAGATTCAAGTCACATGAATTCTACACAATTGCAATCGAGTTTGCGCGATATTATGAAAGATTATTTAGTGGAGCACAGAAAGCTTTCTCGTAAGGTAGAACAGCATGATTTGATGAAATCGTTGAGAGACTTTAGGGCCAAGCTCAAAGAAAATGTAAAGCGCTGAAAAAATAAATTTATGTTTGCGAGTCGAGTTATTTAAGGCAAACAATGGTAGTCACATGTCGTTCACATCGACCAATTTTTGCATTGGGACACATATTTCCTTCAATTTCAGAGCAAGAATCAGAGCATGTATTCTGAGGAAACCATTGTTAAAAACAGCAAGAGTTATACGAAAGCATGTCATAATTATTAGCTGCAAGTCAAAGTCAACTTACAAACAAGGTTGGATATCCCTTAATGAAGGTAGTGGCGCTTCCGCCGCCGTCTAAATTGACAGCGTTTTGAAATCCAAGGAACAATAAAAGATCTGTCATTTCATAAACATTGAGGCCTAACTTTTGAGGCTCGTATCCGTTCACCTGTAGAATCATTAAATTTCCATTAATGTCATTTCCAATAGCCACACGAGGTGCAGCCAAGTCACAGAATGCTTGGCTTGTTTTCTCAATTTTGATCGATTCATTAACAAATGACTTGCCTTCTCTTACAAGCCATAATGCTCCCTAACATTTGAACGCGATAAAAAATTATTCATACACATGTATCATGTCAATTGTTCGTGGATGAGCAATAAATGAGCTCAGTTGCCTTTGAAAAAAATACCACACACAACTACACCTACCTGAACCAATTGAGTTGGTTTCAATTTTGTAAGTTCAGTATCATTCACATATCCATACAAATATTGAGGGTGATCTGCATGGTCGATAAATCCAAATACAGCATTATGACCTGAAGCAGTGTTTAAAACCTTTCCATTCGAAATGACTCTTCCAATACAGTAACCATGAGGAACATCAAAAAATCCTGCATTTGTGGCCACAAGACAATCATTTTGTTTGGCTGTTGTGCTTGTTCGTTCTTTACATGGATCCTCAGTACTATCCTCGTGAAGCGACGATTGGAAAATATTTGTCAATTTGCTTGGTTGACAACATCTGCCATACGGAGCAATGATTTGGAAATGTCCATCATTCACCACTTTAACCCGTAATAAATTTCCACTCACTTTCCGATTCTTGATGAATGGAAACGTTTCATTCTTCAATTCATAATGTGAATACGAAAGAGGAGTATTCTGTTGAGAGTACACAGAGGATACCAGCAAGTAATTAGAATCAACACCATCATTTGTTTGGCTCCATATGGAGCTACCCTGTTTCAATCGGAATGATGAATTCATTTCATGTTCAAATCCATAGGGATGACTCGAGTGATCCATTCGATGAATCATTGTATGTTCATTCTCCATTGTTATGGCGGAGCAACAAGAAAATATGCCAAGCAGTAGCAGTGTCCCTATCGCTACTACTAACCGTGCAACTCTCATCATTTTTTTTGTAATCTTTTTCTATGCGAATTTCTTCCAAAGTTGTTTCCTTCTTCATTGAATTATTATGATTCAATACTATTGGTTCTTCATCAAAGGTCATGATTATAAATTTTACTTCAACATGTCGATTTTACGTTAAAATAAAACATTTTTTTTAATACCATAATTAATGCATCTACCAACCAACGCCGATGGCAACAGCAATAAAGTTGTGTTCAAGGTTTTCAATGATGACAAATATTCCTACCACACAACCTGAAGATTATGTGAGTGAGATAACTTTGGCAAAGCTGTCTGATCATGTTCTTTCTTCCATAACCGAGAAGAAGAATTTATTAAACCATCTCTTATGGGCGTATCATCATCACGATGAAGAACGAGAGCATTGTTTTTTATTAAGAAAAGGAGAAAGCCTTTGTTTAGTCAAGCATAAAAAAATATTTAATTTTACTTGCGATCATCAATCGTGTCATTACCAATAACAATTTAGCAATGCCTCGGAGAAAGCAAAAAGCAGTAGTGGTCGAGGAGGAGGAAAGAGTGGATCTTCATGAAGAAATGATGCCTCCAAGAACATCACGAAAGGCTAAATCAAAAAGAAAGCAAGAAACTTTTTCGGATATGGAAGAGGACGAAGTACCATCAACAATTGTAGATGAGGAAGAGAAATCCTCTAAAAAGAAGACCAAGAAAAGCAGTTCATCATCGACTAAAAAGACAAAAACATCATCATCGAGGAAAAAGAAAAAAGTGGAGTCGGAAGAAGAAGAGGATGAAAAAGATCAAACCGAAGATTTAATGGAAGATGAGGAGAAAAACGATACAACAGCCAATACTGCATCTAGTACCACTCCCACCGAAGAAGAAGCCATGTCGGAGGAACAAATAGAAGAACAACCAGAGGATGCGATTGGAGATTTGGACTTGACCAAAATTCACTCTGAAAACACATTCGTCACGGAAACAATTCAAAACATTATTCAATTTCAATCTGTTTTGCAAAATGTCGAGTCTGGCTATGCAACTCTATCAAGCGAAGATCGACACAGGATTTTGAGCATTCTCAAATATCAGCAACGTAAAATTGGAAAATTAGTGGAAATTTGTAATTCAGCCGAGTTGCTACTCTTCCGTGGCTCGAACAATGATTTAAGTGAATATGGTATTCTCAACAAGCTTGATTTGGTTGAGGTTTGGGGCGTGATATTTTCATTTCTCAAATTTTCCGATTACCTTAAAGCAGCACAAGTATGCAAATTGTGGAAAAAAGCAAGCGAAGAACCTTATGCACTTTCCTCTCTTCAATTTGACTTTAAGTCTAATTTTCAACACAAACACATTCTCGAAGTGTACAGGGAATATTTTGAACAAAGAAAAGAGTATATTCGTTATGCAACAGACATTCCAGGTATGTGAGCAATGAGTTTTTTTTTATGATCAGTGTGTACAAATTGTGAGACCCTCTTCACACACACCGCAGGTCATTTTCTAAAATATTTAAGCGACCATAACATTATATTTCCTAACGCCAAATATTTGATAACGTGTAAGATTCCATCATGGGAAGACGAGTTATCCTATTATTCAGACGAAACGGTTGAAAAGGTATTCCCAAAATATGCAATGCCACACGTCAATGCTTCGAGTGTGGAAGAGTTTGGATTTTTGAGAGGATTCCTTCCTGTATCTCCTGAAAAGAGTAAGTACTGCATTTGTTAAACATTCACCACATTCATAATTGTCTATTGACTTTTGTGATCAATCAAACTCTAACAGCCATTGTAGTTCCTGCATCTACTAAATGTGCCAAGTTGGGAACTAGATTTGTCAAGTTTGAAAATCCCGATAATATCATCAAGCTGGCCATCTCAATTTGCGACGAAGACAAGCTGCCTCAATTTCCCAATCTTACCGAGCTTGATTTGTCGTTGCATCTTTCTCCCTTCAATGATGACATTATGTTAAATTACAAGTTTGGAGAGAAGGTGAAAACGTTAGGAGTATGTTATCATGCCACCATTCAAGATGTAAAAAGATACTTGCCTTCACTCTCTCAAATAGAAACTATAAGGCTCTCAGAGGTTGGGCTCAACAAACGTCTATTCTCTATTGGCTGTCATTTGACCAGTTTTAATAATTTAACCGAGTTGGACGCAGAGACCATGTATGAATCTCATTTAGAGGCCATCGCACCGCGGCTCAAACGTTTAAAGATTTCCAAAATCTTGGAGAAGAAAGGCAAAATATTTAGTCATCTGACAAATGTTGAAGCTCTTTGCATTACAGAGCAAGTTCTTACAAATCCAAACGACTTACCCAAACTTACCAAGCTCAAAACCTTACAGATATCAAATAATTCGAATAACCACAACAAGCAAATTACCATAGATTCTGCAAGTCTTGAAACCTTGATTCTTTTAACATTTAATTCGATCACTATTAATTGCCCAAATTTATACTACTTGCTCATAAGTGGAGGGTTGAAGAATGGATCAGAGTCTGTCTACATTACATCTCACAAATTGAGTTTATTCCGTTTAGATCGTGATGTACAGGTATGTTTTTTTTTAAAAATTTCTTCTTTCAGCAGTTTAATTAATATTTACCTTAATCGTACGCATGGCGAAATATTTGCAATGCCGTTGTTAAAATTCAGTCACTGAGTATTAAGGGTCCCAATTTGTTCTCAGACGGATCAATCTTGGAACGTGTCAAGTCTATTGTCGATTTGGAATGTCCTCTCATAGAGAGTGCACATATATTGTCTGCATCATCAATTACACAGAGTGACAGTTTCAAAACACTACTCGTGAGGCAAATCAAAACCCTTAGAATATCTGCTTGTACATTACAGATTTTCGAGTATAAGACTCAAATTCAAAATTTGTTTATTGATGGATGGAAGAGCATTTCAAAAATTTCACAAACCAAAATGGCTCTCTACAGACAAAACACCCAAACAGTAAGACAACTATCCCTTCAAGGTTGTAGCATTGAAGTGGTCAAATCGATCAATAACCTTTTCAGAGAATCTGATGGTATTGAAAATCTTTCTATACTCGAGACGAACTACGATAGTGAAGTATTGGACTCTATTACCAACTCGTCAAAATATTATCTAAACCTGAATGAATTGCATTTGAGAAATATTGTTGGTTTCAAGCCAGCGACAATGAACCAATTCCTAAAACAACTCGATTCAAGAACCAAACTCAAGACACTGGAGTGTATTCTCAAAGCTACCTACAAGAAATATATACCTACACACATTCCAATTCATGTGGAGAAGTATATTGGCTCGATTGGTGGTGTTGAGAATGCACCTGCGAACAATGTCACCTCTCTAACCATTCCAAGCGGATGTATGCACATGGAAGCAGATGAATTTCAGCATTTCCCAAATCTCACCTTCTTGAAATTGGAGCAAATATTCGTAGACTCGACCATGTTGAAATATTTAAAAAAGGTCAAGATATTGGTACTCTCTGCTTACAATGCTTTATTGTTAAAATTGCATAAAGAGGAGAATCCTGATCAGACCATCTATTTTGAGTAGAGTGTGAAGGTGTGAGACTTGATCGGAGCTCAGCTGATTGGACAGTTAACCCTGGTTTAAGCATTGGTGCAGCCTCCAATCACCATGATAAGATGCTTTAAAAGATTTCGTTTTTACTAACTTTTCTGTGATTGAACTTTCGCACTGACAGTTCCATGCATTATACCTTAAGGGTTAATAATGAGAAATCTTTCAATTAGAATAATCACAATCAAGAAATAAATTGTTCTTCAATTTTTTATGAGCAGTGAAGCCTCTTCATTAAAATTGTCACTTGTCAGTAAAAGGCAGTTTTCCAGAATAGGTCAAATGTCTGGCCCAGTCGAGATGTATAAACGCGAGAGACGGGACCTCCATGCTTTTCTTTGAAAAAAACACACCTTCTATCGATTTAAACAATTCACACAGTATAAACTTACCAACAACAACAATGAGAACAACACCTCCACAAGGACGAAACAACAAGAGATTAAAACTTGTGAGAACACACCCTGTTCAATTACCAGTGACTCACAAGGTCATTCGTCATCGACCCAATTTACAGAAGGAGCTCAGATTTAGAAAGAACAACACAGGATGTTACTACAATATGGATTGGGGTTTGCAAAGTAAGTAGATGAATGTTAATAATAATACTTTTTTCCAACCAATTTTTACTCATTACCTTTTGAACCTCTTTATACCAACGAATTCATGATTGATTAAATCCATCTGTTATTTTTTGTGAAATGAATGATAGGCGTTTGGGTTGGACCTTCTCGTCAAGCCAGATTCATTCATCTCAATAAGGAAAAGGAAACTTCCAAGAAATTGTCCTTCCAAAGTGCACCTTACACTTCCAAGAAGAGTCTCTTCCATAATCGTGGCATGCTTCAGAACATCAAATACAATTCCTTACAACGTATTGATAACATGTTGCATTCGTATCGAATTCGTACATTGAAATCACTCAAGCAACAATCTCAACCAACTACAGGTGAATCGAGTTTGAGTAAACCACGAGTTGGAATTCAAGGACCTCTTGCTTCTGCTGGTGCAGGTTTGAGTCAGAAGGAATTGATGAAGAAGATTTATGTCAAGAAACAAAAACCAATGGCAGTGATTGGAGGACCATCGAGTTCGAGTCAAAAGAAGACGACAGCACCTGTTCAGAAGAAGAAGCAGTAATCGATGATGCGTCAGAACAACAAGATCATTGATGACCCTGTTGAAGAAATAAAGTAACATGTCTTTACAAAATTAAAAAGTCACACGCGTTAAAAATAATGAACAACAACAACAACTTACTCGGAGAGCACACCATACTCCATCAATGATAACAATGATTTTTTGGTGTTTTAAAGTGCTCCGATCACATACTCATCTCTCACACGAGAGACGGAATTATCATCTTGACAGAATGATAATCACATAGTTATTATTATATAGATCTATGGCCCGAATGATGAATCATTTTAGTTGTCTCTTCAACTTACCAATGTAATAAATGATGGTAATTCTTGATCAAAATATTTCTTGCTCCATTACCGTCACGAGGGATGTGGAAGTGACAATGATTGCAATGAAACCATTTGCTTCCATAAAGGTCTTCCTTGATCACTGAACAATTTCCACACGTTTTCGATGTATATTGTTCTGTGACAACATGTACCTTGCATCCACGCATTTCTGCCTTTTGCAAGAGTTTCATTCGAAAATCATAGTGTCGAAATCGCAACATTTGGCGAACAGTTTTTCTAGTAATTTTTCTTCCAACCCATTCGGAAGTGTTGGTGGTGGTTTCACTTGTGGTGGTGTCCCTTGATTCCCATCCTTCGAATGGTGAAGACGATGCAACAAGAGGTTCTGTTCGCACATCCATATTCTCCGTTTGGCCATTAGTATATAACTTGACACGTGGTATCTTCTTTTCCTTGACGCTTCCTTTGTTTTTGTTTTCTAGCAATCATGGCCTTGACATTAAATTCAGGTATTATAATTTCAGAATAGTGGAAAGTTAAATAGTCAATAATTTTGTTATGCATATCATTCACCTTATTTCTAATTTTGCTTTCCAGTCTTCTAATCTTCTTTTTTAAGGCTTTTCTTAAACCCTTATAAAATTTTCGTTCCTGCCGAGAATTGTATTTTAGAAATTTGTTCTTGGCAATTTCCGACCTGAGCTGATCTTGCTTTAGAGAAAGGGAAAAGAGTATGGTGTTTTCTCCTTGAGCGGCAAACTCCAACGCGTCTCCATTACTATCATAACCATACATGAAGCATCGAACACCTGGATCCAATGCAATGTATTCCTTTCTGAGTTCATCTTGAGAAGGTTGTGGGCAGTCCTTGAGAAATTTCGTGTCATATTCAGTTCCACTGTTCGAATTGGACTCGTAAAAGCTTTTATCAAACCGTTGGAATTCTTGTCGAGTTAAAGCTTTGTGATAACGGACTGGAAGGCAAACAAAATATCTTCCTCTTTCTCTTACAAAGGTTGTCTCGTGTGAAAATTTTTTGTTGTCTTGATGTTTGGGTAGGCGATGGGCAGACGGATCATGGAAAAATTAGAATTCAGAAAAGTTCCAATCACATAAATCAATCACATTCATGTAAGAGATTCAAATCACATGTAAGTAAAATCGAAATACATATATATACATACCAATCTCTTCCTTTAACCACTTTCGTGCTCTTGCAGGATAATAAAATTTCAAAAGATGATCCGTAGATTTCTTGGAAGGACATGCACTTTCATTCCCTTTAAAAAAGGTAGGTTTTAACAACACTCCTTCCTGTGATAATGAAATGTTTGTCACCTTGAACGACTGATATGGATGTTGATTGCTTCGTCCTTTCATTTCGAATTCACGAGGTTGTCGAGTAAAATGCTTGGGATTAAATCTTTCGTTCAATTCCTCATCAGTAATCATCTCCTTCTTTCCTTTTTGAACATCTTTAAGAAATTTGGATTTGGCCTTTCGAGCAGCCTCTTTGGATTCCTTTTCTGCTGCTTGCTTGTTTTTATATCTAGTAATTTTCTCAGCCTTGACAAAATCCTTCACAGCGTTCAATTTAATATCTGCTGGACAATGTTTCAACTCTTGATCCCATAGCCACCTAGTTTGTTTGAATCTCAGGTTGGTTTGGGGATTCTTCAAAATTTTAAAGTAATCGTCTTCTGTGGTGGTAAGGAGTGTTTTTCCCTTGTTTTGCTCTAACATGAAATGAAGGAGACATGCTTCGTTATAAGTATGGTTAGAATTGAAGAAAAATCTTTCAAAGACCTTCTTTTGTTCTGAGGTGAGTTTCAATCTCACTTTCTTTGTTCTCACAAAATAATTGTCTTCGTTTGAGATTGAGAAGGAGGTGTAAATTTGTTTTAGCAATTTCTCGATAGTGTCATCAGCTTTTTCCTTTGATTCCGCAGTAGTGGATGAATTGACTCCATTCTCAGCAGTCATAGATGAACTCACTCCATTCTCAGCAGTAGTGGATGAACTCACTCCATTCTCAGCAATCGTAGATGAATTCACTTCATTCTCTGCAGTAGTGGATGAATTCACTTCGTTCACAGTAGTCGCAGATGAACTCACTTCATTCTCAGCAGTCGTGGATGAATTCACTCCGTTCTCTTGAAGCATTGTTAAAGACTCCTCCAACGCAGATACTTCCTTGAATTCCTGAACAAGCTTCTTCTTTTCTGACCCGAACTTGCGTCCGTTGAACGAGCAGACTGTCCTTTTAAACTTGGAATTTCCACACTTACATGGCGTCTTTTTCCAAGTTTCTGATTTACTCCACACTTTTTCTACCAATTCCTTCTTGCTCGGAGGTGGTTCTGTGGATGGACATCGTTGGCGAACGGAGAGGGTAACTAACTTTGGGTCGGTATTTTCAAACCATTCTTGGCAAAACATGACACGGGACAAATCTTGTTCAAACGATCAACCGTATCATCATGCCAAAACGGTTTTCTTAACTCCTTTGAATCAGTTGAAACAGTGGAATTGGGAACCATCCTTCTTTTATTCAATCTCTTCTTCGATGGTTGTTGTTTGTGATAGAGTTGCCTTTTTCTTAACCGTCGAACCTTATTTTTCAGCGACTGAAATGTTCGGTGTTTAAAGTAATCTCGGTAAATTTGTTCCAAATTCATTCCCTTCCGCAAGGATGTCACAATTAAATCCTCTTCCGACTGTGAATAAGGTTCTCCTGGAGTCGTTGATACATTGGACTTGTTCGATGATGGTTGTGCTTGTCTTAATGGTAAGGGTTTGGATGGACTTAATTGACCAATTTTCATAATCATTTTCTGGTAATGGTCAGAATTGGTCCATGTTTCAGGAAAAGTTATCGATACAGTAGAGGTAAAGGTGTTAATATTAGTGATTTCTGAAAAGGTTAAATCATCGACGCTCCATTGAATGATAAAATTTGTTGCATCTGAAGCATCATATGCTCCTTCCAATCTGGCACGATTAATCTTTCTTTTCAATTTCTTATACTTTTTCTTCAATGAGTTGATGGATCTATCAAAAAAGAATGTACCAATCTTGCTCCATTCTATATTGAATTGTTTTAAAAATAACAACATGTAATGTTCTTGGGTTGCGTATGCTTTTCCTTGATCGAGAGAGAGAGGTTCAATACTAATTCCACGCTCCAAATAAGCAGTCCTTAATAAGTCTCCAAATTTATCAACAGTAGATACGTCTTTCAATACTTCCAATCTCTGCCAATGAGAAGCAATCTTCTTCTTTTTCTTTGCTCTTTCTTCCTCAACTCTCCGACACTTGTCAAACTGTTGTATTTTGGGTGCTCGATCAATTAATGACCAGACAATATTCACTATGGAAATTGGAGCCAGTGAGTAAACAAATCATACAAAAATTGGGCGAACCAATTGCAAAAGGAGGCGCTGATTTGAGTCTTGATCAAGTTTCTTCATTAGATAGCAAAACTCTCTACACCATTGCAAGTGATTTAGCCTCATTCAAGGATGAACTCGTGGCTATCCAAAACATGAAAAATCTTGACACCACTTTGTGCACGAAAGTTGTCAAGTGGGTCAATCAATTTCTACTACAGGACAAGATTCAAGTTAAGAAATTCACTTTTCCTACACCGTCTTCATTCTCTCCAGACAATATTGAAGAAATGGCCGCTGAAGATGAATTAGACAAAAAATATCTTCAAAGCAAAAACTTACACAAAAGTGAGAAGGCATTTCTCGATGATTTATTGAACAACTACACTCTAAAAGATTTAACAAAACCTTCCCCGATAGCCACGGATAAAATGAGTTTTAAAATGAAACACCGTGAAGAGACAATCAAATTAGTAGTGAGTGTAGCAAAGGAACATTTGAATTTCAAAAAAGGAGGGAATAAGCAAGGTTTAAACTTTTTCATTGCAAAAGGAGGAAGCGGAAGTGGAAATCACGAAATTTTAACGGAATACCAACATTATGCGCAAAGCAACAGAATGGATGCTATTTCCAAAAACACACAGATTATTTATTTTAACTTTGTTGTAAATCACAGAAAGATGGTTGGTAAAACGGATTATTTATTCTTCGCCGCGTGTGCGTGCGCATGTCTAATAGTTGAATAAATAAGATTTACATTACCTTTTCTATCCTGTAATTCAGCAAGAGTACAAAAATAGATGCAACAAACATATGCATCAGTCTCATAACAGGAATGACATTATTAAGCGTGCGCTGATTAAACATCCCATGGTAAACCATGAGGCATCCTTTGGACTGAAATCAGTTCAAAGAGCATCCCACTAAAGTGAGGCATCCTATTGCGATGCAATAAGGCATCCCATGATTAAAATCATAAGGCATCCAATGTATTGAGGCATCCCAGCTCAAATGGCAAGGCATCCTTTGGACTGAATTCAGTTCAAAGAGCATCCACTAAGTGAGGCATCCTATTGCAATGCAATAAGGCATCCAAGTTGAGACATGAGGCATCCCACCAAAGGTGAGGGAGTTGTGGAAAGCACAACTATGTTGTTTATTTCAGAGGTGGATTGGGAGGAGGGTGGGTACTTTCAATTCTTTGAGAGAAAGTGATTCTATCACTTTCTCGAAGTAATTGATAATAATTGTTCCATATCACAGTAATGTAAATTTTTTTTTGAAAGTGAAAATTCAAAAAATTAGTCAACCAACCACTTTTATTGATTACAACAAACCTCAGTAAAACTCCTTTTACTACGAATTTGCAAAAGGGTTCTATTGGATGATTCTGAAAGAGATAAAGCATCAATTCAATGATTGTTTCCAGAATTGTCTATGCTGCATTTGAAGGGAACATTGAGGATATCAATTCAGAAAATGCCATCAGTGCTAATGATTCTCTACTCTATGGAGTTTTGAAAATAATATCAATGAAACTCCATGAACAATACAAATCAACTGAAATTATTCATTAGTATTGGCCTTTGATGAATATCATTGGCTACGAGACATATTTCAGGACTACACACCACAATCCAACACAAATTAGGATGGTATATGAGACATGTGCAATTCCAACACAAATTTTACTCTTTCCTGCTTTTGCAGGAACCTTGAACGAAATGACGCGAAATGGAACCACACAATATACACCCGCAACATTGCCATTTCCATCATTGAGATCGATAGATATCCAAGAGATTATGCAAGATTTGGGCCTGTCAGCACTGTACGAGAGAAATAGGGATTTTGGAATGCCATTGGAGTCGTACCTCGGCATTTACAGTGGGCTCTAGAAGGCTATGATGTAAAGAAGCAAGAGTTACAAAATATGGTAGAACATTTTCAATGAAGATACTGTAATATCCAGCATATATTACAACGTAACAAACACCGTTCAAAGGCAATATGGAAGTGATTTACAAAAACCAACGGATTACTTTGTCGAATTGGCTCTGAGAAATTATCTGGATGAGTGAAACGGAACAAGATGACAGAATTACCAAGTACATCCGTGAAGGAAAGGTATATGACACTAATGACTTTGTGGGCTTCCTCTCGTAGTAATTGATTATCTTGGCAACAAGAAGGATTGCATTCCAAAGCAGGGTCGTGACGGATTTCATTACAGCAACATCAAAAAAACCCAGATGGGAAATATTGAGGAAGTGTGTATCAAAACAATGACGGCTAGATTAATGTTTTGTACACTGTCAACAAATCAACGACTGTAACTTTTTCAAGGTTGTTTAAGGGCGCACACTTTGCAAAAATGGGAAGAATTCTTTTGGAAACTACTAATGATGAGTGGTTTAGGTATTGTTGCTTGATTCAAAAATATCAGACAGCACGGAAATGCAAATAACGAACTTCTCACACTGATCATTTGGCAAGACGAAAAAGAATCATAAAGATATTGATGGAGTATTTTGTCCTTTAATCAATGTTAACACAGGCAAAAGAATTGTCTTTGTTGTGCAAAACAAATTTCAACAAGAAGACTCGGAGAAAACTTTGCTCTCACCAGGCGAGATTGTGGAGTATTATGAAAATGCGGCTAAAACACCGTTCGAAAACTCTGAGACTTTTGTAATCATTTTCACAAACAAAAAAATATCCAAATCAACAAGAGATATGATAGAAAAAGGAAAAATTACAAACACCAAAGAAAAAAGGAACTTGTAGTCGCTACTGATAGTTAATAGTTGTATCTGGTGATTGTTTTGATAATTTCTTTCATCCTTTCGTTGCCAATATTTTGCTTGGAGGCCAATAAACGTTCACTTTAGCATTGATTTTCCTCAAAGCGAAGATTCTTCCTTATGGAGTGCAATTTCGAACCACAATCAGAGGAAACAACGGTTGTTTGTCTGGCAACAATTTACCTTGAATTTTTCATTGTCAGGATTTGAACTTCGATCAACGAAACGAATTTGGATATTTGTTTTTTTGACATGACCTGGAGCTAAATAATTCAGATTCAAGGAAAATCATCCCATTTTGCAAACTCATGATGGTGTATTGGGCCAAGCTTCAATGGTGTAAAGGATACGAATGAAAAGCAAGTTTCGAGCTTTTAATCAACAAGCTCATTTTTCCAACAGCGCCGTTATGCGAGGAATAATTGTAATCAAAACCATTACAATCCACAACACGTTTCAAACAAAAAAAAAATGCAAGTTCGTTCCTTCCAACTCTTAGCTTTATTAATCCTTCTATTGTTCACTCTTTGCATTTTCAACAACGTTCTTGGTAGTCATGATGTTTTTGATGAATTGAGTGATCATGTCAGTGGTCATTACAACACCATTCATTCGAAACATCGTCAACATGACCATCACGGTCATGGAAGACCACCAAAATTGGGACGACTGGTAAAGGAAGTGCTATTGGAATAGCACCTCAACCAGTCGATGAAAATAATCGAAAGGATGATCGATCTGTTTTGGTTGGCAACAATGATCGAGGAATGAGATGGATCAAGGAAATGAATTGATTCAGGTTTAATGTTGTTGTTGATGTTCAGTGTGTCAAGTTCAGTAAAAAAACAATTTGAAATATTTTCACACACAAATGGTTGAAATTGTTTTTCCAAATGTTTGGGTTAATGAGAAGAATTGGAATGAACAATCATATCGAAAACGACAAATTCCAAGAAGGAATCAATGGCATTTGTCGTTTCTCGAGAGGCTTGATCCATTAATTCTTTCGTTTTGAAAACAATTTCAAGCGACTTTCCAAACAAGGCAACATTTTCATTCGTGAGCAAACATGAATCTCCAGGACCAAGTTCAATCAATGGTTCTTCTTGTTCTTTTTCAGAATATTCATTCAGCTCTTTCTTGATAATAATTTGAAGAAGTTTTTCTTTCGAATGAAATTTTTCATTATTTCCCCAAAATGGAACATGAATAAATAATCTTCGACAAGCTCTCAGTTCATGTCGAACTTGATGACCGAATTGTAACAAACTCGATAATGCAAAGAAATCTTGATCCATTCCAATAATTTCCTCATTTGGAAAAATTGTCATTCTCTTGTTGAATGGAAGAAATTAATTCTTTTGGAACAATCATGAGACAGAGTTGATTCAACCTCTTTTCATTTGAAAATTCAATTTTCTGATACCTAGGAGGTGTATTCAACGTTCTTGGTTTGACCCAAATTTGTAACAATTTACAATCCCATTCCGGATGCTTGTTCATTTCGGAGTGAAACATTCCGCTTCCGGCGGAGGTAAATTGCACCGTTCCGAAACGACACCGATGTGCATTTCCCATGGAATCGTAATGAGATAATTCTCCACTCAACATGTATGTGAAAATTTCATAATTTTGATGAGGATGACTTGCAAATCCATTGTTATTTCGTTCCACACAATCTTCATTGACGACTCGAAGGGGAGAATTTCGAGGTAAGTGTTGGTGAGAGTGAAAAGCTTCGAGCCAACCTTGTTTGATGTGTTGACGTTTGTCAGATGGAATGAATTGAATCGAAAGGAGTGGAATGGAGCGAGGTGAAGACATGGAGGAACTCTTTGTATGTTTTTTTTTGAAATAGATAATATGAATTGGGATTGTTTTTAAAATGAAAACTTTTGCAGTTACCGAAACTCAAAGTCCAACTCTTTAATACGCACGCTTAACCGGATGACACTTGACATTTAAGGTTTTTTCTCGAGATTGCTGTATGAACCCCCATTCCTATCTCTTTGGTAAATCCTTAACCACATTTCCCGAATGCACCTCTCTCTGCATCACTTCTTGATGATAATGTTGATTAATATTTCGTGTCAAATAAAACCAAATCACCAACACACAAAAACAACCCAACCCAAACAAAACATAACCAATGCCAACAAGTGTGGTTGTTTCAACCCATTACATCATACAACAATGGAGAAGGGACCATGACACCCAATGCTTGTCCAGCTCCAAATCCAAAACAAATGTCAAACGCCGTGACACGTCCAAAAAATGATTTGGTGTTAATTGTTCAATGGCAGACATGCTGTACACCAAATGACACCAGCAGCAGATCCTAATATGAAACTTCCAATCATGAACATGGACACGTGAATGGTAAAGGTCATTAATAAAAATCCTAATGGAAGGAATAAGAAACAAATGAGAATGACGAAACGTAACCAAAACGCACTTCGCAACGATCTTCGAATTCGATTTCCCAAAATCAATTCACACAACATGGGAGCAATTCCTGAACCTACTCCAAATAAGCAATACGCAATCGTGTTGGTATTTTCAGGACTGTTCCCAATGGTAACGATTGGAAATTCTGAAATTTTCACATTAATAAATTCCACACTCGCCCAAATAAACTTCCAATTAATTTCATTACTGCAAAACTCAATAAATAACCTCTTCCTCCAATAACAATTTAAATCCTTGATATAATTCCACAATACTGTGTCGTACGAGAGCGAGACCTTTCGGAGTGTTGGCAGGTTTCGGAGGATTCAACTCTGGAAACCACATCAATCCAATGGTTAAGGCAAGAGCGAACACAAATAACATTCCATTCATGAGATAGACGGTTAATAATCCAAAACTAGCACGAATCAATCCTCCAAAGCAGCACCTGCATACGAGCAAAACAACCATGTCAAACTGTCCAATGCATTGCATGCAATTAAATCATGATGATCGACCACGAGTGGTAATAAACAACCACGACAGGCATCGTAAAAGGCATTGATGAAAAACATGAAAAACATTTCCATGTAATAAAAGGCAAATAAGGACCATTTCCTAAATGTTGAATGAGAAATCCGAAAGGAAGACAGAAGGCGACGATTCCTCTTAATATGTTGGCAATGATCAAGACAATTCTGCGATCGAAGAGATCGCTGCAAACGCCGGCGAGAGGCATGGCGAGACAGGATGGAGCAAAGATGGAAATGAAGAGGGCACCTGTGGCAAAACCAAAGGTTGCTCGATTCTCTACTTCATAAATGACACCTGTGACATTTTCATTTACCAAATATAGAAATTTTAAAGTCATGCATGATCATCAGGTTAGTATTTCTATCAAAACCCAATATCCAATACTCACCAATTTCCGAAAAATAATTTCCCATTCCAGACAATACTCCTGCCATCCAAATCATCATAAATCTCTTATTATGAAATAGTAATGAAATGTAAGGATTTCTCTGCAGCACTGGTTTCGAACTTTCGGCATCGAGTTGTCCATATTCTCCCATCGTGGTCATGGCTGTTCCTTGTACAGCTGTTTCGTGAGGTTGTTCGGGAATGGTCTTGTGTTCCAAAATTTCCTCATGATGATGTGTGTCTTGATTCATTTCATGGTGTGGTATTTCTTCAAGAGATGACGATGGTTGGATGGTTGTGTTGGGTGTGACAATGACATATGGTTGCATCATTTTCCAATGAACATTGAATTGGTGTCAATAATAATGATTTCTTTTTAAACTGGGTAATTGGTCACTCGATGCTCAAAACTGTCCTAAAATGTCACTCACACCATAATGCTCTGTTGAAGAACACTTTTGGAGAAAACTGTCATTCGATACAATGTAAATTTAATACATCATGCATGTATTGGAAACTCAATGAACAAAACATACGTATATTCGTCAGTTCATCTAGTACTACGAGCACCAAGATGGTGTCGTCTTAAATACCTCCACCGTCGACGAGCTCCACCGAACCAGTACTTTCAAATAAGACCTTAAAACATTCTTCTTCGTTTTCTGCAATTTGATGAATATAATCGCCACTGTTGTTGGAACCCACCAATGCACCTGTTGGTGTTGAGGATGAGGTCCATGGTTCACGAGACGCGTCGGATGGCACGAGTGCTAATTCAGCTGTCAATGCAACATCATTATTAGAACCAAGAGTTGTGGTCGTGTCATTCTTTGCACTACTAGTGGCCACTTGTTTTTTTCTAGAACTCTTCTTTAAGGATGTGATGGAGTGTTTCGACTTCTGCTGATTCTCGTCTCCTCCTCCTTCCTCATCCTCACTACTGTCTCCAAAAATACCAGCTAATTTCAGTTTTTTCTTTAAACGTTCAAGTTCTTGTTCCAATCTCTTCTCTCTCAAATATAAGGCACGAATGGCTTGAGCATCAATATCGTCGTATTGGTAGACGGTTGATCCTGCATCAATATTCTTCTTTTCTTGTTGTTTAGTAAATGCATTTAACATGAAATTAATGACCGTCGTGGGTGACATGACACCTGTGTTGAAATTTTTGTGTTGTTCATCCGTTGCAGTGGTGGTTGCAGGTGGAGCATGTTTGGTGTCAATACTTAAATTCTTTGGATGATGACCTTGAGATGAGGAGGAAGTACTTGTTACAGCGGTGTTGTGCCCATTCAACAAACCATCATTAAGGTTTTCTACTATTGAGGGTTGTTGATCACCATTGGAGATAGTTGACAAATTTGCTCCCGACTCCATCCTTGTAGAAGATGATGCATCCATTTCAGTATGAAGTGTCTGCTCTCCATTTGACAATGTCGCAGTCATAGTCTCATTATTCGAGTTGTTGGTATTTACAGTTGGCTTCTTATCCTTAATACATCTTGCAGGAACTCCCACGAGTGTACAATCACTGGGAGCATCTTTGACAACCACAGAGCCTGCACCAATTTTTACGTTGGACCCAATGACAATATTTCCCAATACTTTGGCACCGGAGCCGACAAGCACATTGTCACCCAGGGTTGGATGCCTTTTGCCTTTCGTGGTAGATGTTCCGCCAAGTGTGACGCCTTGATATAATGTACAATAATTTCCTACAATTGCTGTTTCTCCAATGACCACTCCTGATGAATGAAAGGGTAATTGGATTTTTCGAATTCATTTCAATTTTAGTATTTCCATTAAACACAACAATTCATTGTTGAAAATATAAAAGAAAATACAATAGTGCAATAAAATAAAGAGCATATTGTAATAATGAGATAAATATTCGTGTAATTAGAAAAGAATATCCCAAAAGAAATTGTTAATGTTAAATAAAAGAAATTGTTAATTAAGCCATGTGCATTTTCGGTAACCATTGGTTTCATACGACAAAATATTGTCACACAAAATATCACACCAGGATCATTATCAATAATCACACCAACATCGGCTCGGATCTGTGACCACAACGGTTCAGGACAAACACACACTTGAGTATGTGCAAATTGATTATCGAGGTGAGGCTTTTGTTTCGTGGTACTAATTTTGGAGAGAGAGCTTAGGAGTTGTTCTCCTTCTTCCATTTTCTTTTTTGGGAAATCCTGATTCTCTTGATTGTTGGGAGGTTGAGTAGAATGGATGATAATATTGGCAGTTGGAAGATGATGATGAACTTTTTCATCATGATGATGATGTATACTTGAAGCATTATCGGTGGTTGAAGAAACAACACCATTCAATTCCATAACGACCAAATCCGAGTAGGATTTATTGGCCAATGATGAAGAGAGGAGGGTAGTTGAAGTGGTGGTACTACTGGATGATGTCGTGGAAGCAGAGCTATCGGACCGAGTTTCTCTAACGATCGTTGGATGAATAGGATGATCCTGATGATGATGATGATTGGATGAACCCATGTCGAGTGGTTCTACTGATAATACTTCTGTTGATGTAGCTCTATCCGATGAGGAGGAGGACGTGTTCGTCATCGTTATTTGATTTTTATTGTTGAGAGAACAAATCAACACATTCCATCATGGAGTTGATGAGAGGAGTATTTTGCGTATGTAATAATTTCGCATAAATTCCAGGCAATTTCCTTAGGACGGAATTTCAAAGATAAAATTCCAATCCTCAAATTCCCTCCGATTCAGGTTGAAACAATCCCCACGCGGATCCAATCTCTTCATCGTTAAGGTCAGATCACTAATGACAGTCGGTACCCTGATGGTTCAAGTTCGAGTAATGGAATAATACATTTCTAAATTTGAGGGTTTGGTGACTCTTTCGGAAGAGTGTTACGATTTGGACCGTTTTGGCGCCAAGTACAAAAAATCTCTTACAAAAAAAAATTGTTGTTGCATCAGTTACCTTTGACGGTTACACTTGGGAGAATCATCGCTCGGCTAAAATCCCAAGTATTATCTCTGTTCAACCACTGGATATCATCATCATCAGTAATACATTAGGCTTCTTTTCTCTTAATTGTACAACTTCATCAGAGTTAGACCAAAAAATCCGTTTCTCAAGAGTTCTGAATAAGATCATCATTTTGTTTCCTGTAAATATAAATCATTCCGCGTATAAGATATAACCATCCTCACCAATAATGGGTTCAGCACTATCGGTTGGAAGAAAGTCCTCAACGAAAAAGGACACAGACGTACGAAAGAGCACCGACTCACGTAAGAGTATTGATAAATCATCAAATGCGAACAATCGTAACAATGGCGTGAGGAGTAGTGTGGATAAAAGTATGAATGATCAAAAGGCCTCTGAAAATAACAAGAACTCGGCTGATTCCAAAAAGCCAGTAGAAGTTGCCAAGCAGCCCTCAAAAGAACAAGTTAAGGAAAATCCAAAACAGGAACAACCAAAGAATACCGAATCAATGGATCAAAGCAAAGCAGAAACGACCACTCAGCCAAACGGAGAGGAAAACGGCTCGTCTTCCGAACCCGTTGAGAAACCTAGACCTCAAACCACGTTACTTGGACGCAAGAAAGCAAATATTGATGATATTCCAGAATTTGTTTTCCACTCAGATAAGGGTAAGTAAGGTGTTGTTGTTAATAAGATTTTTCATCAACTATGACACACCATAACAGATTTATTATTCGGAGCCGACATTGCCATGCCATGGAAACCAGGTTATGCTCTCGGAGTTCATATTATTGATGAGCAACATAAAGTATTGGTTAAGCTTATCAATGAACTAGCAGAGGCCGTAAAAGATGGTCACATGAGATATGAAATTGGAAGCGTGTTCGACAACTTGGTAGAGTATACAGATTTTCACTTTAAGAAGGAGGAAGACCTGATGCAAAAGTATCACTATGTGGAGGAGGACGAACAAGCTCACAAAGAAAAACATGAACTTTTTGTCAAGACCATCTTCAATTTAAGAACCGATTTTATTAACATGACAGTGGATAATATTGGTCAAGGTATGTTCTTTTGCTAAATTCTTTATGTTTACATTCCTCTTTTCATTAGACTTATTCAACTTCTTAACTGACTGGTTATTAACTCACATTTGTCAAATGGATAAGAAATTGTGTGACTTTTTGCTTGAGAGAAATATCAACGAATAAATTATGCTCTTATCTTGAATCTAACTTTTAATGATTGTTGGCATGATATAGTACTATTGCATTCCAATCCAAGCTCCCTTTGCATAATCAAAATGCATATTGTTCATTTGTGAAATGTCGATGGTTGGTAGAGTGGTGAAAGAATCAATCTGAGCAAGCACCCAAAGCACATCTTTCACCTTGTCAGAGCGTACAATCGCGTCCTCCGAAAAATATTCAGCTATTTGAGGATTGGTAAACAGAGGTGTGAAAATCTCTTCGAGTTTTCTCTTATTGATAGCCATGCTCACAAATAAGGCAAACTTTAAATCATTTGGTTCTTTGGATACGAGTAAAGTCAGCCTCTCATTAGCATGTTGATACAATTCTTGAATCAAAGTCGAGGTTTCATTCGAGCTCTGCTTGGTAGCAACCTTTTCAAGATAAAACTTTAAATAATCCCAAAAGAAATATCGACCAAAGAATTTGAATTGTCTGAAACCAATCTCATATGTAGATAACAAGCTAGCAGTAAATTTAAGTTGAAGCAATTCAGATATGGCTTGAGAATTCTGTCCACTCATGCTATCACCACCACTACTACTATTCCTGAAACAAACTTGCCGAATTTCATAGAGTACTCCTTTCAGTCTTTCCAATGGAGGCATGGATAAGCATTGATGACAATTATGATGATCCACAAGTAATAGCTCTGCAACTTCCTTTTGATGGTCCGCAACAGTCTCGAAATCAGAGAGTATACATTTGAATTTTGATTGTTTCTTCACCAAAAATAGTAAATCCTCACGTGAATCCGCGTTCATGAGGAGACTTGATGAGCTTTCATAATGCTCCTTCAAAAAATCCACGGCAGAACAATAATAATCCCAAAACTCTTTCGAAAATACTCCATAAATAAATGCATAAAATATAAAGAGAAGTGACAAGGTTGCATATTCCTTTGAGGCCTCCAAGGTTTTCACATGTTCAAATTCAGAGAAGGTTTTTTTAACGTGCCTCAATTTGGTAAAAAGTTTTTTGTACCTCTGTTGCGCTTCCATGTCATGTTGTTCGGATTTGATGTGAGAAGCCAAGCTCTCTAACAACTTGGGAAATACCATGTGGTAAAATCGAGACAAATCTCCCTTTCCCATAATGCACTTGTCGCATAAAATGCATGCATATTGCTGTACCATCACAATGAGAGGATCATAATTGAGAGGTAGAATATAGTGCTTCTTGTCATCTTGTGGAAATTCATCATTGATGCCTTTTTTGTGAAGATCCGTCAAAAGTGAGTCAATAATTTCAATTGGGGCTGGGGTTGGCTTTTTGTTGACCTTACTTGGGAGAATGGCTTTCTTTTTTTCGGGTGGCACGCTCTTTTCTTCGGATACCATTGATGGAGATTTGAATGCAGTCGTCACTTCTGTTGATGATTGTGGAGATTCATCTGTAATCTTGACGTTATTCGTCGTGACGACTTCGACATTGGAATCATTTGGAACTCTCTCAGAATTGCTGTCAAGTGGACCATTCGCTTGCTCTGTTGCCTCGCTGGTCATTATAGATTTCCGTTGTTTTACTTCCTCCTCCAATTGAGATTGTTTTCTCTGAAGAGTTTGAATATCGTTTTGCAGCCTCTTCAAATTCTCCTTCTCAACTCTCAGCACTGTTTCTTCTTTTTTAATAAGAGATGTAAGGGTGGCATGTTCTTGCTGTAATGCTTTCAACTTCTCTTGATGTACGCTCTTTTGCTGCTCTGATTCGGTTAGTTGCTTGCGTTCTGCTTCAAGTGTGGATTGCTCTTTTCGCAACAATTCTTCCAAATCATGCCTTTCTTGTTGCTTTTGGTTTAAGGCCAATTCCAAGCTCTTAATTGATGTCGTCATGTGGTCATGTTGCTCTTCTAGTACGCGATGAGTTTGAGATAAATTGTGGAGAAGATCTTGTTTTTCAGCGTTATCTCGTTGCTGTTGTTCTAATAATTGTGATGTCTTGTTCGTTTCCTGAGCTAGTTCTAGCTCTAGATTTTCTCTTTCTGCCACTTTAAGTTTCAATGCTTCTTGTATTCTGACAAGTCGGTCTTCCTCATCTTGTAGCTTCATTTTCTCTTGAATTTCAAGCAATTTCAGTTTTTCTTCCTGCTCCTTATATTTGTTTTCCAATTCAAAAAGCAATTCCGTCTCTCTCTTGTAGAGCTTTTCAGTCTGTAACTCTTTCTGAGATTCTTTCGTCTTAATCATTTCTTCCAATTGTTTGACTTTCATTTCTTCTGCAATCAGCTTGTCCGATAGTTGTGTTTGATATTGTTTTAACTCTTCCATTTCCTTTGTCTTTATGCTTTCTAGTTGCTTTCGTTGTTGAGAAATGTACTCCATCTCGACTTCTATTTGGTTCTTTTCTGTCTCCTTTTGAGCTAGCTCACGTTTGAGAATGTCAAGTTTCTGATATTCTTCCTTGATCGCTAATTGTTCTCTATGAAGTGTTTCTAAATCCAAATGCTGCTCTTTGAGAAGGGTAAGTTCATTTCTCAACACACTATTTTCTTGGGCTTTTTTCTGTATCAGATCTGTTACTTCATACAAATAATTCTCTTCTTCCTCTAGTTGCTTCTTGAGTGTTTGAATAACACTCTGATTAGACTCTTTTTGCATAGAAATACTTTCCTGAGTGTTTTTGAATTCTTCATCCTCTTTTTGTATCAATTGTTGGAGATTGGTCAACTGTTCCAATAGTTTTGCATGACGTTCTTCCAATACTGATACCTCTTTTTCTTTGAGAGTAAGGGAGTGTTGAAGCTCATTAATTTTAGCGGTTTGGTTATGAATATCTACTTGTAATCTAGACGCTTGGTTATTTAAGTCTTTAAGAGTCTTTTCGTTCAGTATTTTCTGGTTTTCAATCCGTTGAATTTCGTCTCTGAGTAACTGCTCCAAGAACAGTCGTTCCTCCTCTTGTTTCTTACATTGTTCTTTAAGTGAGTTGATTTGTACATTCTCCTCTTCAAATCTCTCTTCTAGATTGGATTTCAACGCTTGCTCCAGGTTGTACTTTTCTTGTTGTCTTACCCTTGCCTGCTCTTCCTTTTCATTGCGAATCTGTTCTAATTGTAACACCTCTTGATGCAATATTTCACAAAGCTTGATCTCTTCAGTGAGCTTTTGTTCCTCTGAGTTTCGTAATTCTTCTAGCTTCTCTCGTTGTTTCAAGTGTTCTTGCAGTGACAGTTGCTTGTCATTAAGAGCCAGCTGCTCTTGTTGAATTAATGCTTCCAATTCCATACACTCTGTGCTTCTAGCATGAGTCTTTTCCCTCAAATCTTCCAGTTGATGCCGCTGTAGCTCCATGGAGTTTTGTATTGCAGACAAACTTTCAAAGCAGTTTTTAAGCTCTAAATTCAAAGCCTCTTTCTCCAAGTCCATGTTTGTCCTCTCTTTTTCCAACCTTCTAATTTCATTTTTCAGCATGTCAATATCTTGTAATTGGATAGCACAAATAGCTTGGATTGATTCTAACTGTTTCCTGGTATTAATTTCCTCATTACGTAAGGTTTCTTTTTCCAATAAGAGATTGCTCAATTCTTCATTCAAACGGTTACTTGTTTTTTGTAATTGTGCAACACATTCCATGAGTGTGTTCTTTTCATTTTTCTGCGATATCACCTCCAGCTCCTTGTGCTTCAATTCCTCTCTAAGAATATCCATACTAGACTTCTCGTTTTGAAGCTGTTTTATGACAATATCCAAATTAGCTTGAATTGACAGAAATTCGTCTTTCAGAGACGTCATTTGCTTTTGCACGTTCTCATGCTCTTTTTCGTACTCTCTGATTTTTATGACTTGATCCTCAATACGTTTGCTATTAACCAAAATTTCATCCTCTTGATGTGTTAATTGTTGTTCAGTATCTCGAATTCTATCGTGCTGTTCTTGCAATAGGCGTATATTTTCTAATTTCAGCTGCTCAATGTGATTTCTTTTTAGAGTGGCTTCCAATGCTTTTTGTTTTAGAGATTCGCATTCTTGGTTCAACCGTTGAATCTCGAGATCCAATGACGTGCTGGACTCAAGAATACACTCCTTTTCTCGCTGCTTCTCTTCCAAGATGGTTTTCAATGATTGCAATTGATTTTCATGCTCTTGAATTTGTTCCTTAATTTCGTTTTCCATGATATTCGTTAATTGTTCCTGTTCTTGATTTTGCTGACATATTTTCAACGCCATCTCTTTTAGTGCGTTAATATCTTTCTCAGGAAGAACATCTTTGAACTTGAGATACTCCTTTTCATCGATGTGCTTCAATTCAACAAATCGTTTTGTGAGGGCCAATAGGTCTTCCTTGGCATGTTTTTGCTGTGCAAGTACCAGATCGATTTGCTTTCGATACTCCTCCAAGAGGTTAGAATATTTTCCTCTCTCACGACAATATTGAAGAGAAAAAATGTCCTTGTCGTGCAATGCTTTTTCGATGTCTTGCTTCAACAGCTCTTCATCAGTCAACCGCTGCTTAAGCGAGCAAAGTGATTTCCACGTCGTGCCATCCAATGTTTGCCAAGAGTGCGCTTGTTGCAAGATGTTATCAACATCTTTCAATACAGGTCTTGGATTGTCAAGTATTTGTCTTGCATACATGAATAACTGGACCCTGTTTTGGGCTGTTGTACGTTCTTCTTCGAGGCAATTCATTTCGGACGCCTTTTGTATGGCCTTCTTGATACTTTCCAAATTTTGATCATTCAATATCTCAGTAGACAGTACATTTTTCAACGACTCTAATTGTGTCATTAATTCTTGAGCTTGTTGCAGTTTGATTAATAAAATATCCTTATTTTCAAAATGAGGTTCTTCTCCAATGTCTGAAAGAAAATCTTTGGTATGGTCTATGGTTTTCTGAAGGCTGAGGATGTTGCACAGCTGACTATCGTGAATCAGATCGTCCATCATCTTCTTACTTGTGCTGCGTGTCCATTCCTGACGTAGTAACATCTTATCTTGTTTGGAAATGGTTTTACTTCTCAAATAATCCTCCAGCTCTTTCTTTGTACAGTATGTGCCCGAAATATAATTACGTACATACAGTACGCTCTCATTACACTGTCTGATCAAGTTATCACACTCGTTCAACACCTGTTCCGCAGATATGTGTCGAAGATGTTGGCATTTCTCTCTCAAGTCAAGAATTTTATCCATGTCCTTACTTTGAACAAGTGATTCCAAATCCTCCACAAGTTGGTACTCACGTTCCAGTTCATCCAAGAGCGTATTGGCTTGCTGGCGAAGAGTGTGTAGTCTATCGGAAGAGTTGTGAGCAGTGTTTTCATTTTGAAGGCATCTCCTCAGTACGAGCGGATTTTTCGATTTCATGGCTCGTTCTAACATGTATAAATCGTTAAACTCTTCACTAATCGTATTCAATATGTTTTCTGCTTGGAAAATCTCCTCACGTAAGGACTTGAATCGGCGTGCCTTAATGATTGCTGTTTCAATTTCTTTCTGCTCTCTTCGTTCGATTGCCTCTTGTAATTCTTTTCTGCATTCAGAAATACTGCCAGCCCGCTTGTGCAATGAGTCCACCAACTCCGACAGTGTGTCATTCCTTTCAAAAATAGTTCCTTTGTTAGATTTGAAATAAACACAGAGCCGGAGCATTTCTTGCTCATTGTCTTCTTGGAGAGCGATGTTGATTTCGCTTTCAAAAAGCTCCACACGGTGTTTTCTCCACCGTCTTAAAAAATTATCATATTGTTCTCGGGACAAATACTCTCTCAGTTGTGACAGAGTGTTCATTATTTGCTTGTAGTCACTATTACCGCTCAGTATTATTACATTCATTTGGTGAATGGCCTTTTCTTGTTGCTCCTTTAAGGTACACACCTTGTCCCACAACAGCGACACTTCATGGTCATCCACGTATTGAACAAACTCTTGTTCAAGTAAATCAAGATGAGATAAATTTCTCGTGTCAATAACTTTCGTTAGGCGTGTGGAAAAATTATGGGCTGATTTCTCAATGGTATCGGCATTATCGAATTTAGAACTGTTGCCACAGGCCTTGTCATCGATAAAATGATCGTCATATTGTTTTGATATGTTTTCTTCAGAGGAACCTTCCATGTGTAGTTTTTTCCTTGAAATAAGAATTCTTGCTTTTCTCTTAAGAACTCTTAGCTCTTCTGTAATTGGCTCAAAACAATCTTTAGATTCAAGCAATGTCTCGATACTTGAAATTTGTTCCTCTTCAATGTATTTCTCGAGCATTTTACAAATTCTATTTTCATTAAGTTTCGTCTTTTTCTCCTCCCACGCCAAACGAAGCTCCTTGAGCACGGTTGCATCTCTGATCCCAGATTTTAAGAGTAATTGTGTAAACTTGTTCTGCTTTTCGGCACTAAAATTGTCTGACTTTTCAATGATGTTTTTGATTCTCTCAATTACTTCTCGTTTTCTCTTTTCCTTATCATCCATCTCTGTCTCCAATTCAGGCAATTCTGAATTTTGTTCCAAAAATATGTGTGCATGTCGAAGCGAGGATTTAAGGAAAATATTTTCAACGCCTGGAGAAGGCAACTCCTTTGCCATTCGAAGTACATAGTGCCTTACTTGTTCAATGTCCTTTTTGAAAATTGCATCTTTGATATTTTTCTTTGTTTCATACGCATGCTGCATAATATTGATTAAATATTGTGTAGTTTTTACAAGTCTAACTTGATCAGAAGAAATTTTCCTCTTGAATATCTCCACTTCAAAAAATGATTCTCTGGCCAGGTCGCTCAATACTATGGTTAATAGCTCCATCAATGAATGGCTTTCATCGAGTAGGGTCCTTATCTTATTCACCTTGCATGATGTTTCTTTGCCAAAGGTTTCCGAATAATGCTTAAGACAATTGTTATAAGTTGTTTCGTTCTTCTCTAAAGCTTTGACATGATCGTCAATGTTCTTTCGTTGCTCCGCCTCTACAATAACGAGCTCAATATTTTCATAAATATTGTTAAGAAATGATGAAACTTCTGTTTCTGTTGATTCTAAATCTTGTAAAAATTTAAGTTTGTGTTCGAATGTTTTCGCACTCTTTTCTACACAACTCCTCAAATATACGTCTGTATAATCAAAAACATTTTGTTTTAACCCAGCTCTATACACTTTCAACAAATTGTACAAATCTTCTAACCGCTCATTGCGTGTGAATGTTTCCAGAAGCACTAGAAAATCTTCTTTTCGTTTGAATTTCCATTTACTTTAGTGGTTAACGAGAGGCATCACGTCGATAGCGTTAAAAATTTGGAATAATAATATCAACTTACGATTTTTCCGAGTCGACAGCAAAATCTGACGAGCCACAAAACAAATCCAATGATTTGTGAATGTTGACCACTTTCTCATTCACTGAAAATTAGTACAATATATCCAAAATTAAGCATAGTATTAAATTAATTGTTGCAAATCAATGACCCTCTCAAAAAAGAACGTACATTTTTCTTGGAACTTGGCAAATTGAGAGCGTATCATTCTCAAATCCTCTTCAATATTTTCTGCATTGATCCTTAACGTGTCAATGGTATTTCCCATATCCTTTTGATCAATGAGTACAAAGTTGGTTGTTAACTGTTTTTCTGGAATCCCCACTTCAATGCATTTCAAGGATTGTGTTTCATGTGACGATAAAATGGCATCTTCTGCCTCAAAAGACTTGTTAAAAATGCTGATAGAAGAGAGAGTGTCAGTGGAGGGACTGGATGGTGACTTTGGGGAGCTCTGTAAACATGTACCTGTACTACCCGTATTGACCTGTAAATTGTAAGTTGATGGTTGTGTTGTGTTATTGGCATCTGAAGATGATCGAAATGAACGATCTGAAATTGAAGAGGTATGGTTTGACGAGCCTTCCACACGACTAGTTGAAGGTGTACTTGTACATTTGGGAGGAGTTGAATTGGATCTTCTACTGCCAGTAGCAGTTGTGCTGATGGTGCTATTGGAAACTTTCGAAGAATTGGGAAATATATTACGAGAATATGATACAGGCGTGCTAAATGATAATGACGAATCGATGATTTCTTCCATGAGAAGAGAGGATGAAGAGGTTTTGCTCGGAGTGTTGATGGTGATCGTGTGATTTGATGGCAATGCCATATCATCCTCGTTTGCTGTGGTGGTAATGTTGCTTGAAGATGTCAGCTCCACAGGACCCATTGGTAAATCATCGTTGTCTTCGACTTGATTATACTGAGTTGAGGTACGCTTATTGTTGCTACGAGCCAAGGCTCTCAGCTTTAACTTGTCCAATAGTGTCAATTTTGTAGCTCCTTCATACTCGCGAGAACCACTGATGGCTGTTGTTGTACTACTAGCATTGATGGCAGAAGAAGGCTGAGTTGAGCTATTACCATTGCTCGCAACTGTGATAGTACTACCACTACTACTACTACTACTAATATGACTTGTTGTTGTTGAGTAAGGCTGTGATTGCCTACTAGATCCTCCGTCCGCTCGCCCAATTAAGGGTGATGTTATTGAGGTTGATTGTTGTGCTGCTCGTCTACTACTCATCATTGAGGACGATACTATCGGTGTTGTTATATATGATGAAGTGGATTGAGGCTGTACGGGGTGATTCTCTTCCTCGTCATCATCACAGCTCGGAGAGATGGGTGAAGAAAACCTCAAACGATGAAGCTCCATTTTTTTCATGTTATACCCAATTGGGATATTCAAAGTACCAACCCTTCATACCTCTCTATCATAGATCAAATAAAGATCATAATGACATTGCATTCTGGAAGGTCCTTATGTTGTCGTCGATGACGATGAGACCTTGATGAACTTCTCAATGTCTCTCGCCTTCTGGAATTTTCAAAACAGAAAAAATGTCTTCGAGTGTGCTAGGTGAAACCAATTTCCGATCATCATCATCAATGCTTTCCTCATTCTTCTCCAATGAAAACTATGCTCTAAAGGCCTATCCACAACATGCCATCATGACTATGGTGGGCTCTATTATTTTTCATACATTCCTTGTTTTTGTATTTTACGGAATGAGTTCAGTGTTATCCTCAACGTTCCGTTCCATGACTTTTCCGAAGAAGATTAATTGGGTATCTAGGCTTGTTTCCAACGTTCATGCAATTATATCGTTTGGAGGAGCTTTATGGGCCATCATCATGACTGCCGAGTGTTATAAGAGATGGGACGTTGTTGCAAGTTGTTTTGATTATGAAGCTGGCTACTTGACTTTGCAATATACCATTGGCTACTTTACGTATGACTTGGTTTTCATGTTGTTATTTTACAAAGAGTTGGGAGGCATCGGATTGGTATTGCATCATTTCTTTGGAATTGTTGGTGAGTAGTAGTTGTGTGGTTGTTTCAACTCCGTGATGATGTATATATCATTTCTGAATTGCATAATGTCTCATTTTGATTTGGTTGTTCTTCAAAATATTATTGTTGAATTTGATCCAAATGGTCATATTACGGTTCATATTTCTAAACGATGAACAATAATCAAATCATTCATGTGGTTGACAATCCTAAAAATTCACACACATGACCAGGATGGGGCTTGATTTTGAGTTATGAAAATTTCTCCTTCTTTGCCTTGTTGTTCACATTGACCGAGGCAACAACTCCGTTCGTCAAGTAAGTTTTACATCATGAGATGAAAGGCATATAGTGTCAAATGTTCGATTATTATTACTATTGCGGTATCACACATTGGTGATATGATTACTCCACCAAATCCAATATCTCCTCAATGATTACTATTGTTGTTCCTAATCACACATGATCACAGTCAAAGATGGTTCCTGTATGAAAGCGGAATGAAGGACAAACCAATTTACAGTGTGTTTGGATTTTTGTTGTGGTTAAGCTGGTCTTTGGTGAGAATGCCTTTAGTTCCATTTACTTTCATGTACATCATGTACAATTGGGAAGGTAAGTCTTCGTATGTTAGTTGGAACGCAAGAGAAATATGTTCATGACTTTTTTTCTGAAATTTGTCTCGCTTGATTCAAAAATTTCCGTGGGCTAAAAATCCGATGACCTTATTCTGGCCAGATCTTGCAAAAGCACCGTTTGCAGTGCCTTTTGTGTGCATCTTCAATTACATACTCATTACAGCTCTCAACACGTATTGGTATTATTTAATATCAAAGGGCTTGTTGAGTGTCTTGTTTGGCAAGAAAAAGACAGCCACTTCCACGATGGAAAAGAAAGATCAATAGTGAACACATGGTTCATGCATACATTGTGTTTTATTGCTATTCTGTTTAATTATAGCTACATAAAACAAAATTTTAACTTATTGACAACTCGTACCATTCATTTTGAGGAAATTGAAACGAGAATTGACATGATAGTGAAACAACAAATTTATGTACAGGTTTAATGCTGGCTATGGAAATACAAAAACAGCATTCCAAGAGGTGAATCTGGGTCATCGACAGCTTGAACAAATTCGTCAAACTCTATTGTTCCATTCTGATCCAAATCAGTAGATGTAAAAGTTCTACTCAGATAATCTTCCAGAGTCTTCCATCTTTGAGCTGTGAGTTTGTATCCATTCATTTTAGCTTGACCAACTGCTCGCAATAATAAGAATTGCAGTATGAATACAAAAGAGACAAGCTTGGTATTTATACTTACTGAAAAACTTTCTAAAGAAATCAATCATTTCTTCTTGTTGGACTGATCCGTCATTATTCACGTCAATTAGACCAAAAACAACTAGATGAAGAAAGGCAATCAAAGATGTCGTCCGTGACACAAAAACAGAGCCAACAGCATTAGATCATAACACTCATTGTTATACTTACATCTGAGAATATCTTTTTCTTCTCCATATAATAAGGTACTCAATCCCGTTGCAAGTTCAACAAAATCAATGGCACCATTTCCGTCCAAGTCAAATGCTTCATAAATTCTATGAAATGCTGGCATTGAATTTTGAATATCAAATTTTTGAGAGAGCGTGGTCTTGACTACACGAAAGAAGTTTTCCTTCTCGAGCAGTCCTTCTTCGTTACTGGCATTTCTAAATTCCTCAAGCAAGATTTTGAGTTCCAATTCACTCACTAGCGTTTTTTCAAGGTGATGTATTTGGTTTTCATTGTAGTTAGATTCAGCATGATGAATGTATTATATTGAGGTAGTGTTTGTGAATGGTGTTGAGGACACCGATGATGTATTATTAGAATGAGGAGTTGAAAGGGAGATAATAAGGAATGGTTGGAGAGAAGACATGAGAGAGAATTTGTTGTTGAGCAAAGATGGCATCATTAGAAGTGAGTTGAGATACCGAGGAACGAATGATGAAAGAATCAATGTTGTTGTATACATTTGATGGATGTTTGAATACAATTTCATTGTAAATGCGAGGGATTTGAGGATGTTGTTGGGTTGAATTGTATCAAAGAGTCATACAAAGTTGTTTGGATTGGCCCAATTATATTGTGAGCGAGGTAATTACGTTATTACATGATGAATTCTAATAAAACTCACAACAGTAATTACTTACTCCTCAATGTTTTTGTCAGATCCTTAGTTAGACTTGTAGTTGAAGCCGAACACGATGAGCCAGTCTCACTCATGGTATCTGCCGCTAGATTGCTATCCTCTAAAAACGTATTTGCTGCATTAACAGCTGATGATAGTTTTGGTTTTTGCTTCTTTTTGCTATTCATCAAATCAGCCAACAACATTTCTGAGGAAACATCCTCTCCCTGATGATGATGCAATGGCTGCTCGATCATGGAATGAGCACGCGAGGAACGAGAAACGTTGGAGCGAGGCATCCTGGAGCACGAGAGATGGTGGTTGTTGAGGAATTTTTTATTGTAGAGCCAATTCCAAATTTGTACTTGATTCATTCCTTTTATTATTCATTCTCTTGGAACAATGGAAAACAAAACACACACAGGTCACAGCACATAACCATTGGGATGCCGTCTCTCCTCAACATTCAAAAAGATGGTTACATGAAAAGTAAGAGAAGTAGAGGTCGAATATAACATTAACACTTTAACATACAACCTGAAGTTTGTTTCAACTCAATATTGAGAGATAAAACCAAGTTGAGATTTTCATCTCCTTGTTTTTGGGTCTTGATTGAGCGAATATGCAAAATAGATGAAATAATGTATTACTGTTCATAATATTGAAGTTGTTGTGTTCATAAACTTGTCAGATGGTTTGTCAATACGACCTAAGGTGCTTCTGGTCATTGAAACAAAGCTCAGGATCTAACAAGTGAAAAACATATTTTGTTCCTCTTCAAGGAAAATCCAATGACCGAAACGTCAACTGTTTAGAGATAAACCAAGATTGTATTTTCTTAATGATGACGACAAAGTAAACTTTTCAAAACACAATTCATAGAGTCCAACACTCTCTGTTCATTCCATTTTCTTGTTGTTTTTTAAAACTTGAAACTATCTTTCAAAAACCCTCTAACCACTCACACAACCACGCGCTCACTACCCTCATCTTTCATTCCTTATTTGAAAATCATTCATCCTCAAACATCATCAGAAAAAAAAAAGTTTTTCGTTTTGCAACAAGTCTTGGATCATCATCATCATTGGTGGTTGAAAAAAACACTAGATCCAGCTCCCGATTATCACACTGATCTACCTCGTAAAAGTAGCAGTTGTAACTGTTACATTCTCTTCCACTATTAGTAGTAGCTACTTGCAACGTTGTTTTTAAAATTGTTCTCAACGTTTCCTCCGAGTTGAGTCATTGAATCAATCATCATCATCAGTTATAAAAAACGAACACCACACACTCCGTGTCGTTGAGACTCAACCTCCTCCTCATCCTATTTATAACAACAACAACACCGAAAATCGATCTAATTGAACAGTTATTGGATCATCACATATCATCACAACAAGGCTACAACAACAGCCAATAATATTATTATTACATATACAAATCAATTCCAAACTACTATTCAAATTCAACCCCTATACATGCCTCTCAACGTTACAAGGAGTCCACGACTCGTTTCCATGCTTTGTCATTCCTGTTATGGTGCCGAACAAGAAAATGAATTACTCGAACACTATGAAAAGGAAGAGAAAGTCATTTCAAAACAAGGAGCAAGCAGTACATCGACGAATGGGCTTTTAACAAACGGTACTATTGCTACTATGGATATTGCCAATGTTGAAATAAGTAAACCCACAAATTTCAAACGGGGAATACATATTGCCATTGATGAGGAACAAGGAGTGTTAAAAGGTGAGTTGTTGTATGGAAGAGTGATGATATATCATTTGAAATGAATTGAAATATGGTGATGACCGTTGTGTGACGCACGCACTATTGCAATATGGATTCATGTTTATTGATTTATTAATTTAACAACATGTATTTGGACACTACTGCTTGAAAATTGTTGAATGTTGTATATCATCTATACCTGAATCATGGATATTCAAAATTCATGCCATCATGATGATGATGATAATACTGTGTGTTTCACTTGACCCAACATCTTGTTACCGTTATGACTTTTTCGCTATGACACTTGACATGTGTTACCTATTTCACATTTATGGTACTGTATTTTCCTTCGGGCCGTGTCATGCACAATTTGCGCATTGAAATGGTCCATTCTTGAACATGTTTAACACTCCTCTTGCAACGTAGGCGTTCCTGAACAATGGAGAACCATGGTCGGTGAAGCTCACTCCTATGACAATTATCGTAAAATGACTGAAGAAGATATTGCACCATATTTAATACCTGAATTAGGACACGAGAACGATCATCATGACCGTGCACATTCTCACGAAGAGGAAGGTTTTTCTGGACTCGTGATAACTCGACCTACAGAATTCACACATCACATTCATGTCGATTACGATCCAGAACGAGGATTTACTGGATTACCTGATACTTGGAAAGAGATTCTTGAAAAGGGAGTCAATAAGGGAGATATTACCATTGATGAAGTGATGAATCACAAAGAAGATGCAGCAAGAATTGCAGGGGTATGTATTTTGTGTTGCTCATGAATTTAGTCAATGATGACTCATTGATGTGTCCAATATTGACCATTACTTCTTAACCTTTCACAACACGATATATTTCACAAAATGATCTATCGAAACAAATTGAACATGCTCTTGAATTCGATATATTTAATTTTTGTGACTTGCAATGTTGACACCATTTGCCATGTATTTTCATTGCAATCACATTCTTCAAACCAGTTCATTGATGGAGGTTTAACATTGGCTCCTCTCAAAATTCCAACCTCAGCATCCAAACCTAAAAAACGACTTCCAGATTTCATCTCACAAGAAGATCCCACTAAAATCTTCTCCCATCTCAAACCCATCGATGAAGGCAGCACAGGAGTGGTCATGCTCGGCACTCACATCAAATCCAATATCAAATGTGCCGTAAAAAAGATTGAAATTCAACAAACGACCAAATTGGAAACTCTGGAAAATGAATTGGCCATGATGGAATCGTGTTCACATTCAAACATTGTACAATATATGGGAGCGTATCATCATGATCATCATTTGTGGATTTCGATGGAATTTATGGATGGAGGAAAATTGACAGATATCTTGTACAAGACCATTCTTCGAGAGGATGAGATTGCCTATGTCTTGAGAGAATGTCTCAAAGCTTTGAAATATTTACACGATAGTAACAAGATGCATCGTGATATTAAGAGTGATAATGTACTTGTAAATTCGAAAGGAGAAGTGAAATTGGCAGATTTTGGATTTTGTGTGGAATTGACGACACGAAAAGAGAAACGTAAATCTACGGTATGTTTTTTGTTTTTAATGATTTTGAATATATTCTATATTCTATGGATCCTCATTTGACATTGTTGTTTTCCTTGGATATGGATTGAATTAATAATGAATGAATAATTTTAATGAACAATTTTAATGAACAATTTTAATGAACAATTTTAATGAATAATTTTAATATGAAATTTACAGGTTGGAACTCCTTACTGGATGGCTCCTGAAGTGATTCGAGCCATTGAATATGGACCCAATGTCGACATTTGGAGTTTGGGAATTATGGCATTGGAAATGGCTGAGGGAGAACCTCCATTGATTGAACTACCCGTGTTGAGAGCTTTATTCATTATTGCGACACAACCTCCTCCAACTCTAAGAGAACCTCATCGATGGTCCAGTAATTTCAGTGACTTTTTATCGAGATGTTTGGTCAAGGATCCAGCAGAGAGAGCTTCTGCTACCGAGTTATTGGAACATCCATTCTTACAAAATGCATGTGCCCCATCGAGAATGTCTGATTTATTGAAAAAGTATCACTTGTTGAAACATTAATGTGTTGGAATCGACTCGATTCTTTTTTTGATGTATTTATTTTCACATGTAATTTAGAATTTGTTTTAGGAACATTTGAAACTTGTATCATCATTATACATTTGTACAGATACATTTTCTCTCATTACTATTCTCTGTATCCCCGTCACTACTGCGTTATGACCCATTCTACATTCAAAAGAAGAAGAAATAAATTATTTATTTAGGTAACAATGGTGACATATTTACATAAACTTGTTGTTCATAAGGTTGTTGTTTCAGATTGACGTCACAAAATTCGCTAATCTCCCAAATTCCAAGGATCGAAATTATTCAACACATCCTCAACACCCTCCAGTCCCGACTTGAAAATTGCCATTTTCGCCAATTTTCTTCCTTCCTCATCTCTTGTATATGCAAATGGATTAAACATGGTATGAATGACACGTTCCATATAATGAAAATGATCTTCTCGATTCATTTCCAATGCAGCCACACTATGTCCATGAAATATATTAAGAAATAAAGGTAAATTTCGAATCACAATTCCATCCTTATTCTCTCCACAACAATGAATTCGCTTTTCAACAAGATCCATTACTTCAGTATGAGCCACTAATTCCACATATTGCGATTCCGGTGTTGGATAATTATATTCAACAAAACCAATTTGTAATTCATCTAATTTTGCTTTGACTTGATTCCGAACTAATTCCGAACTAAACCGAATTATAATTTCAGGTTCATAAAAGAAATGAAAGAGTGGATCATGTTTTAATCCATTGGGTTCTAAATGATAGAGATCATGTAAGAGTTGGCGTCTTGTTTCTGCTCCGAGTTGATAATCTTGTTCCGTTAATGACATGGATGATTTTCGTTGTTGTAATTCTTTCCATGGATAACCCGATGGCCATTCATGAATGTGGAGGGTTTTCATGTGGGTGTTGCTGATCGAGTGGCTTGAGCTTGGTTGTGATGACATTTTTTTTGTAAAACTGGTCAACCAAAATTTATTTTTACAATTCTTTTACCTGTGGCTATTTTCTCAAAGATTTAAGAGTAAGCTTAATTGCACATGAGAATTCTCTCTTGGAAGTCCCTCTTTGAAAATATTGGCCAAATATAATTACAATTCCAACAATTGAAAAAAAAAAACACTAAAAAACATTTCATCCAACCACACATGAGCGATCAAGCACTCAGCACTGTCCCGATGATGAATGAGATTCATTTTGAAAATGCATCATTACCAACAACACCTCCCATCTTAGACGATGAAGAGGAAGATGTAAATACTATTTTTGAAGCTTTGACGGATGCTGAAATGGCAATCCTGAAACAATTAGCGGACATGACGGGGGGTACCATTAGGAGAAGAACACTGAAAGAAATATATGAAATGGATTAATTGAATGATGTACACTTGTCCTTCTTTCCATTAATTATTCCAAATGGATTTATGTAAATTATATTTAAAAGGATTTTCTGTGTCTTAATTTTAAGGGAATATCATAAAATTATATATGCTAACAAGTGATTTGGAATATCACTTATACTCACCTGCATGAAATTGTTTTCCAATGAGTAAAATTCAATTCCCTCACAAGAATAATTATTTATAAATTCGCACGGCTGCACGATTATTTCCACACACGTAGAGCTCTCCAGTTAATTCATTCAAACAAATTCCAATCGGTGACCATGATGGAGTGTCTATTTTGCATGATTTTACAAAAGTTCCATCATTTGTGAACACTTGTAATTCATTGTCGTCACATGCACTCACAATGATGTGATCCGTCTCCTTCTCGTGGTGCAAATAAAAGGCATTGACAAAACATGTTTCTGCGCCCTTGTTTTGAAGTGTTTTGATACATTTCCAATTCGCAGAATTTTCATTCTTTCGAAAGAGTTCAATTCGATTGGCTTCGCTTCCTTGACTTATCAATAAATCACCTTGATTGGTGAAAAGTAGTCCATAAGGATGATGAATAGGAGTTTCAAATGACAGCGTAGAAAGTGTAGTTCCAGAATTGGCACTGATCACTCGAACACAAGTACTTCCACTATCACACACATAGATCATGTTCTCTGAATGTATGGAATATACGACTATGGCTTGTTCTGGAAATTCAAGTCCATCAGCTTTCCAAATCCATGAGCGATTATATTGAGAATTGGTCATGGTTTGTTGTAGTTCTAACAAACTCTCTAAATCATACTTGCATAGATAACCATTACAATAATGCGATTCACATTCATTTAACAACAATGCATCGCTATATTTTCTGTTTTTAGAGCTAGTGCTATAATTTTCCTCAATGGCCATATAACACGGATTCAAGTAACCAGTAGAAATTGAAAATTGAAGTTTTCTTGTTTGTAAATCAAACACTTGAATACTCTGCGCTTCATGAGCACTCACTAAAATACACTGATGATTATAGGATATTTTTACATCGAAAGGATCATAGCATTCCTTTCCTCGTTGCAACCCGTTCGTGATTGCGACATCTTCCACTTGTGTAAAATTGAAAGAGAATGGTTGAACTTTTCTGAGTGCAGGATTGAGCCTCCGACGCATTCGGTCTCTTAATTTCTCAAATAATAAATTATTTTTCATTGGCTCTAGAGAATGGTTCGTGAATGATGATGCTGATGAATTGTTCATCTCTGCTGAAATGAAAGAAATATCCAATTCAAACCGGACATTTCCGAGATGATGATCATCCACAGAGTCTTTTGTTTGCATTTTTTTGTAAATTTCTAAATTGATCTTCATCAATAGTTCGTTCTAGTTCAACAACCAAGTCTCACTCTTAAATTTTGAAATCTGAATTTCGCTAGCGAGGACCTGCATCAAGTTGTCTTTGAATGACAAATATTTTCGTTTGTCGATCTCAACAAATTCTGATTTTGGTGCTGGAAGAACAGTTCCAGATAATCAAGGATTTTTTATTTAAAAAAAAATACTAAAAATTGTTAACGGTTTTTTCGAATAGCAGTGGCTGCTCCAACAATCGAGTGAATCCATGTTATATTAATTTTGCAGGCCAACTATTCCATCGGAAGAGAGCGATTGTATTTTATATTTTGTTGTTGTTAATTACAACAAGTTCCCGGCCTACATCAACATCATGGTCCGATTAACCAATACTCCCATCATTGTGGACGAGTTTAAATACATTCCTGGATGTTTTATTTATTTATTGACTCACCTTCATACAGACCATACAGGTGGTCTTACTCCGAGTTGGAATAACGGAATTATATTTTGCAGTGAAATTACAAAACGAATGTTGTTGAAAAAGTTTCAATTACAAGAACCCGAAAGAGTGATTGCTTTGGAAGAGGGACTCACATATTACATTCCTCTTGTGCCTCCGAATCCACTGCAGGATCATCATCAAACAGCACACGATCATGACGATCATGCATCATCATCATCGGATCCATCATTGGGTTTTCGTTCTGGCATCACATCAACAAGCAACAATATTCATAGTGACATTAATGTGTGGAGGGATCCTTCATATTGGGTCAAGATTTCAAATGCATCCTCAGCAGCAACACCAACGAGACAGCAATTGCCATCATCATCTCAATCTGAAGCTAGTACTACTTCGAATGCAGCAAACAATTCCGATCAACAATCCAAGCTATCATCTCAAAATTCTGCCCACTCACTCTCACAAAATAATGTCACTACTAGTAGTATCCAAAACAAGACCATTCAAGCTTTCAATTCGTATGATCGTGATGCTTCCTACATGCAAGTAAATGTTGTAGATGCTAATCACTGTCTTGGAGGAATTATGTTTTTACTTGAGGGCTATTTTGGAACTGTCCTTTTTACTGGAGATTTTAGATATGACCCTAGAATTTTACAAACTCCCTGTTTTACAGACAAGAAAATTGATCACTTGTATTTGGATGACACATTTCTTGATCCTGTCTATGATTTTCCGTCACGACAAGAGGCAGGTCAAGAAATTATTCAAATCATCAAATCTCTTCCTGAGGACACTAGAATTTTGATAGCTGTAGATCATTTGGGAAAGGAAGAGTTGCTGATTGCTCTCGCAAAAACTTTTGAAACTTTAATCGTAGTTCCGGAAGAGCGATTAGAACTGTTGGAATGTATGAATGACATTATTCCTGTCCAGTTATTCACTCACAATCCTGAAAAAGGTCGTATCATTGTCAAGTCCAAGAAGGAAGTTAGTTTTAATTCTATCATGTTCTACAGAAAATCGTATCCCAAAGTTGTGGGAATCATTCCATCCGGATGGTCCACGAAACAACTCAAAGAAGTCAAGCATTCGGACTCACCATTGATTTATCGAGTACCATATTCTCTTCACTCTTCGTATAAGGAACTGATAGAATTTGTGACACAAGTCAAACCCAAGATTGTATATAGTTCTTCTCGTGGTGACAATGTATCACTTCGTGACGAAGTCAAGCACTTGTGTGACAACGTTACACCAATGAAGCAAGTGGTAATACCTAGGTCAGTTCTCTCGCACATGGAGAGAAGCACAAATTTAATCGACCATCGCAATAGTACGAGCGTCTCCTCAAATGCTCATTCCTTAGCGAGGCAAAAAAGTATTGGAACCAATCTCATCACACCCAATGGAAAATTACTGACTCCAAACACTTCAGCTGCCGGACGTAAACGAAAGTCCTTTCCTCCTTCCCACAGAAATCTACCCACCAAACTCTATGCACTTCCAACTCAAACTCTTAATCCATTCTCAAACCTCCCAAGCTCTTCTTCTTCGAAAGGAACAAAAAACCATGATGGTGACGTGGTCGATTTGACAGACTCCACACTTAATAATCAAAGTATAGTGACATCTCATCAAGGGACGACAGTTTTCGAGAACACGCAAGATTTGTTGACCAACATGATCTTTTCTACTAATCACCCACCAAACAACAAATTGACAGATAAGAATACGTCCATTCTTTCATTGGAGTCGTCATTTTCTAAATCGCCGTCGTCATCGAAACGACATTTTCCCTCTGCAACATCCATCTCATCATTGGAAGCTCTCAATATTTTGGACGATTTGCATTTTTCTCCCTTACGAAAAAACTCTACACACCAACCTCAATCACCAGCTCATCATCGAGTTGTAGCTCAATCATCATCACCCAAGGTTTCTCCAATACCCAAATTGAAACGGAAAAAATCTGCAGAAATTGATAAGGTACTTGTGGACAAGACCACAGGAATACAAATTCTGTTGCCTAAAAACATGTACCATAAAGAAACGAAGATCAATGAAATGAATGAAGAATTCAATGATGACGAATATAGACTCTCATTGTCTCCTCACAGTGGAGATGAACAGAATATAATGGTAGACGAGAGTGATATTTTACAAAATATTGAGCTAGAATCGGATGAGGAGGAGAGTATCATTTTACATACACGGCCAATCCACTCAAGCAATGTCAAGAAGAATCATACACCTCCTGAAAATAAGCGAAAATTTGATCATGACGACCATTATGTTCAAGAATTATCAAGTGATGATGAAGATGTGGTCTTTACTGGAAGTTTTACTAGTGTGGCAGGCAGAAGAGATTCACAAAATCATTCTGTCTCTAGGAATAAGCATTCGCAAACAAATGACATTGTCACACCCTTGTCTAAAAAGATGAAACAAAGTTCTTCAACTACTGCTACCACGACGATAATGATGCCAGAAAACATTTCAGATACATGCGACTTGTTGGATATTGGTTTTTCTATGGAAATGCCATCGAACCTTAATACTAATCACGAGGAAGAAAATTTATATCCAAAAGGATATTCACAAATATCATGGGATGACGATGATGATGAACATGAGAAGAAGACAAAAGATGAACCTGAAAGGATTCTGACCACAGTAGAAGCCTCTCAACCACAAACTAGTTTTGGTGCTGCTGAGGTGACAACCTCGAATATCGTCATGAACCTCTCAAACAAAGGTACTGAGCAACCAACAATGACAACCAATCAATTATTAATACCGCAAAACAATCTTAGAGCCAAAACAAAAATACCTTTCAAGTTTGATTCCTCGGGTGGAAGTCAAAACACTGGTTCTCCTCATTCTTCGCTCTCATCCTTAGAGTCACCTTGTACCATTCAGAGTATTTTCTTTTCGAAAAGTAAGAAATAAGTCACACTAACATGTTACACTAAGCTGATAGAATTTAATGTTTCAAAATTTGGCTCATTAAATATCAAGGGCCATTACGAAGTACATTTGTGAAAAATATGCGTTGCAAATTCGAGCGTCTGAGGGAAAAATGTGGGTCGATACAAATGTGATTAATGGCAAGAATTACTACTCTTCCTTCTCCAAAATTTGGCTTACAATGTCAATATCGTTATTGAGATTCTTCACACAATACAGCATTTGTCTCTTAAAATGTTCTTCCATTCTCGATTCAAATTTGGTATCTTTCAAAATTACGACTCGGCATCTGTGACAGAAAAGGACAGAAAAAGGAAATTTTTTTGGATTAACAACAAAAGTCACAGATTCTGACAACCCTTACCTTGAATATTCTGAGACCAGCAAGTCTCCGTTTTTGGCATTCAGAGAAATTCCCAAAGGATAATCCAATCCACCCTCAATACATTCAATATAATCTCCATTAGAGCTGAAAACCTGAATTCTATCATTAAATGAATCACTCACATAGATATTACCAGTTTTCGGTTCCACCAACACTGAACATGGTTCATTAAATTGACCATGACCACAACCGTAACTTCCAAATGTTTTCACAAATTGACCATTCTTTGTGAAAATTTGCACACGATGATTGTTTCGATCAGTGATGATTAATTGTCCATCGAGAGAGGCTGTAATATTACGAGGGCCATTGAATTGCCCAGGTGCACGGCCATACACTCCAAATTGGCGAACATACTCTCCATGAGAGTTCAGTACCTGAATTCTATGGTTGTCTTGATCACATAAATAAATTAATTTCTCTTTGCTGTCAATATACACTCCTGATGGCAGTGAAAACTCTCCATTACCATCTCCATATTTTCCTACTTTCCAAATCAACTTGCCAAACACTGAATACTTGTACAAACAGTGGCTATTACTTCCAAAAACAATTGCAGATTCTATAGGATCATAATCAATATAAAACGGAGTATCACTTGCAAGGTCAATACTTTTCAAAAACTTGTAAGTGGACAGATCATATACTTGAATGGCGTGATGTCCAGAATCACAAATAAAAATCAATTCTTGATGTTGATCCACGACCATATCATAGGGATGGTAAAATTCAGATCTATTATTTCCTAATATAAATTTTTGAATATATCTTCGTGGATGTTGATCTTGATACAATGATTCTTCATGATCTTCATGATGATCATTGTGATTGGACCAGTCGGTATCCATATCCAATAATTCATCATCACTGATGGATGAGCAATCCGTATCGTTTATTACTTGTTCTTGGTTCATATCTTCGGTATTGATGGTATCCATGTTGTGGTTGGTCTCATGCGGTTGATCGGATCCTTGATCATCATGATCCTTCATGCCTTCCAAAGAGTTGTTGTTGAGCATTTTTTTTTGTAATCTCGAGTATTGTTCAATAATTAATAATAATTATTATACATCATTTAACTACACTTGATAAATGTAATCGGTGAGTGGATTGGCATGGGCCATTTCGTCAAATAATGAAATGGAATAGGTTCTTAATTTTGGATCGGCAGTGCAAAGGGAGAAACATTTTGCTACTTGATATTCAAATTCCTTATTGGTGTTGACAACATCACTCTGATACGTCAAAAAACAAAAATCGGTATCATTGAATGATATAACAATGGGTCATAGAAATAATACATAGTTGAATGAATCGAAAAACAATAATAATCAATCACACAAACCTACCTTTCCAATGCCAATCACAAATGAAAAGTCAACATTTTTCCGTTGTCTAATTTTCCTCAAAAATTGTTCCAAATTGTCAAAGATCACTCGATCACCATAATTCATACCAGTAAATGTTGAACCATTGTAATATGGAGGAGGCACTGATAAAACTCCCACATCCGAATTTGTAGACATTTTCACGATATCAATATGCAGTGAATTGGTTGAATTTTGAAGAAGTCTTTCTAATTCGTACATGATGAGTTGAGATATTGATACACGAGTATTCGCTTTTTCGAGATAGCAAGTCATGATATTAATGTCACAAACAGGTAAACTTTTCAAAATGAATTGAGCAAGTTGATCTAAATTTACAATATCTTGATAGTCTTCATAGGGATTTGAGTTCATAATAAAATTAGAATTATTATCTAAATATTCGCAACAATCAATAACGTTCTTTGGACTCAAGAAATATTGTGGATTTAAAGTTTTGAAATTTTCAGGTCGAATCATTCCTTGCATGTAATGCAATTCAAATAATTTTTCATTGTCAGAGGTCCACAAAGGTTGAATGGAATTCTTGTTAATGCCCATAATCGTGAGAGTGACAATATTTCCTTCTGTTTCAAATTTTGAATCATTGGCACCACTACCCTCAGAGCCCATATTCCAATTCGATTGATTTTTTGTGTGAATATATGACATGTATGCCTTCTTGACATTATTGTACACATCTGGTGAATCCATAAATGAGAAATCAATGATGAAAATATATTTTTGTACGTGAAGAGTTTCTTTTCGCGTTCTTTGCTTGTACGAGATGGCTAATAAATCTTCTAATTGTAGCCGCACAGTATGAGGAGGTTGTGGTTTCTTGTTGAAAACCATTACATGATTTGGTTGTTGTTGTTGTACCAGTTGACTATTATTGCCAACTCTCGGAGTAGGAGATTGACGAGGTGAAGTCGATGATGATGATACAGAAGCATTCTTTGGTGTGAGAAATACATTTCTAGGCGATGTTATGGTTTTTTGAGAAGAACGATTGTTATTAGGAATGGATAAAGTTGGTACACCTTTTTGAACTCCTCCTGACGATGATGCCGACGTTTCTACATTCGTGGTTGATGGAGATACAGCAGCCGATGATGACGATGAAGAGGGAGAAATACTCACAGCATTTGATGCACTATTCGGAATGGAAGCCAAATTCAATGAAAGAGTCGGAGTATGATTTTCAGCAGCTTCTGAAGAGGAAGACTGTGGATTAGCAGGAGTAATACTAATATTATGATGTTCATGATGATGATGGGAAGAAGAAGAAGATGATTGTGGATCTTGTGGATCTACTTCTTTGGAATGTTGGCTTTGATCCGTTTGAGAGGATTGCATGGCATTCTTGGAGCGTTTTCGAAAAAACGATTTCATTTTTTTTGAAGTTGAGAATGAAATGATGATTCTGTTTTAATTGGATGATCATCTTTTATCATTGGTCTGATTGGTGTGATCAAAACAAGTTGGGATTCATCAACCATGATTTCTTTGGCAAGACCTTCAAGGTCAGAGAAGCGAGCAACAAGAAAAAAAATTATAAAAACGCTATTCGCTCACCCACTCACTTTCCGAAGATATTTTGGATTCATCAAGATATATATCTCAACAATAAGCCAGTGTGTTTCAAACGAAATTCAAAGAACAACAATCATCCAATCTGTTATTTCTTTCATTATTGGTTTCAGTCCTCTGATCAGTTCAGAGTTGGAAATTATTGAAATCATTCATCATCATCATCATACGGATTAAAAAGCCTTTTTCTTCATCATTCTTTTTTCTCTCTTCGTAACGAGTCTGAACTGATTCAGAACGGAGTATATTAGTATCTTTTTGTACTATAAATTAACTAGTATTACTGTAATAATCGGAATAATCATGAGTTTACGTGTACGCATTCCAAAACCATTACGGTTTGCTTTTGGTCATCATGCAGAATTCAACAAATTTTCAATAGCCTTCTTAATATTTACGTTATTACAAACCATGACAATTATTGGAACATCTATTGCGACAATGGTGTTAAATTCTCAAGACAAGGATCCTTCTACAGCAGTGTACTTTTTAGCTTCGGTCGCTATTTTGGCCATGTTTTGTTTGTGCTATTTTGCGGTAGACGCAATTTTGAACGAAAACAAAATGATGATTTATTCATATATTGTGATAAGTTTGTTTTTGATGGGACGATTAATTTATGGATTGGCATGGGGAGGAGAAGCTGATGAATTGATTGTAATGATTCCGAGTTTATTAATTTTATTTTTTGAAGGTTTGTTTTGAAATTGATTGTCATCCTAGCTCAATAACGGATTGTTTGTTAAAAATTAATTCGATTGAATGTGAAATGGGAAATGCAACTTGTACAGTCTGTCAAATAGTTCTTTCCATTCCATTGATCAACTCATTTGGATGGAAGTTATATCGAAAAATTGGATCGAGTAAGACTCTTCATCAACTCTATAACATGTATCATGCTTTTATTGCAGTTTTGAAAATTGATTTTGTGTGTTCATTGCACGTTGGCATGTTAGGGTAAGTAGTTGTGACATATCGTCACACACGTTTTACCATGATGAAATTTCCAAATGCAATAGATTCTTTTTTGTAGTTTTTGATTTTTGGTGGGTGTACACGATTTTCGGAGTTGGATTGTTGATTTCACTGGGTGAGTTGTTACACATTGTCGATTTTAAATTTTTATGGAATCAAATAATTTCACATTTTGCTACATGGTAACGAAAATTTCCACAAATCAGCCAGGTAAGTACCACAAGTCTTGTGTGCACTTTTTACATCATGTACCTGACTATTTTATTTCCAGTGAACCACTCATTGTTTATTTTGGTATTCGACAAGAACACAAATTATTATGTATTATATTTCTCCTCATCTCTCTCCTTATACCTTCCTTTTTATTGTACAAAGTGATCATATTGTGGTTACCTGGCACACATGAAATTGTGACAGAATGGGGCGGCTCGTCCATGAGCCAACTCGAAATCAAAATTGGGCTTAGTTTATTAGCTGCTTTTGCATTTCTTGTAAGAATCATTCTCATGGCCATGACTTGTGTTTGCATGTTCAATTTTGGGAAAGGACTGAAAGAAGTATTTTCTAGAGCGAGCAAGAAGAAGAAGAATGTCACAAAAGAGGCAGACAAGCCCTTCTTGTCTTCACAAAAAAGTCAAAATTATTATACAGCAACTGATGATCATAGCACGTGCACCACTTCGACAGCAGGCCACGCATTATTTGCTGTCAACTCCTCTGGTGAAATTATTCAACATGGAAATGTTTCCACTACTAAGGTGAATGTTGCTCTTACGAGAAGTATATCCGATGATAGTGGGTTTATGGGCTCGTCAAGTAATACCTTATCAGACGACGACGATGATATTGTGGTACCTATAACGGGTAATTTTAATAATCAAGGATATCATCACCAACATCATGTACACCATAGTCATCATCATTAAAATGCAGAATTGGTTAGGGTGATTATTAAAGCAAGGATGTTTGGGTTGAGTGAAAGTAATTATTGCATTCTCTTTTTAAACGCTCCAACATGAAAAGGTTGGTCTGTTCTTTTTGCTTGATATAAATTATCGTTACAGACAAGGTTAGATTCCTTTTTGCAATCATTGAAGGCTTTTTGAAGAATATCCTTCTCTTGAGCTCTTTTGTCGTCTAGCGGGTTGGCCTTATTAATACTACCCTTATTATTCGCTGTCAAATAAGCACCACAATAACAATAATCCATTCTTTGTCGATACAATTCATCACTATAGTTTAACACGTAACCGTTGCATTTAAGAGCTTCTGTCACAAGTTCCTTGTCCAACTTCAATTCATCACTAGCGTGATATAACGCATATCCATTATTTTTCACGGCAGCCAACATTACTTGTTTGTCCCTACGAAAATCTCTAGCTAATTCTACACAGAGACCATTTCTCTGAACTGCTTTCAACACAAATTGTTCGTCAGAAATCCTATAAAGAATCTTGTAACATCCTTCTTCAAGAGCTCTTAACAAGAATTCTTTGTTTTCCTTAAGATCGTTTGAAGCGTACATAATTGCAGCTCTGTTTTGTTTAACTGCCTCCAAAACAATTTCTGGGTTGCGTTGGATAGATTTTGAAGCATATTGAAGTGCATTTCCGTTTTGTCTAACTGCTGTCAATACGATTTGTGGATACTGTTTCGGATAAGATGCGTATTGCAACGCTCTTCCGTCTTGTTCAACAGCCATCAATACAATTTCTTCACATTTCTTCAGATCTTCAGAAGCATATTGGAGTGACAAGGCATCATTTCTGATAGCATTACAAACAACTTCCTTGTCACATTTCAGTTCATTAGATGCAAATTTTAACAAAAATCCAAATTCTTGGACCACTTTGAGCATGATTTCTTTGTTAGAACAATCAAAACATGTTAGTTCAGGAAATACTGTTTGAAGTGCTTTCAACATGAAATCTTTGTTTGTAAGCAACTCACATGATGCCCAACGCAGTGCTTTCTTGCTTTGCCTAACAGCTTCAAGAACTAGTTGCCAGTTATTTCGTTCGTGTTCATCGACGTATTGCAACGCTTCACCATTTTGTCTCACAGCAGCTAACACAACCTCGCTATCTCGTTGATGGTTGCACAAAGCAAATTCAAGCGCCTTTCCTTGTTGTTGAACGACTTTCATAACAAAACTCTTATCGTTTTGCAATTCTTCTGCCACATGAGAGAGGTTGAGAGGTTTTACTTGCAACAAAAAATCTCGGTTCCTTCTCAACGCATCCGAAGCGTATTTCAAGCCATATCCGAACTTGGCAATGTGATTCAAAACGAATGATTGATCATTCTGAAATTCAATGGGAAAGAAATGTGGATATTCCAATTCCCGATTTTCCAACCACTTCTTGGTTCCTTGTTGCTGCAGTGTAAATTTTTGTTTCAATAAATTTTCAACAGTCCGGACTTGTTTAGCCATCATCATTTGCTCTTGATCATCATCATCATGATGAGAAGCATTGAAAAACGGACAGACAGAACAATTCACAAGCATCACTCTCACAGCACCTTCGTGTGGATGGTTGGCCATTTTTTTAAATTTTTTATGAACCTATTTATACTGCAAACAATTGAACCTTAATCACACTTTTTAAGATTTCAGACCTTCTTCAACGACCTTCAATGCCTCAACATAAATTCCGTTCTGGATGATCCAAGGTTATATTCTTTTCAAGCTGTGTTAGATCACTTGAAAAAAATAAGAAATGTCCAGCAAAGTCCCCAGAGACGAGTACGAACCGACTGCAAGAGAGGACGAGAATGGGAACTCTCAATCTGAAAGCTTGAACAAGGAAAAACTCAATCGGAAAGCAAAAAACAAAAATCATCCTTGATGGAACAAACAACAGAAGAGCTTCTTGATGTCGTTGCTTTTTATTTAAGAACGAACACACTTCCATCCAGGACAATCTCCGATTATACTAAAACATTACTCCTAAAAACTAAATTTCCAGGTGAAAATGAATGTAAAAACCCAGCTCCTATCAAGTGCTTACTCTCTGCCCTGGATATTGAATTTATTTATTACAAGAATATGGAATGAGTAGATCACTCGAAAATCTGCGGGCCGTTGAGAAGCATTTTGAACTGAAGCAAGATGAAAGAGGCTTGATATTGAATGCCCTATCACCCCTTCCATATCCTTCATTGCATCAAGCTACTGAAATGTTTCTCACTCACACTCATCTATTCACAGCTACCTATCTTTGCAATGCAACGCTTTGTGCAAATAGTAACTGCGAGGTTCCAAACTATTTGTATACCTCTAATTTGACTAAATCTTTGCAGAAAGTGTTGTTAGATTTTAGGGTGTACGGTATAATAGCTCAGAAATTCAGTGATGCAACGATTACAAAAATACTAAGGGAAGACAAGTGTGAACTTTATCCGTTCCATTTAGATCATCCAGATTTTGTCAAATTGGTTTTTTCAATGCGTCTGGCTCTTGCGAAAAACGTTCGAATGCTCATCAAGGATCAGCTCTATAATGAAATTCATTCAAAGCTGTTTGTGCTTGGAATCACCAATGATATGGAGAAGAGTAACATGTATGCTCTTCATTGCAAAGTCTCCACCACCTTTGCCCTCAAGTATGACTTGTATTATATGGGGTGTTTTCAACACTATTCAAGTTCAGATCGAGCTAACATCATGTCACTCCTTTTAACGTCTTTATAGAGCTGATCTAGTACCGAACACCAAAGATGTGGAGCAGTATTTAAAAACTATATCACCTTTGAGTATGGCACCTTCAACATCCAGAAAAAAGACTGACCAACCTAACACAGCTATTCTTAATTTAGATTATCATCTTACCTCACAGATAACAAAAGGAGTCAGCAACACAACAGTTGAACTATGGCTTGGAGAAATTGTGGCCAATTCACAAACTTGGAAAATATTTCACAAGACATGTAAACACAGAAATGAGCTTAACACTTTCTTTGCTTTATCTAGCAATGAAAACACCGTCATTACTCTTGCTGGGACGGTTATTGAACATATGACAAGCAGGGATGAAATTATAAAAGCATTATGTGATTTAATAGTGCAAGTAGCAATGTTGGAACAAAAACAAGTCATACATAACGACATTAAGCCAAGTAATATTGTAGAATACAGATCGCATTATTATCTTATTGATTATGGAATTGCTACTCGTTTTAGCTCATGTACAGATGGCAAGTATTACGATAAACATGGACAGGAGGTAATATGTAAGTCTGGCACCCCCGGATATAATGCTCCTGAACGTGAAGAAAATTTCATTGTATCACCCAAAAGTGACATATGTTCCTTGGGGCTGTCGATGTAAGAACTGATGGTTGGTGATGATTGTGAAATACTTGACAGTTCGCTAGGACACAACCGCACTACCAAGGATGAACAGAAATCACTCTGGAATTTAGTAACACAGAAAACAAATAAGACCATTGCTGAGCTGATTGAGAATATGGTTAAACAAAACGTAGAAGAGAGATATAGTCCAGTACAGTGCCTAAACGTGTTGAAAACACATTTTCCTAATGAGGTGACTACATCCATTCAGCACTTCACACAACCCAAATACTTCATAAACCAGCTCAAACCTGAGGTCGGCTTTACTTTCTAAGCACTATAAGGTTTTGTGAATTTCCTGTGTGCAAGCAAAAAAGATCAAAATTGTTCGGTAGTTATTGATGTTCGATAGAACAATTCCTTTGTGTTGATGATTGGACAGTTTTAATTAAACGAATTGTAGTGTTGTAAACAGTTGAAATTATTGTAAAATGTTGAACCTTATTCATCCTTAATCACGTGTTCGTAATCTTTTCTATGATCATATTCATAATCCATATGGACATAACATCGTTCTACATCGGGCAATGATTCAATCTTCTTTTGTAGAGACTCTCCGACGTCATGACTTTCCTTTAAAGGAGTATCTTCTGGCAAGACAATATCAATTTCAACAATGATATTCGAGCCACTGTAATAGGCGAGGACTGTGTCGACTTTGGTAATGAGAGGACTGTGATTGAGAGCGATGAAAGTCAGTTTTTGATGATATTCTGAATCGGCAGCTAGTCCTACAAGTTTTGTAACTTTTTTGGATTTAAAAATGTAAATATTCAAAAATGGAAAATTGGTGTGAAATTATTGAAAAGTGTGATAATGACTTACTATGTTCCATCGATTCTTCAATCCAACTCTTAATAATGTAAACACTCAAAATAGTAGCACCCAGTGAATCAAACCACCACAACATTTTGCTCAAAAATACAGAAATGACAAGGACAGTATTCGACAAGACATCATTTCGATGATCAAAGGCATAGGCAATAACACTTGGAGAGTGCTTCACTTGTCGACAAATCAAAAAGAGAATAAATTTCACAGTAATGGTTAAAAGTAAAACTCCCAAACCATAGTAATAGAAAATTGTGGAAACTCGTTGTGAAATCATTATACCAAACATCCATTCAACGTTGGCATTTCCTGAAGAATCGTCACGAATGAGATAGGGCTCTCCTGTAATGAGTCCAGTCTATTTTTGTTCAACAAACAAGTAATTAATAACGTTACGTGTGACAACAATTGGTAACCAATCAATTAAATTGACAATAAAAAAGATTCAAAAAAAATGAAAAGAAAGGAATGTGTAAAATGATGCTACCATTCCCTTCTAGTGCCATGAATGACTTACCACAATTTGTGTCAAACCTTCCTTAATAATTTGCAACGATGCTGTGCACATACAGGTCGCAAAAATTACAAATCCCAATGGCTCCAAACGATTCCTTCCAATGGGGTACTGATAAATATTGTTCTTCTTTTTTCGAATAATCGATGTAATGTAAATAATTAATCCACTCAATAAATCCAAAGCAGAGTCAATCGCTGAAGTGATCACACTCAATGAAACGCTCAATAAACTTGCTGAACATTTCAACAAGAACAAGCACACATTCACCCAAAACGACAAGTGAATACAAATATTTTCTAATTTCTTCATGGCAGGTGACACTGTTTCTTCTGTTTCAAACATGTGTTCTTCATTTCCAAATTGAGGCGACTGAACTGGATTTCTTCTCTTGATCGAATCGTCACCATCGCTTGAAACTTCGAAATGAGTTGTTCCTCCTGTTTCATTTCCTTCTTCATTGTCCTGAGTTTCTGCTTCTTCAGTATTTCTACTTTCTAATTTCGTCTTGTAGAGTTTTGCATATTCATCAACCATTTCATTTTGTTTTTCATAAAATTCAAGTAATTCCTTATTTTGAATATTTGAAGTATCGACAAGTGCAAAATTATTAAAATCCACTTGCCAATTCTTGGTATTCAAATGTGTCAAGTATTTGACTTGAAGTTGATTGGAAGAGGAATAATTTCGAGTCAATGTTGTTGGAGAAGAGGACGATGGCAAGGACGAATCAGCAACCGATGAATTCTGTTGTTGCTGTTGTTGATTCACTCCTGTTACTTCAAGTACTTGCGGAATAGTTGTCATTGGGTTCGTATTGGATGAAGATTGGTTTGTTGTAATCATGATTGTGTTTTCTTCTTCTTCTTCTTCATCTTTCAGTTTGGTTCGTTTTTTATCTTCTTCATGATGATGACGAGAGACAAACGACGAAGAGCCTTCGAAGAGCGGAGGGGAAGAAGTGTTGGTAGTGTCCATTTTCTTGATGCTTCTTGTTGTTGTGGTTCAGCTCGACGACGACAACAGCGGATCTTTCAGTTGAGGAGTTTGGGTATTTTTTTGAAGCGTTCTTAAACTCCGAAAAAGGAAAACCCTACAAGTTTAAAAAACCACGTTTCAATAAGGTGAGGCAAAAAAATGAAGCATGGGGCCTTTAAGGGAATGCATTGTATTGTACAACATGCACTTGTTGTTGAATGCACTGAATTGCTGCGAATTTCAAAGTGATGCCTTTTTCAATCAAAATTAAAAAATGAAAAAACTCACATCGTCTCATCGGAAAGCATTGTTTTCTAAATTTCGGTGGTGGTTGGTGCACCACAAGCAAAATCTCATCAAGTTGTACCAAGCCACTCCTCATTGCCGTGCAATGAATGGCCATCGTGATGATAAAAATAATTGTACTCATTCATCGGCATTAATTTCTTATAGGTCATTCTCACGATCACTCCGATTCATGGATTCCGAAAAAACTGCAACTTCCTCCTCTTACAGACAGATTCAATCACCAACCAACATTGTACATTTTGCCTTCTCTCAAGAAGAGGATTTGCTTACAGAATCTCCCAAGGATGGAGTTTATTATAAGGATCATCTCATTGTATTGAATACGCCGTATTTGGACCAAAAGTTATTTCCGAGAGAATTATTTGAAGGTTTATGGAACTCGTGTCGATGGAAGTTTTGTGCAGATGGAGGAGCCAATCGATTGTTTAAATATACGGATTGGAAAGTGGACAATTTGATGAGTGTTGGTTGGTCAGAGACAACAAATTCCCAAAAACAATACGTTCCAGATGTGATTTGTGGAGATTTAGATTCTTTGGATCCAATTATTGGACAGTTTTATTCAAAATTAGGAACAAGTCTTATGAAAATCTCAGAACAAGATTCCAATGATTTACAGAAATGTGTCAGCATTTTGAAAGAAAAAATATTGAATGATGCCATTAGTAGTGGAACCACATGCAAGAATGCAGAGGAAAAATCCAATATTCTAAAACAACCGCCAACACAACCACCCATGCGTACCATATTTCATAGAGTTTTTATCATTGGAGGCGGTGGTAGGCTCGATCAAGAAATGTGTGACCTCAATACACTATATATTGAGGCAATGGCAGGGATGTGCTCGTCATCAGCTTCGGTCTCGCCTGAGAACAACTCACCATCTCTCACCATCAGGAAGGAAGAGGTGGTGGCTCAGGAGGAACATCATTATCATCATCAAACCACCACTCGTTCCATTATCACAACTAGTACAGAAAAACATGCACTCCAATTCATTTTGGTTACACCATACAGTTTGGTTCATGTTCTCACACCAGGAAGGCATGAAATTTACAGAAATTCAAAATGGGAGCGATCTACTTGTGCCTTGGTTCCAATTGGAATTCCCTGTCGGCAGGTAGTTACAAGCGGCTTGAAATGGAATTTAAAAGGAGAAAGTCTTGAGTTCGGGGGACTTGTCTCTACTTCGAATCGTATGCTAACAGATTGCGTCACTGTTCAAAATTCTCATCCATTATTGTGGATTACAAGTTTAAATAATCGAACGGAAGAAGAGTGCTGATTCCAATGATGCTACTTTTTTATTAATATTGGTTCAGAGGTTTACTGTGCGTTCGATAACATCGCTTTCCCTTCATGGAAAGTTCCAGATTATCCCAATTAATGTCGAGGACAAGTGAAACCCTTTATAATTTGGGTAATTTCAAAGGGTTTCAAAGGCAACAAGTAAATCCAAAACAGTGGTCGATTGAATCTCATGGAGCTCTTCTATTTGTCCACAACGATCCGTTGCCTAGCCCGGACGCAGGTTGACCACAAGACGCAAAAAAAAAAAATGTTTCCATCCAATCAAGATGACACCAACAACGAGAACAAGGTCAATCAGTCTTTTGGAATCCAACATGAACTTGGCATGAAAAATTGGAACTTCCTCTCAGGTGAGCCGTCCTCAACGACACTACCTTTGCAATCGAGCGGTCTTCCTTCACCATCACATTGGGATGAACAATTACTACAACGCAGAAGAGATGACCATACCAGAAAACCCAAAACTGACACCTCTCAAATGACATTTTCTGAAATATATATGTTTCACATGGAAAAGGAAAAACGTGAGGCAGAAGAGCCACTTTTTCCCATTGAGGAAAATCCATATTATGGCCCATTGGCTTCCAAGTTCTTGATTCTACAACAAGTCGAATCACAAAGCAACCGATTCGAGACAAGTGAACTCGAAGAATTGGCTTTAGAAATTGTCAAACTCAACTCACTTTTGAAATTGAGAATGGATACGGCACGGGAGAGACGTGAAAAAAGTCGACGAAGATCGTTGCAGCAATATTTACTCTTTTCCAAGATGGATGTGTATTTGATGGATGTTTGTGTATGGCTGTATGACGTGTTGAAAAAACATCAATTTGAGCAACAATTGCAACATTCAAAGAAATTGTTAGAACACGTTCGAAATGGCATGATTCATGTGTTTTTTAACCTCGGGGAATTATGTTACTTTATTTGGGAAGAAAAGAAGTCTGCTCTTTGCATGAAACAATGCATGACATTGTTGAACCAAAAGAAAGAGGAAGCAAGTGGTGTTCTCTCTGATCAAGATCTTGCTCTTTTAGTGGAATGTCTCATTTATTGCATGATTGACACGATAAATCATGACAAGTATGCCACAAGTTCTTCTGATTTGGAAATGAAATTTGTGAAACCCATGCAAGAATGTCTTTCACAATGTTGTCAAGTCGAAAATATGGATGAATTGATGACATCGAAGACCACTCAATGTGATATGCCCACCATAGCTAAATGTATTTTACGTACTCGAGTGAATGGTATGGAATCTCTGATCCATTACAAGTATGGAAGTTCCAACGGTATGGAGAAGATTGTGACTCAAGCCATTCAATTTGTGGAGACACAATCAAGCTTTGATCGATCACTTCTCGAGTTGCAACAATATCTGAATATCGATGAATTTTATTGTCGACTTGGGGCCTTAGGTACTGCAAGACGGCAATTATTAGAGGCAGTCAAGAATTACAACCATGCTTTGAACATTCGAAGAAAGTTTTACATTCGAACTTTAATCAACAAGAATATCGCCATCCACAATCTTTCAAGTGACAGCACATTATTGAAAATACTTACAGTTTATTACAATTTGTTGTCACAATGGGAATGCTCCAAGTTTAAGAAGATCACAGAAAAACACTGGAAAGTACAACCTTTTTGTTTTTTACAAAATAACATGAGAAATTGTAACTTTGAAACAATATTTGGAGAAGATGATCCAACGTCAATCATCCAACAACAAGATTTGGAAGAACACACAATTCCAAAGTGGCTGTTGAATATTGAAAATGTACTCAATGAGAGAAAGGACCAAGAGAGCACATACAAGGAATTGATTGAAGATGAATTGAAATGGATTGCCAAGTTTCATGAAATGGCACAGGAAGAGCTCTATTTGAAATTGTCCATTCCTAAACTCGATCGATTTCATTATGTGGATGTTGAAATTACAACCACAATAGCTAAATAATGGTTTTCTCAAACTACGGATATGTCGAAATCTGTTTATTTATTGGAATAAGTTAAACTACATAATTTAGTGAACTTCAATAAAAGAAAGTTACGCATAAAGAAACTAGTTCATGTTATATGGACGAGATGGGGTGGTAGCAGGTTGTGTAGTTTACACCACCATATTCTAAAGACAGCCTGATTCAGTAATTTTAATCCTCCACACCATCATCTTCATCACCATGATGATCTACTGGCAAATCATATGGCATATAATCGGGATTAATTTCCTTCACACTTTGAAGGAAATCTCTTTTCATTTGATTATAACTTCGAATCAATGATGCAATACTCTCCATCAAGGCTTCTCTTGGTTCGCTATCTTCTGTGGTTTGGATTTTAATTTCAATGTGGTGTTCTAGTGGATGCGGAATTTTATATCCAGCAAATAACACTCTCCTATCTTCATGTAAACGCATCCGAATAATATTTCCTAGTGTATGATCTTCCTTGTTGACGATAAAATTGGCAGCGTTGGGCATCTTTTCAATCTTCTCTGCCTTGACTTTGATTTCTCCTTCGAGATCAAAAAGTTCATAGGTTTCTGGTTTGTTCATTTCTGATGATTACTTTGTGAGTTGGGTGTGTTCAAAAATCAGATCCCGAAGTTGATGATAACGCAATGGCAAAACAACGGTTTTGGAATTTAATATTTTTTTTTGTTTGAAATATTATAAAATTCATTAATTTCACCATCAACTTGTTTTCATGAAATAATTATTATTACTAATTTTTTTAATACACATATATATATCCGATGATCTGATTACTGACCATGTGTATGATTGTCCTTCTTTAATTGTTTGCCTTCGGACCATGCAAGCCTTGAATCATGACAAAAAAATGTTCGATTTTGGTGATATACCCTTCATGAGTCCGGCTGGTGGTGGATTGTTTCAATCCTTGTCTTGCAACAATCCCTCACAGCCTTTGATTTTTGAAAGATATGATCAACGACTCGGAAAGTTGTTTGATTTTACGTTGCCTTTAAAAACAAATACAAGTGTTGTTGACGATAATGAAGAAGGAGGAACAACAACAACTCCCAATGTGGATGATGAACAAAATGTTCTAGGTGAAGATACAAAAATTGGATCTTCTTCCGACAATAATATCATTGGAAATGAAACACCAACAACAACTTCCATGAATGCTTCTACTACTTTAAACAGCCACTCACAAACTCAAATTATAAACGTGTATCAAACTTTGCAAAAGTGCAACCCATCCTTTCCACAGGAACCGTGTGTGATTCCTGAAAAGTGCCGAAAGGAAATTGAAAAGTTTTATTCGACACATGATGAAGAAGACGAAACGTATTTGTTCAAGTTGCTTGTGGATATGAATTTGATATCATCGGGCCCCATTGTCTTCAACATTGCTGGTAATTTTGCAGGGTTTAATGGAGGTAGGTTGTGATGAACGATTGAAAAATCGATGAATTGACTGATCGGATCAACTGGTAAATGAACTACGTGTCATAATAATTGACATTCTTTTTCATGTTGTTCATGCACATGAAAACATGAAAATGTTGACGATGATTCCATCTGATATCATGCTATTGTTGATATTGTTGATGATGATTCCATCTGATATCATGGTTTAATGCGCACCATGTTTACAGGTCCTCACACAGATCTCATGCAAGAAGATTTTAAAAAAGAATATTTCAAAACAAGAGAGTGCTATGAGGCCTCAAGAAGAGCACACAAATTGTACAAATATGATGAATTTGATGTACAAGACAAATCAAATCCAAAATGCATTAACACATCATTGCAAAAGAAATTGATTCAAAAGGCGGAAGATGCACTCGCAATTACTGAGCATTGTATTGAAGCCTACAATGCTCTAGCCTTGTATAAAGCGACAAGTTTTGAAGAAGCGCTCGAATTGTACAGACAAGCTCAATCTCATTACAAGGAGTACTACAGTGAAAAATTGGAAAAGAAGAGGAAAGAAGTTTTGAAATATAACAGGAAGGGACAAACTTGGTACAATCACGAATTGAGACAATTTATGAGAGCAATTATTGGTGAAGCGAATTGCTTGAGAAAGATGGGTCGATACAAAGAAGCTCTTGATAATTATCAGAGGTGCCTCGTGTTGGATGATGAGATTCATGATACATGGATTTCTTGGATTAACTACATGTATCACATTCCAGAGTGGTAAGTATGGAGTTTTGAATTGTTCACGTGCGACAACACTGATCATACATGTACTCCATAACAACGATTGATATACACTATATTTTGTTATAACATTATTACCACATGAATGAATTGCAGCCTTATGAGACTAGGACGATGGAAGGAAGCGTACGACTTTTTAAAAAAGCACAAAAGTTTGCTGAATGCGCCACCAACTCGTACCTTGTTATGGAGTTTAGCTCTCTGTGAATATGTAATCAAAAAGTTTACACCAGACACTGTGGCAATGGCTCGTGCAGAAGTTTCTGGTACCGTCAATCCATTTAAAGATCCCATTTTTCATGCTTCAATTACGGCTCCTTTGGTATACGAGTATCTTGTTGGTGTCAGAAAATTAACACCGGTGAGAATTTCCAAGAGTTGGAGAAATGCACCTTCTGGTTTCTGTGCGCCATCCTCTCAAGCGAGTTATGTTATGGATCATTTGGATTTATGGCTTGCTGTACCAGGTGCACTGGATTGGGCACTTCGAAATGCAAATACGGTCTATGGTTTTTGTTCAATCACAAAGACAGAGGAAAACTTGGAGAGAAAACATTTCTATCCAAATGATCCTTATAAGAATTTTTATAATTTTTATTCTCGACATTGGTTTGTGAATGTGCAAAGTCAAGTCTCAAGAGAACCGATGCTGCAAATAGCTGTGTCCATCAATAATTTACAAATTGTACAATTTTTGGTTGAAAAAGGAGCCGACATTACCACGTCACTTGTACGTGCATGCGAAAAGGAGAGAGATGTTATTTTACAGTATTTTTGTGAAAAGGTTGGCACTCTTCCACTCGATACACTCTTCGAGCCTTTCAGAATTTCCGTCACTCTCGGTCATTGGAAATGTCTAAAAGTGTTGTTTTTAAGCGTTCTCAATGCATCGAATTCTGTTCCAGGATTACTGTTAAACAAGTGCATGAGTTGGCTGGTAGAATCGAAAGAATATGATTGTGTGAATGGTGGACCTACGTGCCCTCGTTGCTTGTCTGGACGTTTTCAACATTCATTATCCAATAATTATTTACATTGTCTAGACTTGATCCTAATGATGGGATGGAAAGATGTTTCAAATACTGCGGCCACTCTTGAGAGCAGCAATAAGAAGAAGCTTCAACATCGTTTAAAACAAATTACACGTGGATGTGTCGCATTGGACCCGCGCAATTATGGAATTGTGGATATGCGAAGCGTTCATCTTGTTGATAATGTCAATAGATACAAGGAAGTGAAACCATTTACAGAAATGTCATCTGACCTCATGAAAGACATTGGAAATGATGAATTTCAGGTATGTTTTTTTGGAGAACGTCTAGGAGAGTATTTACAATATTGTTATTTATTAACTTGATCATTCTGAAATTGTGTGGCAATCAATGTTCATTGGCATTTTCATTACAATTAATGTTCATGACGGGTCCGTAAATTCACAACACGATCATGACGACCTTTGACGATATCAGCAAGGAAATTTCAACGATGCCCTCGATTGGTACGGAAGAGCTTTGCAAAAGAATGACAATCCCGAGCTCAAACATGTGCTGCATTCCAATATGGCACAGTGTCATATCAACATGAAGCAGTATAAACTTGCCATAGAACAAGCTCAGAATTGTATTGAAGCCAATCCTTCCTTTGTAAAAGGTTATTACAGGAAAGCAGTGGCTTTAGAATTGATGGGCAAAAGACAACAAGCTCTTGACACTTTGGAAATGGCTCTCAAGAAGGAACCCAATAATGACATGATTTTGAAGCTCAAACAAAAGATTTTGAAAGATTTGGAAAAGCCATCCACTGCAACCTCATCATCCTCCTCTCGTAGACCCAATTCTGGCAGGGCAAGTACTCGAGGACGCAATCCACGTGATCTTGACGAGGAAGAAGAAGATTCCGAAAACGACACAGATCATGATGAGGACGAAGAATCTGATCACGAAGAGAACCCTCGTGGAAGAGTGTGTCCAAATTGTGGTGGCGAAAGACTTCCTTACATCTGTGCACAATGTGGAAAAGAAGCGAAAAAGAGATGTGGTGCTTGTCATGAGGTCAGGTATTGCTCGAAACACTGTCAAATCAAGCATTGGCCTGTTCACAAACAGAATTGTTGTTGGGTTGACATGCACACACGATAATGTCCATTGGCATGTTCATAGAGTGTTACAGGAGAGATCATTGATTTGTACGCTTTCCAACAATTACTACCTTTCCTTTTTGTGATAGATGAACTCTCGCGTTTCTATTCTACTCTTCCTTAAATCCTTCTAATTATTCCTTAATTGACCAACGGTAATTTTTCTCTGGCTAGATCTGACCAATTCAACTCAATAACAGGGTTGTCTGATTAGCGACACAAACAAAAAACCACACAATGATGATGACTAAGGTTACAGTGTTGACTCTTGTGTGTACTTGGGCATTATTTCAATAAGGAAAATGAAAACAATTTCGACTTGTTGAAGAATATAAATGGTCACTATCCTCAGAATTTTGCTAACTGGAACGTGAATGGAAATGTAATTTTGGAACAATTCATTGATTCTCTCAATATTCCACAAATTTCATTTACCCCAAGTTGCAGCACAAGCTCAGCAGTCTTTCATGGCCATGATTCAATATGGCTACACTTGGAAAGACTTGCAATAAATTTTATCGTCCGATTCCAACATTCGGAGGAAGTGCTTATTTGTTCGTTGTTAAAAAAACGAAAAAAAAATTGAAATCCAATCCACTCTGACATGCCAAAAACATCATCATGAACAACACGCAACTCGATGAAGACGAACCTATCAACAACAATACAAGTTTAAATTCAATTACCACAACAACGGAATCACAAAACAGTACAAGCTCTTTGGAATATCTGACTCAATCACAACAGCCCTCCGATTCTGATTCCGATGAATTTCTTTGTCCAGAATGTAAGAAGGGATTTACTTCTCATAAAGGCACCAACAAAACCATTCAACAATTAATTCGGAATAATATGATTGCTTGCGATATTTGTAATCGGTGGTATCATTTATTGTGTTGTTCCGATCAGTTATACAATTCTGCACAAACGGGCGATTTGAAAGAACGTGTTGAATTAATTTTCAGAAAATCTGTAAAGGCTGTTGCATTGAATCATCATGATGAAAATGGTACAATAGAAAATGACGAGGAAATGCATTCAAATCCAAACTCACAAATTGAAAAAGATATTACTGTAAATAGTGCGGATGATGCTAATCGTTCAATATCATGGAATGAGAATGAACATTCATCATCTAATTTTGATATGGAATTGGAATTACGAAAAATTGAATCACAAATTCAATCCATACCATTTTTCATTTGTTCACGATGTTTGGAAACAAGAAATTTGTACAACATTGCGAATACTATACTGCATTCGTCAGAAGAAGACCACTCGGTGAAAACAATACCTTATTTTCAAGATGAAATACGTGATCCTTTTCTGTTTTTTGAAAAGTATTCGTTGCAAGATGAGTTAGAACAAGATACATCCTCAACTGAAAAAAAATCCTCAAATGTGTATTATATCATTACCAAAGCCAACAACGAAGATCAAATTCGAAGATTTTCATATTGTAATTTTTTAGCGACACGAGAAGATGCTCGATTTATTGCAACGTCGAAAGTCACTTTCCAACAAATGGTAGAATGTTCCAAAAGAAATATTCAAAACTCTATTAAGAAGAGTTTGGAGCTTCTATTGTCCCATTACTACAATGGCACCATGGAGGATGAAAATAGTTTCAATAGTCAAAGCAGTGAGTTAGCTTCGCCGTCTCCCTCTTCTAGCGCTACAACAACGATTACGGAAACCCCTAACAACACAAAATTTTCTCCCATGAGCTATCAACATCATTTGTTAGATATCATCAAAGAAAAGGCCTTAGAGAGTTGTATTCGACCTGAGAATGAAGCATTTATTTTACTGAGAGTACAAGTCCAAAATGGTACACAGCATTCGTCTGACAAGGAAGGTCACCAACAAAATGTCAACCACTCGTCAATAACGAACAACAACACATGTGAATGTATTGGATACTTTACATGTTATTTCGAATTTTTGTCCAAGACAGTGAAAAAGTACACGTTGACGGATGTGCATTCCACTTTCAAGCAGCTATTCATCACTCCCAAATATCGAAAGAAAGGTCATGCACAACGAATGGTCAAATTTTTCTTAACCCTCAGCTCCTTATTACTGGACACCTCGAAAATTGAGGGCTATCGATATTTTTCATCTCATACCAGTATTGAATATCCGAATTATTCCATGTGCTCTCTTCTTGAACGATTGGATATGAATGTAGTGAAAAGGATTCAACTATTTTTTGATTGGAATGATTTGGATCGAGTGAAAGAACAAAAAAACATGTCAGCATTCACTCGAAGAAAATCCAAAAGCAATTTGGATGAAATACTCATCGAGGAGGCCCAATCAAATTCCTCATCAGAACACTCCTACATGTCAGATTCTGACGAAGATCATTCACACGAACATTCTTCACCACTCAAACGTAAGCTTGAAACTTTTGTCAACTCATCTGGATCAGAAAACGAAATCCAACAAGATGAAATAGCCATGAAAAAACGAAAATTTCATGCTTCATGTGAAGAATTTGAGGAACACGGTCATACTGATCATGAGAGACAGCCAATTTCTTCTGATTCCATAATCAAGAAGAATAAGACAAAACGAAATATTCGACATCGTAAAAGAGATATCATACTTCTCGCAAAGGAACATTTGGAGAAAATGACCGGCTTGCATAATACCAAAAAGTCCATCATTGCATTTTTATTTAAAACAAAACGTTCAGAACAAGAAGAAAGCGTTACAAATGTTGCCATTACACCAACCTTTCGATTAGAGATTTTTCTTCCTTTGCATTCTTTCAATTTTGATTTAATTGATGAGAAAGAGTTCAAGGTAGAATTTATGTGACAAAATTTCAGACCTATTTCTAAAAAAGTGATTACCAAGATGGTTAACCTACCAAGCATCTTATCGCATCGATGGTAGAATAGTAAACAATCGGCTTTACTCGCTATTATGTTGCTTTTATTTTCTTTCTGAATACATGGTAGATAGTGAATCAAACGATTTCACACTTTTCATCATTGATTTTTGCTGCTCTTCAACTGTCGAAGTATTATTCATTCCATTGTTCATTGCTGGAAAAAAATTGGAAGTGACTGGTAGAGGAGAATAAATGCTCAAATCTTCAGTCATTGAAGGTGTGTTATTCCCATAATGTCCATAATGATGATGACTAGATAAAAGTAAGGGTGTAAAGACAGGTTTCCTTGGAGATTCGCCTCCATGCATTACATTATGTTGCATGAATGGATAAAATTCGTGTTGAATATTTCCTAATGAAGCTTTTCTTGGTGATGCTGTCCTCATTGTATGACTGGTGGTAGATGGTGTTGTCGTCGTGCCATGATGATTGTTGCTCGTATTCATATGTTGTGTCGACGATGACGGATTGGCATGTTGCGAAAAATCGACCATACTACTCTTTTCCAATCTCCGCAAAATAATTCGATGAAATTCCTCAACAAATTTAGCTTGTCTTGAATTTTCAATCACTCTAGGGCCTCTCACAAGTTTGACAGCATTCATTGAAGTTTTTGCATCCATTGCCAATGGTTGACGTAATAGTAATAGGCATGAAGCAAGTGTTCCAGAGCGACCTAAACCAGATACTGAGACAATGACGACATCTTCTAAATTCACATCAATGGCTTCTCGCATCCATTCACATAATAATATGGTATAATTCATTGGAGGAGGATGCCTTTGCTGAACAGGTATAAATTTCGTTTCAATGCCCATGTGAGCGGCTTCTTGAATTAAATCTCCAGAAAGTCTTTCGAGTTCTTCTTGTGTCGCTAAAATGACAAGTTTTTTTACATTATTCTTTTGAAGTACTCGCAAATCATTTTGCATGACACCGCCGTGAGAAGGTCTACCTGGTAAAATGGAAATTCCTAACCGACCATGTTTACGTTTTTTGCTGGTTGCATGACTTTCTTCGCTGTTAACACATGGATCAGATGCTGTTGTTGAGTTTGTGGCGGTCACCTGTTCATGATGTGGTGACTTTTCCGCTGGATGAGGAGTCCATATCGAATCAACGCTTTTCAAATTAATCCAATCAATATGATACTTGTCATTGCGGAAGGCCTTTCGTTCAATCTTTTGTGCCAATGCACAAGCAGTAGCAACCGCCCATGCTCTCTGATAGATACTGAGAGAGCTCAATGTTGCGCTATGCAGTGCATATCTCAATAACACGATATCGAGTTGAACTGGATTACGGTCACCCCTCACCAGTCGTTTCGTAATGCTGCGTAATTCAACAACAGCTTCCCAGGCTCGTTTCAATTTTTCAGATTTCAAACCAACAAGCGTGATGGGCAAAGGTTCAGCTAAATCCTTCACTGAAATCAGTTCCTTAGTAATGATGAGAGCCTCTTCAAGTTCCTTCTCGCTATCAATGGGCGTATATTCAAAGACAATATCGTTTTCTAATTTTGCTACATCTTTCAAAATGTGAGTTCTTTCTGTGTATTCAAAATCAATGAGCCACACATTTTCATTGGTATCTAAAATTATATTTCTGCCATTCAAATCTCCATGAACGTAGGAGACATAGTGGAACGATTTTGCCAAATAACCTTGTTTGATTTTCGGAAGTGAGTCACGAAGGAAATGAACAATATTTTTCACTCGAAAACCACCTGGAAATATTAAATACTTTTCTTCGCCATGTTGTTGCTGTGTTGGTGGAATTATGTAGATAGTGGTGGTGCTACCACCGTTTGGAATCATTGAGGAAGGACTTTGAGAATTGGATGGAGAGTGCGAAGTCGTTTGACTCGTGCTTGAAGTCGACGAAGAGCTTGTAGTACTACTACTTGTCGAGTTTTTCAAATTTTGTTGAGAATTCTGTTGTTCCTGTGTGAATCTATCCCACTCTTCTGGTGATATTTCAAAAATACTTCCTTGAGCTGATGAGGGCTCAATAGATGATGTGGGAGTTGAAGTGACAGAGGTTGTTGGAGTAGTAGCAGTAGTGGTTGATAGGATCTGTGATTTTGGAATTTGTCTTGGCTCAAAGAAGGAACAATCTCGCAATTCAGAAAATATGGAAACGATTCGACCTCGTACGGCATCTGGATTGTCAGTTCCACCTGTATGCCAGGCCCAGCCCTTTCCATCAAAATCATACGTCTCAAACAAGTCAATTTGTTCAGACACGGCTGCATCATAAAATCTTCCCAAGACTCCATAAAATACACGGTGAAGAATGGATTTGATGGTCGACATGCTTCCTCCACTCATGTACAATTCTCGAAATGATGATGGCGATCGTTTCATGCTCGCTGCTGCAATGTGAGGTGAGGTTGGACTTTTGGGAGACATTAAATCTGAATCTGACGATGCAAATTGAAAATCATCCTCAATCATGCTGGCGTAGGCAAATTTAATGCCTGCTCGATCTTTCAATTCACAAAATCCACGAATTTGAGGTGCGTTATTTCCCAAAATTTCCTCAACCTTTTCGAAATTAACACGTTCTCTTGTAATGGGACCTCTTCTTCCAATCTTGAGAATGGACGTAGCTTGTACGTGTCCCATCAAATCTTTGGAACGAACTTTGAAAACCCAAGATCCAGAGTGACCTCCAGACAATCGTGAAAAAACAACATCTGTACTATCATGATATAATAAACAAATGATTTCCTTATCCACATCTGAAAGTTTGTTCAAATCATCACCTATTGATTTCCAATGAAAACAAGGCATTATTTGATGTGCTACATTCTCATCGTTACTAGTGCCAAGTTGTGAGCCGCATTCTTCACTATCCAGCATATCCAGAATGGGTATTGGAGAGACTTCAGAAACAGCGCTCAAATCTTGTGGCGTACTGGGCGAACGAACTAATTGTTTAAATAAAAATCTGCCGCTACTAACTATTGAACTACTTGGGGTTTTCTTCCACCAGAATGGTATGAGCCATTCCTGGAAGTCACACAAGCTATAAAATATTGAAACATTGAAATATCGTTCTAATTGTTGGAGACTGGAAAAGTGTTGATGTCGTGATCGGCTTGCAGTCAAAGCTGAGCATGTGGAAAGAAGCTTGGAAAAATGTGAAAATCTCGTTGAAAGCTCATAAAATAAATATTGAATCGTGGATTCGGTCCAAACACCAATCACACCAATTTTAACATTGAGCTTTTTGTGAGTGCCATTGGTTAAATTTTCTGCATCGAGTTGTTTTTGCTTTCTCTCGATGGCTTTTGCAATTTTTGTCTCTAAATCCGTGCCATGGAATGCATTGACATTGGTAATATTTACGTAGGACTCATTGTCTCTGTTCGGTATGTCCTTATCGAGATTCAAAACTAAATTTGCTCCTGAGGTGCCTTTCACTGAGAACAAGCCGTTGCAAATATATGGTACTTCAGGAGTTGTTGGAGAAGTTGCATTAGCACTGGAAGGATGGTGTTTTTTGTTCTGACTTTCGCTACTGCTATTATTGTGATGACTTGACATTTTACACTTGTTTTGATCAATTTCATTCCAAAATCTCACATGAATAATTTCCAAATGATTTGAGGATTGTCTTCGAGCCCAGCTCATGAATGATTTCAATGGACCACTCTTATAGTCACTTCCGAGTAGACGTTGTGACTCGGGTTTTCCAACGTGCATGAACGTGCTCGAGTCGTAATCTAATGAGCTCGAATAATTGGTACCAACAGACCCTGGAAACTTTCCAATGAAATCATTTTGTAAACAGCATGTAATAAGTATTCCAAAATCTTCTACTTGATTTTCCGAGTTGGATGCAATACCATGGTTTTGACTCGAGGTATCACCTGAAGACAAAATATTACTAGCAGAAGGATTATTCACGGGAGTGAGAGGAGAAGAATTTTGACCAGTATTGGTTGCATTCAATGTTGGTGATGAAACGGAACTGCTCAACAATGGAGAGGAGGATGGATAGGTGGCAGAAGTCGACGATCCCGAATGCACTGATGCTGAGGCTGAACTTTTTATCGGGTACGGAAGAGCACTACTACTCGAGGTGGTACGAGGACTTCCATAATGATGATGAAAATGATTGGGCCCACCACTGCTGCTATTACTGCTACTGCTGCTAGATGAATTTGAGAGGTGGTTGTTGTTATTATTGTTAAAGATCAGATGAGTAGAGGCGAGAGATGTGGTTGATGAAGGATTTAAAGATGGAACAGATATGAAAAGGCCTTTCGGGTTTGAATTTTGAGAGGCCATAATGACTGAGGCTGGTGTTTGGGGATCTGGAATTTGTGATAACAACGAGGGTGAAGAAATGGAATGATGTGGTGATATGATGGATTCAATTTGCTGATGTTGTGCCTGCTCTTCGTTGTTGAGGGTTGTATTGATCAACGACATTAAAGATTTTAGAAATAAACAATTGAAAAAGTGTTGTGTGGGGTGATGGGAGATTGCCGTTATGGTTCCGATCCGAATCAAGAGGACACAAAACAGATTGAAAATTCTGCACAGTACCGGTCTTAATGGATAAAATATAATGCTCACCTTTTCTTCGGTATGAGCTGTTTGTGATGATAAATAATATAAAGATGAATGATCAGAGGAGTGTTTGAACGATGGAGATGAATAGGAAGATATGTTGTTGACGATTTATGATGGTTCAACAATTGGACATTTTTTTCTTTTTTCATGTTCATGCGCAATTTTATTATTGTGCGAAATGGAATTGCAATCTTAAGGAGCTTGATTTATTATGATGAGTTTGATTTGAAAATAACGACCCTGATCGATTTTTTCAAACATGCATTGAGTGGTGAGCTTGGTCCGTTTCAAAATATTGCTCAATTCTTATCGAAATATGGCATTAATTAGATAGCTCAGTTATAGCATCAATAGTTGAAACGATGAAACATTTCGAATGCTTATACCAATTTAGTATTTTCAGAAATGTTATAGAGTGGAATTTCACTGTTTCGATTCGAATTGTTTTCTCCATGGTGAGAATTGTCCAGCTCTTTGGTTGATGACAATCGATCAAATCGAACATACTTGTCCACAATTGCTACACAAACAGTATCTCCATAAACATTGACACAAGTTCTGAAACGATCTAAAAACCAATCAACAGCCAAAATGAGAGAAACAGCTTCCTTTGGTAATCCAACAGATTCAATTACGAGAATAAGTGTGACGAGTCCAGCCTCTGGTATTCCTGCAGCTCCAATACTAGCAAGTGTTGCAGTGACTATTGAAAAATGTTCATCGATTCGTTAATATTATTATTGTCAACATATGAATTCATAACAAAATGAAACTTGAAAAAAAATGAAACTTACTTGCCACAACAAACATATCTCCAATTCCAAGACTGACTTGCAAGGATTGTGCAATGAAAATTGCAGCAACCGCTTCATACAAGGCAGTACCATCCATATTCACAGTAGAGCCTAATGGTAATACAAATGAAGCGACTTCTTTTTGAGCTCCAATTTTCTCTTCACAACATTTCATGGTCAATGGAAGAGTTGCAGAACTGCTGGACGTTCCGAGCTGAACATTAAATCACACAAAGTAGTTCACAATTCAATAAACGTTTGCATGTAATAAAATTACATGTCTTGTTCATGAGTCCGCTTTGAAAAAACTTACAGCTGTCAAAAGAGCAGGAAAAACACTCCAAACATGTCTCAAAATATTCTTTCTCACCAATGCTAAATAAATTATGGTTAATGTAACGAATGAGTGAATCACCAAACCACTCAGCACTGTGAGCATATAAATTAACAATTGACTCAAAGATTGAAGTAAATATTTTTCTTTCACACACCGCCAAATAATTAAGAACATAATACCAATAGGTGCATAACAAATAATAAACGCAACCATTTTCAAAATAATCTCATTCAACGATTTGAAAAATTTGATCACTGGTTTGGCAGGCTCTCCAATTTGAATCATTACAATTGCCATAAATATTGAAAATACAATGAGTCCAAGGACATTGACACTTCCTCCATTTTCGGCCGATGCTGCGTCAATGAGATTGGATGGAATAAAACTTTCAATAATAGAAACAATTTGCTTGTAGGATGATGATGAATTTGTGTGTGAATTATTTCCTGTTGACATAATTTCACTGGAAACAATTTCTTGCCTTTTCAATAATAGCCCTCTCAGAGGATACAATTCTCCATTCAATGAAATCATATTGGAAGGCGAGAGTGGGGTGGTGACAACTTGTGGAGACGTCGAAACTGCTGTTCTTGTTGATGAGATGGCAGTAGAATTTGTAGTTGGATCATTGTTAATCACAACTTGTCCTGGCTTGATGACATTGACCATGATTAAACCTGTAATGACTGCAATAATGGTAGTCACTAAATAGGTGGATAATGTTAGTAAGGCCATTTTCAATAGTGCTTTGTGTTTTTGCTTCCTGAAATTGGCCATATCACTTGTATGTTGTGTGAGAGATGTTGCCGAAACTGTCTCTTCTCTCGCATTTACACTATCGACAATTGATGTAATTGAACTAATCATACTCGATACAATTAATGGTACAATTAAACAATTCAAAGCTCTCAATAATAAGTCTCCTGGTAATTTCACATACGCAACGACTTCAGGAGTAATTTCAATAGTTGAATTTTCTTCACTCGCTGCTACATTGACACTGACTCCTATAATCAATCCCAACACCACTCCAATCAATGTAAAAATTAACAATAAATTATGAAAGAGACAATTAGCTAAACTTTTCACTCGAGTTTTCCAATTTTTTATCGACTCCAAACGATGAGATTGAATCGGATTTGAATGTTCATGATGATCGTCATCATTTTGTTGTTGATCCAACTGTGTTCCGTCATGTCGAGAAGTGAGACTATCATTCCGAGCATCCAAATTCCCTTCGTGCTCTAGAGGTTGCACATTTTCTTCCAAATCTTGTTCATTCTCTAACAAAATTTTATGTCTTCGTAATCGACTGGTCGAGTGCTGATGATGATGATGAACAGTAGCAGACATGATCGTGGTGGGCATTGATGATGATTGTTGAGATAGCTCGATATCCTCCATAAATGTGGGATTTGAAAAAGTTTCATAACTCGTCATCGGAGAAGTATGAGGTGGTTGTTGAGAATTTGTTGTTGTCGTCATGATGATGTTGGAGGATGGAGAAGCCTCCTGTGGTTCCATTTTTTTGAGATGAGAATTAATTGGATTAGACAGTAGGGAGGATGTTTTTTGATAATACAATAGGATAAGAATTAGAAAAAGCAGTCTACGATATATATAGCTCAGAAAATTAGATTTATTAAACATACATTAAGCAACAACACTCTTCTTGATGGTTCTCGCAAGTTTTTTCAATCCTCTTTCCTTGAGCTCTTCCTTCAATACACATCCATTTCTATGCATACACACCGCAATCATGGCCTCAATATGTGAAACAGCAGCAGTTTGCAAACTAAAACATGGCTTTGACAATTTACATCCATAATAATGGAATTGAGTTTCACACTTTTCAAACAAGGTCGTTTCCTTATCCAATTTAGCATTGGCACAATCCACCTCACAAGCCACACATTTCAATCCATTAAAAGGTGCTCTTTTATATCCAGTTTTAGCAACTTTTGGTCCAACAGCTCCATCATATTTCCTTACAGTTCTTCCACAAATTCTTCTTGCTTGAGGTGTGAGAGGCATTTGGAAATTCGACCAATAACGATTTCCATGATAATGACCTCCTCCATGACCACCATGACCTCCTCCACGACCACCTCCACGACCGCCACGAACTCTAGCACGTCCTCCGGGACCCATTCTTCTTCTAGCAGCAGCAGCACCTTGACGTGCGACACGAATAGGAGTTGAAGAACGACCTTGTGCTCTTCTTGGACCAGCACCAGCAGCGGCTCCAAATCTTCTTCTGATAAAGAGTGTCGATGATGATGAAGACTCATCGGTGATCACTGAATTTTCCAACGACGAGCTGGCATCCAATGTAACAGCAGCAGCAGTGGATGAAACAACAAGTTGAGCTCGATTTTCAGCACATGAGGAAACAGCGGCGTGAGAAGAGTGAGAGAAGAAGAAGAGAAGGAGAAGGAGACTGGTGATGGTGAATAATGTGAGAAAATAATGATGATGGCGGTGGCGAGGATTGTTGTTGGAACGAATTTCCTGGCCAGCGAATTTTGACATTTTTTGTTGTGTGATGAGAACGGGTCACAAGTCAAATGTCAAATAATAAGAACTGGGACAAAATTGTAGTGATTAGCAAATTTATGTGGCGAAACCAATGAGATGTTGCACGAGCAGAAATAATTGGCGTTGTGTCCAACATTGAACTAGAAAATATTTTGGTCATGTTTTGTTAAACCACTTATTGAACTCGTCCAGCACACCTAATCGATCATCTATCCATCCAGTGCTCAAAATGAGTAATTGTTGAACTGGCTTTTAGACATGTCATTAAAAAATCACAAAAAATGGCTTCTCAGCATCAACACGTTCCTCCAGACCAACACAAGACATCACTTTCAACAACCTTGCACCGACCTTCATCGAGAAGAAGAAACTCAACAACAATCCTGAAACGTCCAATGTCCTATTCATTGCTCGTGAATATTCACAGTCGTGTGAAATCACATCGGTGTTGCTCTATTGTGTTGTTGTTGTTGTGTTTATTATGTTTTTTATTGATGCAAACAACAACAAGTAGTAGTTTCATCACACTAGCACAAACAATTGATAACGATGACGGGAATCGATCCAATGACGTTTCTCCATTCGATTCCAAGAGCATGACTCGACAAACATCAATGCTGCCATATCCGAAACTCAATTCGACCATTCCGTATGCAAGTGCGTTTATGAATTGGGATGTGAATTCGTATTCGGATAAGGACTATCGATCTAATAATTCACTCATTACAAATATTGGTTCGAGGTCGATTGTGATGGTTTCCAATTACATGTCTGCGTTTATTTGGAAAAATGTCAGTTCCGAGTATAATGTGACTAGTACGAAGGGTTTTGTCGAGTGGTTGAAAAACATGTCTCAAAGTGGAAAATTGGCAAATTTGAAAATTGGAGTTGAGAGAGTGTACATGAATTATTTCCGAGTCATCTTGCAATATTATGGACTGTCAGAAGTCATGCCAATGGTTTCTTCGTTTGTATTTTATTCGAGAAATTGTCGACCAAGACATGTTTTTGAGGTAAGTTTTTTCTTGACACAATTTCACACAACCAAAACGTCACAAATCATGATTTTCACTCAATCAATACGTATATTTAAATTCTCGTGTCATTGATTTCATCATAGGACTTTGATGTCATCATTACAGTTCCAATAATCTTTTTTCAATATATTCGATTCTATCGAGATGGTATAGGACTACGAAAACCAATCATGAGCAATGATAAAATTGCCAGTTATATCAATCCTCAAGATTTCGTTCCAATTCGATTAGCTCCGTACACAGTTGCTTATTATTCTCCATACCTTCCTTGGTTTATGGTTACAAATTCCTATGCTTTGGGTGTCACTGCACATTTGCAATATTATGCCAATGATGCCGATCTTGCGAATTATCACAATTTTGGAAATGTCACTGATGAAGATCTTAAATTCATTGCCTATGTCACTGGTTCGACTCCAAATGTTGACCGAGCTGCATTCGAAACAATGATTCGCAATACTGAAGCTCGATTTGGTGTCACACTCACAGGATCATGGACATTACAAGATTATTTAGCTTCTCTCTATTCATCGGCTTATCATCGATGTGTTGATACAAATTGCAACGATTACAAATTTGAAGAAACAGACTTTTGGAACATACCTGTGATAATTTTACTGGTCACCTATTTTGCATTACTTTTTGGAACGAAATCTTTTCTCAAGCCAACCTTAAAAAGAAGATTAATCATTCCTTACTTGCCAGTATTGATCATCTTCTTTGAATTTGGAGCCGGATCCGAATATTTTGCAAATTCTTGTGCTCCTGCATTGGGTTACGTTCGAATGTTTGTTTGTTGTTTTTGGGTTGTGTGTTATGCTTGCATGGTCATTCGATTTTACTATTTGAGAAATTTATACAAGATGATTTCGAAAGGCAAGAAAGATATTTCCCTAGTGAAACGATTCTCATCAGCCATCATTGGACTTGTATTAATGTGTGGTGTATCACTTCTAGTTTCAGCAGTATTCTCGATTCAAGGAGTGACCATGTTTTTTGATATATTCGACAATGAGAATGCCACTATTAGTGTCATTAATATCAGTTTTGCTCTCTATCTATTAATTGGAACCTTCGCTGCAGTGATGGTCATTGCGATTGATTTGATTGTGAATCGTAGAATGGTGTCACAACGAGGTGGTTTTCGAAAATATCTCTTTTTCGATGATCCATTCTATGTGAGATTGGATTTAATATTTTGCACGTTGATTTTTGCGACCATTTTAATTGTTATAATCATTCAGGGTTCTGTGAGCAATTTCAGAGTGGGAGGAGTGGCTCATTTCAACAGATTCTTAGTATTGCTCATCTATTTGTGGGCAATTTTAATTTGTGGAGGAACTGTTATTTTGTCCGAGATCATTTCCTTGTTTAGAAAGAAAAAACCCAACTCGACACTCATGTCAGAACTTGAACGATATTTGAAAGTTCCAGAATTTAAAGCTCTCTTTGCAGAATATACTGAAAAGGAACTCTCTCTTGAAAATTATTTATGTTTCAAAGATTTGGAAGACTTGGAAGCAATAGGACTTGGCAAGATATTGGATTTGCAATTCTTGATTGAAATGGAGCGAGATTTCATTCGAGACAATTCCATCTATGAGTTGAACTTGTCATCTGTAACCAGACATCAATTTTACTTGCTACTCGAGAGATGTAAGAAATCATCAGGTTCGAATGGAGTTGAACTGGTCGATGAGAACCGAAATGGAAATTCGAATACTGCTAAATCCACATCCTCTCCTTCATCTACAACTCCAACCAATGGAGATTTGTATTCATTGTTACGTGACACCATCATGTCAAATCTTGCAGACACTCACAGTCGATTTATTGAAACTGTGGAATTTAGAAATTGGTATGCTGTGTACGAAATTCAGCAAAAGAACAATATTGTGTAATTTTAAGGCGTTTACTAATTTTGGAAATTAGAAATTTAACATTTTTGAATTCTGACGTCCTACTTTTTCTGTTTGTTGTAAAGTTTTTTGGCTGTCTTTTCAGCATACTCAATAATCTTGTGTTTATGCTGTTTTAAAAATTTTCCAAAGAAGTTTCTGTATTCCGTTTCTTCCATTTGCAAGTCGTCCCATTTGAACTCTGAAATTTCCTTAAAAAAACGACTCTGTGGCTTTTCCATATTTGTGGCGAATTGATCCAAGCTTGGGCATTGATTCCAACAAACCAAATAAATCACTTGCTTGGAATGTTTGAGGTAATAGCGTTTGCAAAATCCTTTGTCTATATTGTTTTTCATTCTGTCAATATCCTTTTTTGATAAGGTACCATAGGTTTCTTCATTAAACTCTCTGACTGCAGTTTCAGAAATTGAAGAATCTTCTAATTCAACTTTTCCTCCAAAATGACACCACCCATTTTCGTATTCCTTTCCCAATAGAAAGAGAGTCTTGTTCAAATCTTCATGATATTTGAATAGCAACACTCCAGCTGCAGTCGTTGGTTGTTGTTCATCTAAATTATGAAAAAAGATCTTTCTTCCTCGTGTAATTGTATAGCTTCGACGTTGAGAGTTATTTGGAGTCAATGATTGGCTCACTAAATTGATCGAAGAAGAGGATGAACCCCATGGTGTGTCCTGGATGGACAGACGTTGTATTCCGTTGATGACAGTCTCCTCATCGAGGCGTGCTGGGTCAGTTGTTGTGGGAGACTCTGATGCAATTACAGATGATGTGGTGCCGTCTGACATTTTTTTGTTTTTTGATTCACGAATTCGTTGACATGTTGATGAGTTCATGAAGAAAACGTGATTTCACGTTCAGTCCAAAAATAACTCCCAAGTTGATGAATTTTCAAAGCGGACCAAATAAATCAATTTCTATCTATTACTTGGGAACCCTGAGTTTAATGATTCTTAGTCATTTACTGTGGTAGTAGATGTGTTAAAATTCACAACAGTGTTTTGTTGTTGAACAGAATTGGAAGGAGGAGGGCTGATTACGTTTGCTGTTGTTGGATTCGATGACGATGCTCCCTTTTGTTGTTGTTTCAACTTGGTTTGGATGTTATGAATTTTCATTTGTTTTTGGAATTCCAAACTCAATTTAAATCGATGATGGGTGTCAATCATGACAATGGCAATTTCATTTTCCAATTCATCGAAAAGGCGTTCAGATAAAGTTTTTTCTTCCCAATCAAAGATACCAACACTGGGGCGTTCTTGATCGGTGGAGGATGAGGTTGTGTTGGGAGATGTGACTTCTTTTTCTGTAGAGCTGCCACTTGTCGTTGTAGAAATTCGTTCCAATTCCAACTTGACTGTGTCAGCCATCTTTTTTGAAATATTCACAGAATGAGCTCCTTCAATTCTTAAAAATTCAGAATAAATCAGAGTTGCGAGTTCGAACTTTTTCTTTTCAACTTCTTTCAAATCTTGTTCTGTGTACTGATGAGGACTCTTTTTCTTCTTTTTACCATTTTCAGAAAGATCTGAATTGTTGGTTATTGCCGTGGTCACAGACATGGAATCATCATTCATGTCGCTTGAACTGTAATCAAACAACACAGATTTGATTTCAAAACTTTTCGCACACAAATTCTTGTACTCTCCAATTCTCTCCAAAAATAAGTAATTATCTAAAGAATGTTCCTTTTCACAATGTTTTCTAAATAATTCTCGTAATTGAGAATCTTGCATGGTATCGATCAACATGACTGCATTGGCTCGTTGTAATCTCTTTCGATATAAGGCGTCTCGATTCAATGCACACACCAGAGTTAATACAACCACAGGTATGACTATAGCCATGGACACACAAACAATGACTAATCCGGCCAATGCTCCCGAGGATAATTTAGTATTGGTTGCAAGTTCCTTGTCGTTGACATATTTGACAATTGGTTCCAATTTGTTCGCAGTGGATGAAATATTCAAGTATTCGTCTGTAAGTAAGAGTTTGAGAGCTTCCAACGATTGACCTTTTTTCAATAAAGATGCAGCTTGAGCTTCCAATTGAATCGAAGAACTATTGACATACAAGGAAGTGTCATTGAGTTGCAACAATTGAATTTCTTCTTGTGTGAGATTTGAAATTACTCGATTCAAGAACACTGGAAATCGATCCATGAATCGGTTATAGTTATTGAGCTGAGTCGTCACCAATGATGATGTCATGACAGCTGTCGTTGTATTGATGCCTTTTGACATGACCGAAATATTGAGCACAGGCAAACACGCTGCATACAGAGTTGCTGTTTTGACACTATTCGTAATGATATCCCTAAATCGAGCAGCATCCACAGTATATTCAACAATAAGAAAATTATGATTGGATTGCAAGTAATAAACTTGAACCAAAATTGCTAACAAGACACAAAATGCGGCAATGTTGACGAACATGGAAAAGAGGGAAATGCATCGAAGACCTGATAATTCAATCTTTCCAAAACAAGTTGGAATGGAAAGGAGTGATTTTTCAGTGGAGAGGAGATCATGAGAGGTGTTTCGAAAACGACCGAGAATGAATGCTTTTGTTGGTTGTTTTTGAGTTTTGGCTGTTGATGACATTTGGCAGTGAGAGAGTGCGAGAAGATGGATGGCTGGCGCTAAAGTGTGAGCTGTTGTTGAAAGAGAGATTTTGGACTAGGGGATGGTGATTTTTTGTTTGAGAGTTGAGAGATTGACGAAATGTATGAGCGATACAGTTTGCCATTCTGTTGATGTCAAACTTCATCTAAAAAGGATAGCTCGAATAAAACAGTATTTGTTATGCTGCCAACCAATGGACATGTTTTTGTTCATGTCTATCTGCACTAAATTATGGTTACGGTCATAAAGACAACCATTTAGGTTCTGAATGTTGGTTTGTCTTGCAGTATACAGCATTGCGAGGGAGCTCGATTTTCGGATTAATGTTGGTGTGCAGCTTCTAATTTCATCCAAATAGTATTGCACCCATCCATCAAACCATTCTCTTGATCTTCTCATTGGACAAATATGTAAAAATCCAAGACGAATCCTTTGAAAAAAATGCAAACAACAACAATGAGCATTCTCATGACTCGTCATCGGAAGCCTCAACAACAACATCACTCACCCGATATTTCTTTAGTGTCGGAACAATTATTGACTAGTCGTTTGAAACCCTTGCTTGATATTGGTTACTTGAAAGAGAGTAAGAAGGACGGAGAAAGAAATATTGGCACCAACGTAGTTGCAATAACACCACCGTTAAGACATGAGATGTATTTGTCTGATGAGGGTCAAGTCTGTGATTTTCATAGTGAGACCTGTGTAATGAATTCGTTGAAAAACGAAATCATGGAAATTCGGAAGCATGACAATAAGCCTTGTAATAATATTTCATCACGTTCAATACATGGCGAATTCATGGTGAATGATGCTCCTACACCCATTTCTACAAACTGTACAATCATTTTAATTAATTTTGACTTGTGTTTGGAAACATGTAACAACAGTCATGTTGGAAAATTATTTTCCAAATTGAAGGAACAAATGTTAGTGAATTGCAAAAAGAGAAACAGAAGCTTTGAAATGAGATTTGATTTGACCTATTCGATAGGAGAGTATGGTGTATATGGAAAATCTCAAAACCAACTTCATCTTCCTCATGATGTAAAAATCTCGTACAATCATCACTGTATACTAGTTGCTGATTATAACAATAGAAGAATCCAAGTGTTTGATTTGTATAGCAGACAATTTAAGGCAACAATTCCAACACCTTCCAAGTATCCAATGTATTTATGTGTCGAGGAAAATCATGATGGCAATCAAAATGACGCTCTGATTTTTGGAAGTAATGGTGACAATAGTGTTTACAAGTTTGAGTTACGGCCATTGCTGTGTAAAGCGTATTTAGGTCAAGTCGAAAGAGATGAGTTGAAAAAAGAATACATTTGGAAAACCGATTTTGATACTCCACAAGCAATTGCAGTGAAGTATGGATCTCAGTATTGCAGGAATGAAATTTTTGTGTGCAATGGTACCAATATTACTATTTTGAGTTCAATCTTTGGTTATGCCATCGATAGTATTCAGCTCAGCAACAGAGTTTATGGTGTTGGATTTACGAACAAGAATGATTTGATTGTGAGTGAAGCTCTACTCTCTCATAGAATTGTAATAATGCGGAAAGATCAAGATGGTAAATGGCAAACAATGACCACTATTGGTGACAGGGTTGGAGAAGAATTGGGTGCTTTTAATTGTCCCTATTCTTTGATATTCGACAGAGTTTCTCACAAAATAATCGTGTGTGATTCACAAAACCACCGAATACAAATTTTTACCCAGGATGGAGAACTTGTGAAATGTTGGGGAAGTACTGAACAGCACGACGATCAAATTTACCATCCTTCTGGTATGTGTTTGAATGAAATGACTGGAGAGTTACTTGTTTGTGATGAAGGCAATCATAGAGTGCTCATTTTCAAGTGAATTGATGAATTTGCAAAATGTATCGTCATGGATGTCCAGTTTTATTGATCCCACTAAACCCCATCATCCAGATCTAAAATAAGTATTTTGTTAGAGCTCGAATTGCCGTGTGAGAGAGAAACTGGAACTTCTTCTGATCAGATAGCTGAGTTTCCATTCATGATTATTTAATGGATTTGGAGTGCTTCTCAATTTTCGGAAATGATTATTTTTCTAGTAGTGTTTCTCTATTTGTTGAGTTGACACATTTCACAAACTCTTGGTTTTCTGGTTCCGTATGTGGCTGTCATGCAGGAAGAGCTAATAGTTCTGGTTTAGGGTTAAGCAATCTGTCTCCCGTTCGATGAAGAACGTTCGTTTGAAAGTATTTGGTTGCTTCAATTTCAAGATTTTTCTTTGCCAGCGTTAAGCCGGTTCTCTACAGAAACTTTTTTTTTCGAGGGACATGCATCAGAACAATTGTTGAACTCTTTTCTCTAAAAGTGGAATGTCTGTCCAACAACATGTAACATTCAAGTTGGTATCTACTTGCTCTCTCATAAGAATTAATCACCTTTTTGTGGCATTTTGCCTTTGCGAAAAAAAAACTCAGCATTATTATGTTCAATTTTCAACTCACAGTGTTGCGTCAGTCTCCTTGTTGTTGGTGTTATTGTGCGGTGCAGCTATGGCCGTGGTAGATTTCGCAGCCACCACATCCACCATAAAAACCATTGCTGGTTTACCCAATCAGCTTGTACCTTTCAAGTACAAGTCTTTTTACCAAAGTCTTCAATGTTTGCAAATGGTATCGGAGAAGGACCAATCATTTGTCTTTTTAGATTCCTTTCCGTCTAACTATCCTGTAATTCTTTCTGACCCATCCACAAACACTGTACAACGTCTGTTTGATTATGGATGGAACAATGTGATTAATAGAGCAACTGGTGAAATCTATTCCCATTCCATTAGCTCAACAAGTGAGAGTCATGCTGTGATTAGAGCTTGGAGGAGGTGGAAATGATGATTACGACAATGGTATTCCAGCAACACAGGCACGCTTTTACTCAATCCGTGGTATGGACTATGATGAAAGTGTTAATATGATCTTTTTTGCAGATGATGGAAACGATGATTTTGGAACTTCTCTTCGAAATATTGATATGAAAACTGGCTTGGTATACACATTGGTAAAAAGAGGGTTTTTTAAGAGGGTATCCAGTGTAGTTGCTGCGAAAGGAGCTGTTTTTGTTAAGGATGATTTGCTTCAAAGAGTGTTCAGAGTATCTCCAGACGGAAATGTTACACCAGTTGCTGGAAATGGTGATTATCGTAGAGGAGGAATGAAAGATAATACTCCTGCGTCTGGACCACTTGGTGCTGATGATTGTTTGATGGCGGTGTCAAAAGTCACATATGACATTTTCTTGAGGAGGTAGATTTTGGCGACTAGCGACTGGCGATTTTCGCCAGGTGCAATTGGCGAGCACGCCAAATACCAAGCATTGAATTGGCGAACTCGCCAGGTCCTCAATTTGAATTGGCGAAATCGCCACCCTTAAAAATTGAATTTGGCGAAATGACAGTTTTATTCTTCAAAAAAATATCTGAACATCACACTCAAAACGACGCTGATTTACGTCCGTAATTACATGCTTCTTTGAACTGCTTGCTCAACGAGCGGTTATTGAATTGGTTTAACGCGCCCCGTCTCAATCTTCCAGATGCTGGTGAAGGAGGAACATTGTTCTCTGGCTCTGACTCAGAGTGACTGTCCGATGAGTCCTCGATGACTCGTTTTCTCTTGGTACTTCCGTTGCGTTTAGTATGATTTGTTCTGAACGTAGTGAAGGGCAGGAATGTTTCGATTGTAAACAATAAAAGAGTTTGGGTTGAGTATTCGAAATAATTTTCATGCTCAAAAAATTTTCTGCATACTAGTACTTCGTCTCCCTTTGCTTTGCTTACTGACTTGCTGTCATCATCCGTGGTTCTATTATTCTTTACTCTCATATTCAACCATATCATCTCATCAACGATACCACATATTACATAAAAGCAACTCAAATAGCTGTCATCACGTGAAATATGTTCTCGTTGTCTAACAACTCCATTCATCAATTATTCACCACGGAACTCTTTTTTATCCCGAGCCAATGACAACTGTTCTCGCATCATTCGAATTTGATTACTTTCAGTTTGTTTTACACACTTTAGCATCGAACTCCATTAGCTATAGTACCTACAGCATTAACGTAATCTTAGCAACGAGATGAATAGCTCTTCCATTGGAGTATCAACTTCATTCGTTCTCAGCACTTGCCTGTTTATTTATTTATTTTAATATTAATTCGGAATGGTTGAACGAACGTTATAGCATTCTCAACGTGAACTGACCAAGCCATGATATTATCTAATCTCTTCACAGAAATATCGTTATCCTATTCAGAAATTATGAAGAAAGTGTTGAACGATTGAACTAGTTTGCTGGATCTTGAGACGTAAATTTTGTGGAAAGAACTACATTAGATTGGATTTCTAACGATATGTCAACACCATTCCAGTTTTTTCCTCAGAGTGAAACAATATCAAAACGATAAGAAGAGCAATGGACAATATCAAGTTGCAACAAGAGTGTACAAGTAATCCACAACATTGGTCAACATGTAATCCTTATTCACGACACAAGTTGTTGTAGTGATTTTGAAGTGTTTCAATATTCTTTGGCATCTATTTTAAAAAAGGACTGTATGGATGAGACAAGATTTCATCATAGTTTGTTTGTTTCGTTGTGACAACAATTATCACTTGACGAACTTAATTGGGAATACTAATTAATCATTAATGCTTTTGATAATGAGAAGCTTGGCGTCATCATAGTACTATGAGTCCTTGACACAACCTTGAACAATAATTTTCCTCTTGCAATTGCCACTGATGCCTTAAATGTCAAACGAGGACTTCTTGTCATACTCTACTGATAGCCACCCAGATGATAGCCATGAACCCTATCTTGTAATTGTTATCACTAAGACTCACGATTCGACCAATTCAAATATCAAAAAATCGTAGCACAGCCTAGTAGTGTCCCTATTCATCACTCATTATTTTTCACACAACTAACTCAAAACAAAGGTGATGAAAACCATTGATGCATTTTTCAGGTGGAAAGTCAAATACTGGATTTCTATGAATTTTTTAGAAGTCAGTTGTAGAAAGTAACAACTGGAGCATTCTATATGGTCGTTACAAATGCGGGTTTATCAAGACCATCATTTCGATTCATCCTCGATTTTCGAATGGTGGAATATAAGTTTTTCTCTCATATTAGACACGTTGCTCACTACTTGAAACTTTTTAAGAAAGAAAGACGTTCGAATTTCGCTTCCTCCTATTAAGTCTCGTTCCAAGACCAGTCTCTCTCCCAAGTATACTCTAGGACAAATTTAATTTGGAATGTTGGTTTACATTTACACTTGCGTGGTTGATGTGTTGACGTTAGCTTTCTCTCTATTTGGGATCACATTGTGACTATAATTATGGATTTCCTTAATGTTTCCTAGGTGGCCATTTGTATTAGAAAAATGCAGTCTCATTCCGCTCAAACCGTAGAACTCTATAATACATCTCTCGTATTCGTTTTACAACAATGTGAATCCCAACCGGTTAAATCGAGAGTCAAACAGAAAATCGAGAAAATTTAAGTTACCATTTCGAAGCCAAGTTTAATAAGGACTGGATTTCTTGACGTAGTCAACTCTGGTATTACACCATTCCTACACCGTTAAGATGTACAACTCGTCAATGATGAATATGTAAGATTGAAACACATCATCAATGATGATCTACAGATATGCCAATAGGGACCTCAAAACTCTCCAGAAAATTGAACAAGAGAATATTGGAAGCTCTCTCGGTTGAGACACACCAGCCCCAATCATCGTCAACCCAAATATTTCTCGTCAATGTTTATGGAATGCATGTTAGCTCTAACGTCCTAGTCAGCAAATTCAATCATAACTGTGAAACAGGTCTCATATTAGTTAGAAGTTGCGATTTTCTCTTCCCAGTCAACAACGCAACACAGATATACCTTTACAACCCCAACATCGAGTTCAGATGAGGCATTACAGCACAGCACTCAGTTCTTTAAGGACAGATGACGGAATATTTGATCATCTAATTACAATTTCAACTCTTTGATCTGTCAAACAGATGTAAAGAATGCCAAAGATCCGACAAGTTTACAAAATCTGAAATGTTGATTTGGTACGAAAATGAATTATGATGGACATTTTGGTTTTGGAAGAAATAGCGAAGGTATTGAATAGATTTAACTTCGATTCTCCTTCGAAATTTACTCAAACAGTAGGCGATTTGAGCAATCCTACTCAGGAGACAATTGATCGAATTTTAAGGTTATATTCCACCCCTACGAAGTGTCGGAGACTGGTTGATTAGCCTTGAAGATGGATGTCCCTCATTATTTCCTCTCAGTCTCGTCCTGCTAGTATTATCATATGGTAAACAAATTTGCGACTATAGGTTCAGCTGTCACAATTCACTCCACAGTTCATTAGAACAATCATTGCAGTTTCGGACGATGTGAGAAACAACTCAATCAGCTGTTGTGTCTTTATATTGAAGCTGATCCCAACCAATAATTGACATTATTTTGTCGTAAGCTTGAGGGATATTACTACCTCCCGATTAGCCCTCCTCTCACTGGTTCTCAATACGGCTCAGAGTAATTGGTATTCGTGTTCCAAGACGTTTATTTATATGCGGGCCTTAGACACAATTATTCAACTAGTTCCGATTATTTGGAGATGATTGTCTTCAAAGTGTAAACAATCTGCTTCCCCTTTGTACAGTTTTAAGTGTGATTGTTTCTCCACGTCCTTCAGCCCGCAAGAGGGATTTCGATATCTTATGATCTCTACTCGTGATTGGTCGTGGTATTCAGTTTCAAATGGTGGTCGACTCAATCCAAATACCTTGCTAGACTAGTAGAAACCGTA